CTCCACCCTCCCCCAACTGAAGCCTCACAGGAGCTGTCACACCTGGCGTGAGTCCTATCCGTGAGTCCTATCCGGTGTGACCCTGCAGAGTGTAAGTCTGGCCAGGGAGGCGCCCATACAAAGTGGGTGACAGTGAGGGTGAGGGGGCGCCCGGCGCTCCCAGCAGAGGCTGGAACAAGACGCTGGCAAAGCCCTTCTCCCGGTGGGGCTCCTGCAGCTATTAGGGGCGACTGTCCTGCATACTCACACACTCACTGAGAATCTCTTCTCCCCGTGGGCTTCTAAAGGAAACTAAGTATCCAGAGCCAGGATTTAAACTCCCTCATAAGTGATCCCAAAGGCCTGGGCACTCTGGCCACTGCGGGGCAGGGGAGTTTGCCATCCTGATGGCCTGACCAGGTTGCTAATTGTTCTCCCTCCTTCTTTCCTTCTCCCTCTACTACACCCCCTCCTCCCTCTCCCTCCTCTTCTTTTTGCTCTCTTCCCTCTCCTATCCCCTCCCTCCCACCTCTTCCTTCTTCTAATGCACTCCTCCCCTCCCCTCCTCCCTCCCTCCACTTCCCTCCTCTCCCCTTCCCTTTTCTACCCCCTTCCTCCCCCATTTCCTCCCTCCCTTTCCCTTTTCCCTCCCTCCCTCCCTCCCTCTTCTTCCTACCCCCTCAATCTCTTCTCTCCCCCTTCCCTCCTCTCCCCTTCCCATTCCCTCCCTCCATCCTCCACTTCCCCCTTTCCCCTCTACCTCCTCCTTCCTCCCTCCTTCTCTCCCCCCTCCCTCCCTTCTCCCCCCCATCCCCTTTTCCCTCTCCTCTGCAAAGTCACAGGGACGCTGACAGGACACAAATCATCACAGAAGTCATTATTCAGCACTGAAGACTTCAGTGATCACTGATTTTTCTCTTACAAAATACATTATGAGCAAGAAGATAACATAACCTGTTTTGCATTTATCTTGTTCCAAGACAGTAATTAAGAAAAGCACAAGATGTATTGGGGGAATTTCTTGGGGTCCACAATACATGTTGTTACATGTGGGCAGGGTAGGGCTGCTGGTGGCACCCGGTCCTGCGTGGGCGCTCCCCCCGCACTGGTCTCTTTCTTCCTTTGACTTTCTATCTAGAGAAGCTTCTCCCTGAAATCTACACCAATCAAAACTATTGATACAGATAACTGATAAATGATAAAATAGAAATAAGATCATCTTTGGAAACTTTGCTATATCTGACCACCCAGGTCACGTGTGTGTGTGCGCGCGCGCACTCCTCGAGGAGGGTTCAGGACACGCCCTCACCCCTGGTCCCTGGTTCCTCTGGGCAGGGGCCCCTCTAAGCTTCTAGAAGCCCCTGCACAGCTCAGTGGGAACCACCAGCGACTCACCAGGTTACTTCAGACGTGTCCACTATGAAGGGAGGTCCCTGGGTCGCTAGGGGCAGATGAACCACCAAACACCCCAAAACCACCCTGAGCAGGACCTCTCGATGGGACAAGCCTCACACTCCAGCCCCTGCCCCAATAACTTGGCTGCCAGGGGGTGAAGGTGAGCAGGGGCAAGACCCCCCATCTCCTTAGAGGTTTGCCCTGAAGGAGAGGAGGAAGGCAAAGGGACAAAAGCAGGAGGGGTCACCCTGGCCCCAGTCCTGCTGTCACTCTCCCCTCTCCTCCTGCTCTCTGCAGATGGGACGCCCCCACCCAGCTAGCCAGACCTGAGGTTTCCCTCCCTAAGGAGGACAGAGGGGCTGCGGTTACCCTCTGCCGGGGGCACACGGCTGCGGTCAGAGCCTCCTGTGTACCACTGTGTGGACCCAGAAGGACCAGTTTGGGGACCAGTCCAGGGGCGGGGGGGGTGGGGGACTGGTTTCTCAGCCTGCTCCTCAACTCAGAAAGTGCCTGAGGGCTGCACTTCCTTTAACCCCACAGAGGCAGCCTCTCTGAGACGCTACGCCTGGGACAGGGATACAGAACCCATGTCCCCTGTGCCTCCCAGGGTCTCTGATGGAACCGGAGCTCACTCAGTGGGGTTCAGGGAGGCGGCCCCATCCCCGTGCTCCCAGGGGTCTTCCCTCTGGTAATTACAGATATGCAAAGGCCCCCACAACCTCCCCACCCGGCTAGCCTGGGCCCCAGCGGCTGTCACACTCTCCTCACCACAGGTTCGGCTACACGAGCTCCGGCTCCTCCGCAGGCCGGGACGCGGTCATTCTGCAAAGTGCTGCTGCCTCGCTGATGCACAACTCGCGCCAGGACCCTCCTACGATCTCACACGACAGGTGAGAGGTTACTCTTCTACTCAGGAAAGGACACGTGTGAAAATGAAGAGGAAACGGTCTTTGCCGGTGATTATGGACTGCGTTCAGATAATAAATATTATTACTCAGGCCCTCCAAAAATAATTTATTTTTTGTTAAAAAACTGATTATAAGAGTTTCAGAGGACACCTCAGTTTACAAAGACCGAAATGAAACATTCATAAATAATCAGGGTTAAGCCCTGCTGTATATTTTTCCAACCTTTCCCTGTCACTCACTCACACACACATACCCCCACACGTATGTGATTATTCTCGAACTGGAATCCGACCAGACACACTCGTAACTATACATCATAAACCCTGAGTGTCTCTGTAACGTTACTTTTACAGCAGAAAATACTGTCACACCATAGATAATTTAACAAACCCCCTAGGAATTCATATTCAGGATTTCAGGATTTTTTAGTACAAGATCACAGCAACAGCTTTGATTATAATTTCTGTGAAAATTCCTATAATCAGAAATATTGGGTCAAAGGGCACACAAGCCTTTCAGGGCTTCCCAAACATAGTCAATAATCGAGCGGATCCCAGGGTGTCTGTGGGGTTAATGCCCCCCTCATCTCCGGACAGAGACTGCCTGCCTCCTGGCTCAAGAACGATATTGAGAAGCTGAAAAACGCCAGGCGCTGAAACTTTCCTTCCGACTCCGCTCTGGACTCCAGAGTCAAGGACATGACTGTGTCTCTTCAAACGCAGCTCCGCCCACTGGACGGTGTCCACGGAGAACACGAGAGCCACTCGGCACCTCCGCTGCCTGGACAGAGCCACGCGTCCCACCCAGGAAAACGCAGACCGAGTGGGTCCTCTGCCAGGCCCAGAGGCACCTGCGAGGAGGATGACGAGGCACGGGACGAGAGTCACGAGCTGCGGGGTCGAGGACTCTTAAACATCCCTGAGCCCGAGCACCAGGGAAGCCCCACACGGCTGCAGCCAGCAGAGCATGTCCCCGAAGTGCAGGACGCCGGCGAGAGACCTCGGCACTGGGGGTGTCAGTCTGGAAACACGCTGCCTGTTCAAACTGTACGCACATTCCTCCGCTGAGCCGGCAGAACTCCCCGTGGCGCACTGCTCAGTAAAGCAGCCCAGTGGGTCCCTAAGCCCGCGGGAGCCATCCTGGGCCAAGGCTCCGGGAGGCTGAGGCCCGGCCAGCGCGAGGCAGGGAGTGCTTCCAAGAAGCAAGAAGAGCGTCCCGCGCCCGGACCCCTAGGGACAGCCTGCAGGGCCACACGCACAGACTCGAGCCATCGCTAAAACCATCACAATCCAGGAGCGCTTAAACCAACGCTGTAGAAACCCGAGGGCAGTTACACGTGGTTGCAGCACATTTTAGAAACTGCCGGTGAAGCCGCTTTACCACAGGAGCTACCCCGAACATCCTCTTCCCAGACGCAGGAAGCCACGGGTGGACCCCGACTGCCGTGCAGGACTCAGGCTCCGGCCGCGCGGCGGCGCCCCGAGGAGAGGGTTATCGACCCCAAGTCAGATGCGCGGGTCCTCGTCCCACCCCACCCCCAGCCGCGTGGCCCCAGGCAGGCTACGCAATCCACTCTGGCAAATAAAGGATCCATGGTACAGAACCCCAAGTGTCTGGGCAGCTCTGACATGGATGGGCCCTGCCCGCGACAGCAGATGCCCAAGGGCGGGATGCCCGCAGATGCGCGCGCTGCACGTCAGGGCAGAGACCCGAGGCACGCCACGCCCAACAGGTGAGGGGATGGGCCGTCTTACCACTAACTTATTCTGGGACCTATATCTTACTTCATTACATGTTAAACATCATTTAAATAATCAGAAAGAACCAATTTCCTCATCTAGTAACTGACTATGCATTTTCTTTAACAACAACAAAAAAGGTTTTATCAACTATTTTCAGCCATTGCTTCATCGGACATCAGGAGTTTCTAAGTTTTACCGCTGGCCGCAGCCAAAGAGAGGAGAGAGGCTTGAAAAGCAAAATGACGAGCTGACTTTAAAGCATTACGTGACCAAGTATTAGGCCCCACGTGAACTACCACTAATAATATCAGCATCCAGAGAGGCTCTCAAATGCTGGTTTTCACCCCAGACTCAGAAAAGGCCACAGAAGAGTTTTTCACTTGTGCAGATGTCCCCCTTCCTCCTCTGCCCCAGGCCACGGCCTCACTGCTCGGCTGTCGTGGGAGTTAAGACACTGCTCACGACATCCTGTCCACAGGGCAGAGGGAACTCTCCCACCATGGGATGCAATGGGGCAGGCCCTGGTGCATGAGAAAGCAGACCCTGCTAGGTGGAGGCCGGCTCGCCCGTGCAGAGACCAGACGTGGTCTCAGCCCTGAACACAGTCCCCGGAGCTCTTCTTTGTCCAAATACCGTGTGCTTTCCAGACAGCCGAGCACTGCGCATGAAGACAGGATGGTGAGGACCGTCACTGAGGACCCCCGTGGGCCTCAGGGACCCTGGCGGACCAGCAGCTGAGCCCAGGGACTCGGCCTTCACAGGCGCGGACCCCAGGCTCCACGAGCTGCAGCCGGGCACCCCTCGACACCCCCGCTGCCCTGTGTGACCTCTGTGTGCCCCAGTTATCAGGCTCCAAGGAGCAGAGCCAGAGCCGGGCAGCGTCTGGGAGCCCCACCCTACCTGAAGTCTGTATAGATACGTGCTCTTGTTCCGATTTCCCATGTCTTAACGACAAAACAGACACGAGAACAAAACGTCACATAAAGAAGTATGTTTATCCAGCTGTCTTCCATGAACTCAGTTTTTAGCTAGACTATCACGGTGGGGCAGAGTAAAGCGCAGACACGCGTGGCCAGAGGCCGGCTAGGAGAAGGCCGGGATGAAGTACTGCAGGGACACGTCTTCATGGAGCAAATCAAAATGGACAAGCTTGTTGCTGACAATGTCTGCGGAGAGAGAAAACCTGTCACCGCAAAGACCCTGCCCAGCGAGCCGCTATGTCTTCTCCTGGAGCCTGGCCTCCTTATGCTCCACCCCGCACTGTGGGACCGGCCCACGGGACTGTGGTAAAGAGCCCCCGTTTACCAAAATCAGGGTCCTTCCAGGAAAATGCGGTTTCCCGCCCGAGAGTGACCTAAGTGTGTGAAGGCCCAGTGCTGCGGCCCACCTCCCCCCAGGGACAGACTGCGGTGCGCGCCAGGGCGCAGGAGGGCTGCACATCGCACCGAGGCCCAGGTCGGGCACCGCACAGGGTGGAGGGCAAACTCCATGGGAGGCCTGCTCGGTTGAACAGCAGTGGGGGCAGGACCGACAGCCGTGGCCAGGGCCCAGGGCCACCAATGCGGGAGCAGTGCAGGGGAGCCGAGGGCAGGTCGCTTGTTCTCCAGGCCTCTGAGACCAGCAGCTGAGACCACATGGAGCCCGTTAGGGTGGCCCTGGCCACGTGCCAGGCTGAAGAGGGACTGGTCCCAGGGAACAGGGGTGGGGAAGGGGCACAGCACCAGCAGAAATACCCTACAGGAGAGGTGGTGGGTGGAGACAGAGGGCGTGGGACAGAGTGCCCCGGGGGCGGGGGAGAGGGTAGTGCGGGGCAGCGGACTAGACACTTACAGGACGCCACCCCAGAGGCAGAAACTACAGGCAGAAAAGCTGGTTTGAAGGATGAAGGAAAGGGTAGGAGAAATCCACATTTTGTCACAATCTCGTGGTCCATCTCTGCCACTCTTGGGGACCCCAAAGTCCCCTTTCTGAGAGCACCAGCAGCTCAGATGGCCGCCTGGCCCAGAACCAACATGGCCCAAGAGAGCCCACTCAAGGGCAATGCCACCCCACCGCTGGGCTTCCGCTCTGCACTGGCACAGCTGGGTTACACTGGAACCACCTGCAGGGCTCACCAGGACCACAGCAGCACAGCCAGCAGCCTGTCCGGAGCTCATCAGCACATGGGGGGGCCGTCTTAAGCCTGCACGGACCCCACGCTGAGGCACATCTCCCACAGTCCTCAGACCCAGGAACACGCAACAGGCCAGCCCAGGGGCTCTCGGGATGCAGCGCACGGGGACGCTGGCACCTGCCCCAGCCACAGGACCCAGCCATTCCAGCGTCTCCGTCCCTAAACTGGGCCCTCTGTCCTCTGCACACCACCTCCTGTGCCCCATCACCCCACCTAGTGCCTTCCACATGCGCTAACTGCCCTGCCGTGATCTGCTTCGCTGCACGTCTCTCCTTCTGGAGGGCTGTCGTCCTTGGCACAGGCCCCCAGAATTCTCTATTCCTCATCTAGAGCGCTGGCAATGTGCCGGCTGCCAGGTGCACTCCTGGACGGTCCTCAGCTCCGTTCCCAGGGCTCAGCCCGACACCTCTTCCACGAGAGGCGGCGCTCCCTCTCCACTGCCGTGTCATCACAGTGGCAAGGAGACAGAAAAATCCTTGAAAAGTTTGGGGCGAGTGAGCCCTTCGTCATGTGCAGCCAGTAACTGATGGGAGCCGAGAGGCAGGTGCACAGAGGAAGGCAGGGCTGACTCCGACCAAGGTACCACTGTGGAAAACCGGGGGTTGAGAGGAAGCCAGATGCCCAGATATGGGACGACTGCGGGAACAAGAGCAGAGGACCTTCAGCCCAAGCCCAGTTTATGGGGTCAGAGCGTCCTCGCGTCAGCTCAGACCAACACGGCTAGACGGGACGATCAGCACCCATCCTCCGGAAGCTTCTCCCCAGGACACGAGCGAGCCCACGTGACGGCCAGGTGCGGCGGCCACAGCCCCGTGCCAAGACAGCACGGCTGAATCCAGGAAAACCCGAGCCCCCACCCGCCCTAGAGCACGGGGCCCCCGCAGCCGGGCTGTGTCTGTGCTCGGGGGCCGCGCACTGCCGCGAGCCGGCCTCTGGTTACGGGATCGGAGACGCGCACGAGGCCCCCCCCGCGCACTCACTGCACACGGCCCGCGTGGGGTTCACTTGCTGCCCAGCGAGGAACTGCAGAAGCTTCCGGATGTCTATGCGTACTTCAGCCATCTGCGCTGGGTCTCGGTCCTGGGAGGCGTCCTCAGAGGCTGCAAAGACAGGAACAGCTCGTGATGAGACAGGAAAGCCGGGCCGGCGCCACGACAGTGAAAATCACTGATTTACGGTCCCGCTGGCTGGCGCCGCCCGGAGACGCCACCGAGGTGCACCGGCTTCTCTCTCAACACTGCAAATTCCCAGCGAATCTTCCTTTACGGCGACCTGAGGTATGACCCACTCTCCCGATTCTGGTCCAAGAAAACGGTCCCTATTAGTCCCCGGACACGTAGTGAGGAGCAGACCACACAGAGCTCGCGCAAGAGCGCCCCTTCCAAAGGGGAATGAAAAGAAAGAAAAGGTCCTTTCGATGCTGGGCAAGCATCAGAGACAAGACCCTTATCGTAATTCACTAAAATAAAGAGCACAGTAACACAGTAACACCGACGGCAGGCACAAGCCTCGGTTGTGCGGACCGCACTTGGCTGGAGCGGGACGTGCTTCTCCACAAGGTAAAAGCCTTTCTGGCCGCGCTGACGGGCCTTCCATACACCACCGGGCACTTGCACATTTTCACTGTAAAGGCGACGGGCCTCTCAGGTGGGAAAGAACATGTGCGGGGGCGCCTGGGTGGCTCAGTTGGTTAAGCCCGACTTCAGCTCATGATCTCAGGGTCCTGGGTTCGAGCCCCTGCGTTGCTGGGCTGTGCACTCAGCAGGGAGCCTGCTTCTCCCTCTTCCTCTGCCCCTCCCCCCACTCTATAATATACAAATGAAATCTTGGGGGAAATGAAACGAACATGGGTGGGCCTAATCCAGCTTCCACGTCATCCGCGGAGTTCCCCGGGCCCCACCTGCCACCTACTCCAGCACTTAGCACCCACTAAGTGCATGGTCCCTGGCCACGGGCTCCGTGGGCACCACTCAGGTCCCTCCGTTCCCCCATCCAGTCAGTCACCCTGTCATTCACCACTACCAAACTGGTCCCATGGTCTCTGCTGCTGTGTAAGGAATGAAAAATCTGGTCAGGCGAGGAAAGCTGCCATCTGCTAGTCTAATTTCATAAATACGAGGGACTAAAGTGGGAGGAAACAAAACCTCGTCTACCTTGTGACGCCATTCCAGGTGAGAAATGGGCAGAAACAAGTCACCAGGGGCCCCCAGGGGACCAGTGGGGCAGGCGCCGCTCCTGAGGCCGGGGAGGCCAACCTTCCCTGCTTGGACCTCAGCGGCCTGTTCCCCCCGCCAAGTGTGAAACTGAGATCTCTCCCGTGTTCCAGATAGAGATCTCAGCAAGATGTGACTCCTGCAACAATGTATTACACACAGAACGCGAGGCACCGGAACACTTACCCAATGGAGGGTTCCCCAGGTCTTTAAAGTGAGTTGTAACACACACTAGTTCTGTTTCTATTTTCAAGTTCAAGTCTCCACTTAGGTTTGCTTCGATAATCTGCAAATTGAGTATTTTATAGTCTTAAAAAAGGAAAGGAAAGCAAAAGGCGGGGGGGGGACGACATCAGCTCCTGCCAAACCAGGTGACAAAGTAGCCCCACAGCCCCAGACCACTCCTGACGGCAGCAAGACCCACCCAGCATCCCCGACTGGGGGGACTTGGAAACCCCCAGAGAAGGGGCCCCTCAGAGTGGAGACCCCACTCCATCGTGACTGTCTCTTACAGGTCTGGATAAGACCTTAGCTCTACCCACAGTTTCCTTAGCGATCATCACCCACCACTTCTGAAGACTGACCCAGAATGCTGGACACCCAACAGGAAGTGCCTCCCCACGCCCAGAGAGCAGCCAGGCCTGGTGCAGGTGCGCCACCCTGCCCGCTTCCAGTGACACCTGGCACAGGCCACACACGCTGCCCAGTGCCGCTTGGAGGGGCCCCAGGTCAGTGTGGCCAAGGACACCCCTTCTGCCACCATGTCACGACAGTCACTACTGCATTAACCAAGAAGCTCATGTGTGCAGGCCTGCAAAGATGCTGGGCTAAAAGGTGAGGCAGAGCAGGACAGACCTCCCGCCACCGCCACCTACGAGGCACCTGGACGTGCAGCCCGACTGGGTCCCAGACCCCAGCCCGCACCTCTGGAACCAGAACCCCAGCTGGCCTCACGAGACCCCGGGGCTGGAGCGGGAGGGGAGCCACATAAAACCTGGTGTGGACTCCTGGCTGTCGGCGCAGGTCTCCCTTGCTCCTGCATGGGTCCCCCCCCCCCCCCCGCCCCGCGTACTGCCCCACAGGCCGCATCCCTCCCTGCAGGAGGTGGGGGAAGGGCAGGGGTCTCAGTGAGGGTGTCCGAGCACCTCCACGGTGACCCCGCTTCTTTCCGCTGTCTTTCCTACGACCCTCAGAGGCAGAACTCTGGTCCCCAAGCCAGGCTCCCTGTGCACCTGGCCCCTCCGGAAGCTTTCCACCGAGTACTCCAGGCCGTAGCAGCTACGCCATGACATCTCTCCATACACATTCCAGAGGAGAGAAAAACACCCCTGATGACTGTCTAGGCCACTTTGCTGAGTCATTTCCACTGGACCGCAAGAACAAACAAGCAGAGCCTGGGATTAATTTGCCCTGCCTTTCCCCGCCCCAGGGCTGCTCTGAGCGTCTCCGAGGTGCCGGAGTGGTCCCAGAGGGAGCTCCCAGCCTGACGACTGGATCAACAGGACAGCAGCCACTGGAGATCATGACATTCTGGGGCAGCCTTGTCCCGGGCGAAGCGGACAGGACACTCAACTCCCAGCCAACTCCCGTGATTCACTCAAGAGATTCCGTTAGATGAAATACGGAATGTGATCTCCGAGACATAAGGACACAAGGCCTGACTGTTGAACACACTCTTAATGGGCCACGGAGATAAATGCGAGGGGTGAGGGCAAACACCAAACTCCCCGTTCCGGGGAGGCAGTGGAGAAGCACGGAGAACAGGGCTTCCGCAGGCGGCCGTGGATCGGTGGCTCCGCACAGGCCGGGTCCCCGGGGCCCCGGACACCGCAGCGGTGAGCATGAAGGCACCCACGCCTCCACCCGGCCGGGCCTCCTCCCAGGGCCCAGGGCCCGAACCGAACAGTCCTGAAAGTCGCGGACTGTTGCTCTCCGAAGAAGTCGTCACTCACAAGGTGATTGCTGAGGTTCCTCATTTTCTCCACGACGCTCTTCATCGTCTTCAAGACCGGAAGATAGACGCTGACCTACAAAACCAACGACACACGTCGGGAGGACTGAAAACACGAGCACAGCCAAGCGCTGACCGGCTCGCCACCTGGGCTCGGACTGTGTGTCAGCTGAACAGCTCTGAAGGCCTGTCGTAAAGTTGTCTCAGTAAAGCTCCTCTCAAAATATGAAAAGAAAACAACTTTATAACTTTGTTCGCTCCTGCCAGCCTCTGGTTACCGGGGCGACCACGTCCCCATGGGCACTCTCCCAGGGCCAGAATGCAGCCCTTCGGCAGAGATGCCGCTGCACACGCCCAGGGGTGGCACTCAGCACCCCGGGGCCCGTCCTCTGAGGGCCCAGAGCCACGTGCTTGGCCTCCTCCCACCCTGACAGGCACCACAAGCCAGTCCGGCTCCGGAGCTCGAATCCTAACGATGCAGGAGATGGCACTGTTGGCACAGGTGCCCTCCGGCAGGAGTCAATGAGGTCTCTCCAGTCTCCCTGCAGCGCATCTTCCAGAACGTGAGAGCGAGAGGCAGGGCACCCTTTGGGGTCCTCGTTCCTCTCGGGGGCTCTGGGACTCCTGCTGGCAGGACTGGAGGAGCCCCCCTCTTGGCTCTTGCCCGTGTTCCGGCACCAGTCCTGCCCCCCAAGTGCTATGTTAGGTTAGTTCATTAAGCACAATGATCCAAGCACTCTGCCCTCCCTGTGCGGAGTGTGGCTTTTCTACTACACGCAGCGCTGTTTCAAGATGTTTTACGTCACCAACGAAAGGCAAACACTGCCAGCGTTTTCCTGCAGTGTCCTTTACAAACGACCAGCATTTCCTCTCAGCCACTAAACAGTTTCTAAATGAGGTATGCCGCGAGCCCATAACTGACGGCAGGGAATTCTCATCACTCCACGCAACACGTCATGAGCAGAAGACGACGGGCATCACTCACGTCGGAGTCCGGGACTGTAGGTTCTTGCAAATCCTTCCACAATTTTCTAGGAATAACCTTAACGGGGATGTCGTGTGTCACAATGCGGCTACTGTTCGACACAGACAACTGTCAAGAGAAAAAGTGGGACATATTGTCGGTGTCGGTGTTAAAAAAGCAAACAGCATCGCCGAAGGACAATCAGAAACTGATACCAAACCCAACTGGAATGTTCTGTGCGTTCATCAAAGCCCATTCACCAAGTGCTCACAGCGCGCCTGTTCTGCTCGAGTCCCGTAAGGAGTTGGACACGTGGTGAATAAGACACGTCCCCGCTCTCCAGGGGTCCACATGGTTCAATAAGCAAGAAACCAACACACAGGGGCTTCTGCCTTCAGCTCAGGTCAGGATCTCAGGGTCCTGTTATCGACCTGCTTGGCGAGAAGCCTGCTTCTCCCTCTCCCTCTGCTGTTCCCCGTGCTCGTGCACACACGCGCTCTCTTTCTCTCTCCCAAATAAATAATCTTTTTAAAAGGGGGGGGGGGGGGGCCAGTGTGAGGGCAGGTGGGGAGAAGAGGCACCAGGGTGCAGGTTTCAGGGAGCCAGAAGGGGAGACATTCCAAGCAGGATCCCCATGGTCCACAAAGTCTGGGAGCTGGGCAAGAAGGAGACACTCTGGGAACCATTTGGATGGTGGCAGTTGGTGATCTGGCTCCAAGACAGGTGGGGCCGGGCATGCAGGGCTCTGGCCATCATGGTAGGACATATGAACGCCATCCTGTGAGCCAGGAGAGCCCGTGGGGTGTGTGTCTCGAGGAGAGCCGGGCAATAGAGGCTTCTGGAAACAGCACGAAAAATGTGTGCATTCTGGGAGAATCAGAGGTCACCAGAAAGTGTCACAGAGGAGGTGGGGAAAACCCTTCCACAGTGGAAGTGGACGGAAAGCATGATTCCACGTGGGGATACGCAGATAGGAAAGGACGTGGGAGTGCTCTGGCCCGGGAAAGGGCAGGGCCCTCGCCGAATGCAGTGTGAGCACAACAGCACTGAGGTGCGAGAAGGCCCGACTAACAGAAAGCAGGCATTTGTGGGCACATCCTTCCTTTTAATAAAACCAACCGGCCTTCTCCAGGCCATTGGAAAGCCTACATTTACAGGCACTGGCCTCGCTCCCGGGAAGCGTCTGGAACGCCCGCTCCTGCTCACCAGCTCTATGGACACGGTGAGGCAGGGGAAGTGTTTGTTCGTCAGCTTGACCTTCAGGGCTCTGGCATTCTGGGCCGTCTTCAACGCCCGAGACAGATTTTCCGAGGTCAGCTCTAGGTAGATGGCGTTGTTTTCTGCAGAGACGCCCTCCATCTGGAATTCACTGAAGAAGTTCTCCTGCGGGAAGGAAGAGAGCGGGCCAGTGCGGCCTCTGGCGACCTCGGGGTGCAGCTCCCAGCCTCCGGCTGCGCGCACACCTGCTCCAGCTCACACCACATGCTCACGCCCCCGCTGGCCACTTTGTCGGAGAGGATGAAGTTCAGCTTCTGCGGGCTGATGCGGAGTGTGCACGTCTTGGCCAGCTTGGCTATCGTGGCACTGACCCCTGTGGCGGGGCAAAGCCGGAATCAGCAGGAAGCACACGGAGGGTCGGAGCATAACCTGGCTGGGACCACGCTGCAGGCTGAGGACACTGCCCGCTGCGAAGAGAACCGGTCTGTCCCCTCCCCGCGGGAAAGCACTCTGACACCCTGAGGCCAAGCCGGCAGCCTCAGAGCCCAGCCAGGTGTGGCGGGATGAGGACAGCCAGCTGGGGGGCTACTGGCCCCTAGCTGGGGGGGTCCCCCACTCATCCTGCACCGAGGCCCGCAGGGGGCTGCAGCCCCGAGGCCAGTGCAAGGCTCGGCACCCACAGGGCGCAGGGACCCTGCGGCCCCGCTTCCAAGGCAGGTGGGCGCTGGCAGAAGCCACCTGGTCCCAGTCAAGTCGGGGAAATCAGCCTGGGTACCCCGGCACCTGCTCTCCCGCCTGCCAGTGCCCACCCTGACCACCCTGCCACCCCGGCGAGGCCCCGTGCACCTCCGCGCCCCATCCTGAGCCGCAGCAACGCCCTCTGGCCCCACACCCCATCCCCACCCCCGCGCCCCCTGACCCTCCCGGGCCCCATTTCCGGCGCCCCATGCCCCGCGCCCCCCGACCCATCCGCGCTCCCACGCCCTGCGCCCCCCACCCTCCCGCACCCCCATCCTCCATCCTCGCCCCGCGGGCGGCCGCACACGCCCCCACGGGGTCCCGGCCGCGCGGGCTGCTTCCGGTCCGCCCGCCCCTCTCCGGCCCCCGCGGCCGGCGCGGGCCCCGCTCACGCGTGAAGTGGTTCAGACACGCCGCGTCCACGATCTTGGCCCGAAACTTCATGGCGGGACGCGGGCCCGCGCGGGGCGTCGGTGGCGGTGACTCGGGTCCCCTCTTCAGCTTCCCGCCGGAAACGTCGCCCGCGCGCATTGGTTCCGCCTCCAGGCCCGCCCCGGGGAAGGCGGGGCCTCACGGTCACGCCCCCGGGGAGGCGGGGACCCGTGGCCACGCCCCCGTGGAGGCGGGACCTGGGGCGAGGTGTCCGGGAGAGGGCTTCCCGGGTCACCCTCGACGCGGCTTACCGGAGAGGCGGGTCCGGGTCACAGTCGGGGTCGCACCCCGGGGAAGGCGAGGTCAGGGGCCACGTCATCGGGTGCGGTCGGGCTCCAGGTCGCGTCCCGAGGGGTCGGGGCCGGGGTCGTGACCGCGGGAGGGGGCGTATGCGGGTCCCGTTCCGGTCCCCTCTGTGGGGACGTGGGGTCTCCGGTCCGCCCCGGGAGCGCTGGCGTCGGACGTGCCCGGGGGCGGCCTCTGCTCGTGGTGACGTGCCGGCTGCGGCCCCCGAGAGCGGGCGCTGCCTCCGCGGGTTCGCGGTCGGGGAGAGCTCGGGGCCGCCGCCCTCGGCCGGCGGGACGCGCCCCGCGGGACTCGCAGCTGCTCCCCGGGACCCAGCGACGCGGTCGCCGAGCGCACCCCTCGGGCCGCGGGAGCTCCGGACCCTCGCGCTCGGACGGCCGCCCCGGGGCTCGCGTGCGACCCCGGAGCTGGGACCGTCGGCGTCCGAGTGAAAGTCGGACGGCGCAGGAGCCGCTTTGTGCGGGGCCGGGAGGGTCGGTCCGAGCGACCCTGAGCGGAGAGAGCGGGGCGGGGGCGAGGGTCCTGGAGGCCCGGGTGCGAGCAGCTGCGGGTCTGTGCTGGGGACGCAGCCCGCACCCGCCCTCCCGGCCCAGGCCTGCAGGTGTCCCCGCGGAGGGCTCTGCGCCCCAGGTCAGTCACCGCGGGTCCCCCTGGAGCCGAGGACCGCATCCCTGCGCCTCCCCGCCCCCGCCCCCCGCCTCGCTGAGACGCTCCCCTTACTCCCGGTCCTGGAGACCTAAGGGGGGACTGGGCGAGCTCGTCTCCAGACGGACTCCGCCGATCCGGCGATGTACACGACGTCGCAGAATTTCAAAGAACAAAACAGGAAATGGAGCATCCGCTGAATCCAGCTCAAAGACAAGATCGTCCATGCTGGGAATGCGTGATTTGGGGGCACCGGGGTGGCTCCGCCGGCGGCTCTTGATGGAGGGTCGTCAGTTCGAGCCCCACGTTGGGCACGGAGCCTACTTAAAAAAAAATTGTAAAATAAAAAGTGTTCATTTTAATGTGCCTCGCAAATAAGGACCCACAAACTTGCTTTTAACTTGACAGGTAGAATCAAGATGTGAAAATGAATACAAAGTATTCGAAAGGTGTAAAATACAAAAATCACAAAAAATTCTCCCTATTTTAAGACTATAAGGTGAAACTTAATTGCAGTCTACATTGTAATATAGAAGTGTTTACCAAACCAAACGTGATTTAATGTCACCTTTCATTTTTTTGTGAACAAAACATGCTTTCTTTATGATGACATAAATTAAGTTTTTTATTTTATTGATTTGAGAGAGAGAGAGAGCGAGCAGGAAAGGGGGGAGGGTCAGAGGGAGAAGCAAACTCCCCACCAAGCCTGATGGGGGACTTGATTCCGGGACTCCAGGATCTGGCCCGAGCTGAAGGCAGTCACCCAACCAGCTGAGCCACCTAGACGCTCCAGCATAAATTAATTTTAAAATAGATAAGTTGTTACATGAGGCGGTTGCTGTGGAGATCACATAAATATAAAGAATGTCTCTAAATAAACTTTGTAAACAATGTTTCACAGAATATTGAACTTCGTTTTTATTTTTTTAAAGATTTTATGTTTAAACAACCTCTACACCCAATGTGAGGCTCAAACTCACGACTCCCAAGACCAAGAGTTACCTGCTCCAGCGACTAAGCCACCCAGGCACCCCTGATCTTCACTTTACGTGACTTAATTTTATACCATAAAAAAATAACTTTTTAAACTTACTAAGAAGACTTCCATGATAATGCATTCTGTGTAGACAAAGGCCCAAATAATATTGGGAATTTTGACCCAACAGTTATAAAATGAAGCTGTAATAATCTTTTCCTGAAAGAGAAAAGGGATCTTATGTATGAAGTCTTGCAGTTTACTTAAACTAAATTAAATAGGTTTAGCAACCTAAGAGTTTCAGTTCTGATAATTAAATATACTGCACTACTTCCCTACATTCTTTTCCCAAATGATCATGCAGTAAGGAATGAGATCACCAGAGATCTCTAGAAACCTGTGTGTGCCACTGAGTTTTCTTTTCTTTTCTTTTCTTTTCTTTTCTTTTCTTTTCTTTTCTTTCTTTCTTTCTTTCTTTTTTTTAGAGATTTTATTTATTTATTTGCCAGAGAGAGACACAGCGAGAGAAGGAAGACAAGCAGGGGGAGTGGGAGAGGGAGAAGCAGACTTCCCGCTGAGCAGGGAGCCTGATGCAGGGCTTGAGCCCAGGACCCTAGAATCATGACCTGAGCCGAAGGCAGACACGTAATGATGGAGCCACCCGTTCACCCCTAGTTTTCTAACAGCATGTACATTCATGTTGCTGTCAGTCTGGCTGGTAAACAGCCTTCCGATGTAAACACAGCCACACCTCAGGATTAGGAAATGAGACACGGGATGATCTAGGGACCGGTGTTGGTGGTGTTCATTATCTCTGTGTCCTGTGCGAGGAAATGCCCTAATTTTGTCCTCAAATGAAAATACAACCAGAGGGTAGCGGATGAAAGTGTTTGCTGGCTGTTGCTCAGTGTGGGTCAGGTGCCCGCTCATCTCCTCTAGCCACAGGGGAGGACTGACTGCAATCCCAGTGCTACCACTTAGTGTCGGGAAATCTTACCCCAGGGGAAAGAGACCGGCATGGCTCAGAGCTTCTGCATCGGATTTGACAGGCAGTATTTATCTTTCTTTTTTCTTTTACATGAAAACACATAAAATGAAGGAAAGCGTACTGTAGAGGCGCCGTGAGGGCACGTCTTTTGAGAATTGTCCCGGTTTTAAGGCATGGTTTTTGCTTAAAAGGCTTTTTAGAGACTTCTCATCTTTTAGATGCTGAAGGAAAAATACTTCCATAAATTTCATAAACATTTTTAGAATTAACGTTCATGGAGCCTGTGGCAACTGTCAGGCACAGCGCTCAGGGTTGGGGTTCTATATTTTTTTTTAAGATTTTATTTTATTTATTTATTTGACAGAGAGAGAGAGAGCACAAGCAGGGAAGCAGCCAAGGCAGAGGGAGAAGCAGACTCCCTATTGAGCAGGGAGCCTGATACGGGGCTCGATCCCAGGACCCTGAGATCATGACCTGAGCCGAAGGCAGATGCTTCACCGACTGAGCCCCCCAGGCACCCCAGGGTTGGCATTCTGAAGAAGGGGACCCCCACCTCCCAGGACAAGGGAGACCAGCATTTGTCGGCTCTCTCCTGTCTTTCAGGCATGGGCACTGTTGAAATACGATCCCAGCAGGCTTAGTTAGAGACCCATCACTTACGTATCACTTTGATGACAAACCCCAGAAGCCAGTTGCTGATTCCCCCAGTTGAAAGGTGGGGAACTGCGGAGAAGAGCTACGGGAGCCATGCATCAGGGTAGGTGGGTAGGTGGGTTGGCTTCCTGGCCGGTTTCCCTGGGCTGGTTGCCCCAGATCGTGGGTCAGAGTTCTGCCCCACTTGTGTGCTCTAGCCATCGTCTGTGTGTGTATCCAGCCTCTCATTACATTGCCAGCACCAACGAACATAGGGGGTTCTGCCATCCTGAAGTCTTCCTACAGGAACTGGGACCAGGATCCCCACAAATGAGAGCAGGCAGGAAATGGGCAGTGTCTTGGTCACCGACGGATGTGTAAGGAATTCTCCCCAAACTGGTGGCTTCGACAACAAGGGTCTGTGGTGTCTTCATGAGTCTGGCCTCTTCCACTTGTACCTGCACGTCCCGATGAGGCCGCATTCAGCTGGGGGCTGGTCTAGGGGGTCTCCCCCACACACCTGGCGCTTGGTACTGGGTGTGGCCCCGGGGCACCTCCTTCTGCTCCTTGCGGTCCCCCATCCTCCTGGCAGGGTGATTCTGGATGGTGGTCCAAGGAGCCGGCAGAAGCAGCAGGGTCTCCAGAATTCCTACAACATCCCTTCTGTCTCCTTCCATCAGTCAGTGCAAGTCCCGGGCCAGCCTAGCGACGAGGAGGCCAAGGAACAGAACGCCCCTCTGGTTAGGAGGAGCAGCCAAGTGGAACAGCTAAAGGCCGTGCATAGGGGATGCAGAGAGAGGACTCTGTGCCCCTAGAACAGCCCCCGACCCAGCCACGGCCAAAGGTGAGGCTTGAAGGGGGTGGGAGGTACATGTTTCCTGTCCTCGTGTTCCAAGATCTCCAGGAAACTCCATAAGAGCTCCCTTCACTCATACTGCGCTTGCCACAGGGCATTTCTCTGACAACCCAAACCACCTGTCCTAGAACGCTGCCCAAGGTCACAGTCCTTGTTAGCTTTGAAACTGATCAGGACCCTGCATCTCCGCATTCATGCCGCCCCAGACAGTCGTGCTCACCGGCTGAAATAGAGTTCTATCCTCAATTCCCCAACCTGAGGAGGGTCTCGGGGCACCAAGGTATTCTGTGGAGATGGGCGTCATTCCCACCCAGTGAGGGTGCGTGCCCGGGGCTAACTGTTGGCTCACCTGCCCTATGATGCCCTTGTGAACCAACTTCCACGCTGGTCGCTGGGAAGTGATTGTATCATTCACTCTTGAGAGGAGTGGCCGCTTGGGGACCACCACCACCACCACCCCCGCCTCCCCGGGCCTGAGGGACCAACTTAGCCCTTCCTCCGAGGCTTCAGTTCCCCTGGCTCCCCCTCCATCCCCCCACCTCCCTCCATCACACTGTCCCCACCGGACAATTGCCACAACTCCCTGTCTGGCTTCCGTGTGTCCACTGTTGGGCTGACTCCTCTGTTCTCCAGCGGCAACCAGATGGCCACGTCTACACTCACATTTGATCCCTGGTGGCCACAAAAGCATCACTCCTCGGTTAGAGCCGAAAATCTGTACTCTCTGGTCCAGCCTCATCACATGTCACTTTTGCAAAGCTCTTCTACTTCTTTTGAAACAAAACACCACACATGGGGCATCTGGGTGGTCAGTGGGTTAAGCGTCTGCCTTAGGCTCAGGTCATGATCTCAGGGTCCTGGGATCGAGCCCCGCATTGGGCTGTCTGCTCACTGGGGAGCCTGCTTCCCCCTCTCTCTCTGCCTGCCTCTCTGCCTACTTGTGATCTCTCTCTCTGTCAAATAAATAAATAATCTTAAAAACAAAACAAAACACCACACATGTGTGTCTCCTTAGAGCAACACGACTAACTACCCCACATGTTGTCCCCCTCGCCCCAAGTCCCTATGCGGCGGGTCCCGTGTGGCTTCGTGGTTTCACCGAAGAGCCACCTTCTCCACGGAACCCCGTGTGTCGTGTGGGGCACCTGTTGGCTGGCAGGAAGCGCACATCCTTGGGGCTTTGTCCCCTGGAGCAGACTGAAGCTTCCCACGGCCCTAAGGCTTGCTTAGTGGCCCCTGTGCTCAGGGGAGGCTCCAAAAGGGCTGAAGGTCTGAATTCCATGCTGCAGCCTTCCTCTCCTGTGACAGATTGGAAGGCACCCTGCCCCCAGGCCACGTCTGTGTCCCCACACTCAGGAACGCCTGGGCCAGCACCGCAGGGGCAGCCTTCTGTACTTCCTCCTGAGGGCGTCCCGGCTTTCAGAACGGCCGGGGACTTCCCTCCATGCCCAGGCAGTGCGGAGATGGGTCAGCCTGGGGACCCCTGGCCCAGGTCTCTCACTTGCCAGGAGCTGCCCCACTTTGTATTTCCGCATTTCCTTCTTGTTCAAATTCCTTCCTTCCATTTCTGTTGCTCATTCTCCCTCCACAGGGCGTCTGCCTCTAGATCTCAGCTCAGGTAGGATCTCAGGTAGGATCTCAAGCCCCGGGTTGGGCTCCACGCTCAGTTTAAGATCTCCTCTCCCCCCTCCCTCTGCCCCGCCCTGCTAATGTGCGTGCACATTCTCTCTCTCTTAAATATATCTTCTTAAAAATAATAAATAAAAGATAACTCAGAAACAGCCAGAAGGAAGAGCCCCACGGGTGAGGTCTGGGGAAAGGGTATGGAGTTTCCACGCCTCCCCAGGGCACCACTTAACCCTCAAATCTCCGCATTCACCAACTTGGCTGCTCTTTGAACCCCATCTTTTTGGGTTTTTACACAAGCTTCATTATATAAGCGTGACTGATGTAATCATTCGACAGGTGAATGAACTCGATCTCCAGCCTCTTTCCCTGAAGGTCAGGGGTGGGGGCTGGAAGTTCCAAACCTCCAATCCCAAACCCCAGTGTTCCCTGGAGTGGTCCCAAGGTCCTCTCATTAGCATAACAAGAGGCACCCTTCTGTTTCTGTCACTTAGTAAATTACTAGGGTTTTAGAAGCTCCAGCCAGAAAGGGGACAAAGGCCAGATACACCCTTTGTATTATAAATCACAGTATCATAGCATTATTCCTGTAGATTCTATTCCTCTGGAAGGTTTCCTGGTTTCCTACCAAGTTTCTGTTTTCATATGAACTCGTTCAAAACACAACTCTTTTACTTTCTTGTATATATATATGTTTTAATCTTTTTTAAAAAAGATTTTATTTATTAATTTGCGAGAGAGAGAGAGAGAGAGAGAGAGGGAGCACAAGCAGGGGAGCGGCAGGCAAAGGCAGAGGGAGAAGCAGACTCCCCGCCCAGCAGAGAGCCAGATGTGGGACTGGATCCCAGGACCCTGGTGTCATGACCTGAGACAAAGGCAGAGGCTTAACCAACTGAGCCACCCAGGCATCCTCTGTGCGTTTTAATCTTTTTAAAACTTCACTGAAATTGGAACTATCAAGTACAGATACTTATTGTAGGCAAAATAGTGTCAGTGAACACTTGGGGACAAGCACCTGACTTCAGTGATCATTTCATGGCCAATCTTTTTCATCCATCCCTCGATGCATGTCCTCCTATGTAATTTTGGAACATACCCTAAAAATATCATTTCATCTGTAAATCATAAATCCATAAATATAAATGTAAAACATGCAAACATGCATTTTAAAAATCCATAAATCTAAATACATAAATCTAAGTGATAAGAATCCCCACAGGCACCGAAACATCGTTTTTAACAATCATCCCAAATAATCCTCTCACAAGTACCGTGAATTTTTTTCAGGCTTTTAATTGACATCTTTTTCAGGTTTTTAAATGGGATCAAACTCACTGTGTAGATTAACATGCGGAGAACTGACGTCTCGATAGTGGAGTTTCCACATCCACAGAGCAAGCAGGTCTCCCCAGTTCCCGGAGTTTTAGTTTAATGATCCACCAGTGTTTATGGGTCTTCATGGCGGGCTCCCCCGACCCACGATTCCAGGTCCTCATGGTCAACTGTGGTCGCGAAGCAGGTGACCCCCTTATGATCTACTTTCACGAGGTCAGTACAATCCAACCCTAGGTCACAAGCCTGCATCACTCACCCCCATCATTCCCTTGCCTGGCTTCCTCCTCCTCAATCATCCCAGGAAGGATGAATGCAGGACAGTAAGGAGGTATGAGAGACAGACAGACCACATGCACGTAGCTTTTATCACCGTATATTGTTACACTTGTTCTGTTTTATTGTTAGTTATTACTGTTAATCTCTTCCTGTCCTAATTTATAAATCAGACTTTATGATACATGTATGTGTATAGGGAAAACGTGGTATATACTGGGTTCTCTACTATCCACGGATTTAGGCACGCATGTATCCCCCCAAGGCAAAGGGGGACAACTGTATGGGTAGCTTAACTGTTTAATTTATTTTATTTTATTTAAAGATTTATTTATTTATTTGAGGGGGAAGGGGGAGAGGCAGTGGGAGAGACAGAGACTCTCAAGACGACCCCCACTGACTGGGGCTCCATCCCCTGACCCTGACATCATGACCTGAGCAGAAATCAAGAGTCAGATGCTTAACAGACAGAACCACCCGGGCGCCCCTTCTTTTTTCTTCAATCGTGGTCATAGCTTTCATCCCCCCACTGGCCATTGTTCGTATTTATGAAGTTGACTTCTATGTGACGATTTTGTATCCGCTAACTGCCTGCAGTTTCTCCTTGTCCGAATCTCTTCATTGACTTTCCTGCCGTTCAAGGAATTCACCAAGCCATCTGCAGGTAGTCAGGGACCGGCGGGCTGACGTCCCCTCTAATTTTTACGTCGAATTTCTTTGGCTTACCTGCTCACATTGACCGGTGAAAGCAATCTCATCACTGTCATATATACGTATACGTCATTGCGGTAATGGGGCCGGGGGCATCCGAGCCTGGTGTGGTTCGGGCTGCGTGAGTAATGAAGGCAGATACTAGTAGGAGAGACTAGAATAAAAGCCGCTTCTTCCAATACATACATTTCAGCCTTCCACAGATTCATCCTCAAGAGCTAAACCACCACCAGACCACTGTACCTATTTTCATATATTTTTACTAGGAAAAGTCATTCACTTTTGATTGACTGGGACTTGGACACTTGGAGATTTCCCTCTCACTCCCCCATCTGGATTCCTCCGGGTGCGGTGATCTAAAGGAATGAGCATGGTCCCATATTCTGGACTGTGGTCACGGCCGTGTGCACAGGTCCGTCTCTGGGGTTACTCTCCTGGAGTTCCGTGGACCCTGAATCTATATACACACGTGTACGTTGGGTGTCCCCAGTTGCTGAGGATTTTCAGTTTCACACATAGTAAGGATTCCGAAACGTCACGCTGAAAATAAAGAAAAGATACAAATGAATGCCTTATACAGAGATCCATCTCCAAGCGTCCCAAGGGATGCTGATATAATGGGAAATCAGAACTCTGTCTTTCCTTCCTAACCAGTATTTTATTAGACGTCCAGTCTCAGGGATGGGAAAACAGGTCCTGGCAAGCACAGGTCTTCCCAGTCCTTCATGAGAAGGACTGTGTCCCCAGGTGGGAGGCCGAGAGAGACATGGATAAACAATCACAGGTGAGAAACTTCACAGGTTCATTCATTTCTAACACACATATCAGTTCCAGCTCAGATGATCTTGGCATTGGCCAGGAAGTATCATCTACAACACACTTCTTTTTACATGGTAGGCAACACCTTCTAAGTCTTCCTGTGTCTAATGACAAATAACGAAAATATATTTATTTCATCTACCTTAATGGCTTTCAGGTGTTTTTAATGTTACCAGTTGGTATTTTTTCCCATTTCCTCTTCCTAACACTCCCCAGTGTCAGGAAGAGAGGTTTGAGTCCCATTGTCTGGTCTTTATTTTCTGTTCCCGAGTTCCTGTCTGTAGCCATCTCCATAGGAGACAACCCAGTGACCGCCAAACCTAATAGTATCAAGGGAACCCAACAGGTAAGAGAAGGACCGAGAAAATGAATATAGTAAAAAATATATATATTTCACTTTAGTTTTACTATATTTTATTTTATTTTTATTATACTTATAATACAGTTTACTATAGTTTACTATATTTAAAATATAGTAAATATATTTACTATAGTTTACTATACTCATTCATATATATATATATGTATATATGAGAAATGTGAAAATGAGAACGAATCTGGCTTAGGACCTGCTCTGGTACTTGTTTTTCGGGGGCATTAAAATCCATGTAGCTCTTGGAGCTAACAATGGAAGTTGCGCCTAGCCTTCCATAGCTCACACTTTTGTCAAAATTATCCTCACACAACACGGCATCAGCAACACCCACAGACCCCTGACCCGGGGATGGAGTTCCTCACACCCCACGTTTTCCGGGCGCTCGGTACCTGGAGCTCGAATGTTTGAACGGTGCTTCCCGTTTTGTCATAGATGAACTGACCTAGGAAAATTTCTTCCCCATCACACAGTTTGGAGATACCCTGTGAAGGAGAGCGACAGACGAGGGGGTTTTTGTGAATAGATGCTCGGCTACATAAACGGGGAAGGTTGTCCGTCCAGGTAGCAACAATTCTCAAGACATCCTTGGCCACCCTCCAGGAGCACGGTGCTGCCCTGTACACCCAAGAGGTGTTTAGCTCAGCTTGTGAGGCAAGAGGAGGCTAACCGCGGGTCTGACTGGATAGACAGACGATAGGGAGATAGATCGAGCAATCGATCAATAGATAGATACATAGACAGACAGACAGATAGAGACGGGGAACTAGAGCATATCCCAGCATGGACCCTGGTTCAGTAACTGAATTACAGTTGGCATGCTTTGAATAAAATAAGCACAAATTTGAGGGGCACCTGGGTGGCTCGGTCGGTGAAGCATCCCACTCTCAATTTGGGCTCAGGGTCACGCTTTGTGCTCAGCACGAATTTGCCTGTCCCTCTCCCTCCACTGCTCCCCCCCCCACTCACTCCCTCAAATAAATAAATAAATGAATAAAATCTTTAAAACACGCACACACAAAATGTGTCCCCATGCTGACCCAAAGTTTTTCGAAATGACTAAGTGTAATTCAATCGCCAGACTTCGAGAACACAAATAACTCCATCCAAAAAGTAAGGTTTTTGACTGAAGGAACTTAATGATATTTGTATGCTCTTTCCCTTGCGCTCCTTCCTTCTCTACCTTCAAAATGGAAGATTTTTGAGAGGGGACAGACCAGTGGAAATGAATTTATTTTGTGACTCTGAACTTTATCATTAGCTTCCTTGAATCATGGCAACACAATAAACAAAGAGTTCATTGGTTCAACTATTTGATAATGAAAATATTAATATGTAACCTTTATCATAAGTTTTTTTTTTTTTTTAAGTAAGCTCTTCACCCAACTTGGGGCTTGAATTCATGACCCCAAGATCAAGAGTTGTAAGCTCCACCTACTGAGCCAGCCAGGTGCCCCCATCCCAAATTTATTAAAAGAATTGGCTGCAACATGATTACATAATGCGGCCACAATTATAGATAAAACATACAGCTCAAACCTCATACACAGCGGACCCTTGAACAACCCGGCTTCAACTGTGTGTGTGGGTCTGCACAGATGTGGATTTTTTGGATAAATACATGCTTTTCTTTTCTTTTTAAACATTTTATTTGAGAGAGAGAATGAGAACGAGCGAGCCTGGGGGTGGGAGGGGGTCAGAGGGAGAAAGAGACTCCCTGCTGAGCAGGGAGCCTGATGTGGGACTCGATCCTGGAACTCCAGGATCATGACTTGAGCCAAAGGCAGACACTTAACTGACTGAGCCACCCAGGTGCCCTTCCTCCAGCTTACTTTATTATAAGAATACGGCATCTAATATATATGACAAGCAAAATATTATGTTCATCGACTGCTATCGATAGATTTAGGGGTCAACAGTAAGATGTTGGTAGTTAAGTTTTTGGGGGGTCAAGTGTAGGGGAGGGGTTTCAACGGAATAGGAGGGAGTGACTGCTCTAATTCCTCTAACTTCAATTTTACCAGTTCATGGATTTGCTAATATAAGAGAAAAATGATGGGAATGGTATTTATTGTCTGAAGGGTGACTCGTAATTCCCCTATAATGAGCAACTGATACGTCTCTCTGAGATGGGGTTTGAGCGGCTCAAATCCAACCTTTGTCTGTCTGTCAGCAGACACCCACTGTGGGTGGCAGCAGGTTTGCCTCAAAGGGTAGGGGGTTCCTTTCTGTCTTGTGACCCAGAATCATGCCATTTACAGGCACTCGAAGGGTGCACAAAGCAGACAGAGCACTCATGCTTTAACCCCAAACTCTCCTCCAGATCGGGCCACCAAGGCAGAGAGCAACAGGGAACACCCAGGAACAGACACTAAGATGAAAAGGTCTGGAAAGAGCCGATCGATGACTGGTAGAATGGCCTGGAGCAAGAATAGATTATCCTGGTTGTAGGGGGACCAGCAGCATGCTGGCGCTGTCATTGCAAGTCCCCAGAAGGGCAGACACAGGGCCACGAACTGTGGGCGAGCTTGGGGTTGCCTGGGGAGCCCATGTACCTACTGTCCCCGCAGGTGGTTGACCAAGCTGAAATCTGGGCATAAGTTTGCAGGATTCCTCAAGGGTCAACCTGCTCCCATCACACTCTGGGGGTTCCAGAGGAATCGGCCCAAGCAGACCACCCACCCAGCGGCCACCACCTTGCATGCAGAGTTTGGCTGGCTTTCTACCCTTTGGCTCTTAAATGCAACAGATGAGCATCACCAGGCACCAGAGAAAAAAGCACCTTTCCACAAACAGGAGAACTGGTCTTTGGGAATAGGACACGGGAGGGAGCCGGAGAACATGCAGCATAGCTCTAATTAGTGTCCATTAGCATCTTCGGAAGCTTGAGAGAAGATACCGCATCCATGGAGGAAGAAATTCAGACTCTAAAAAGAGGAGTTATTTGCAGAAAAAAATAAATCTTAAAATAATCATGACAGCAGAAATGAAAAATTCAACGTATGGGTCAGGATATAAGTTGATAAAAATCTTCCAGAAGGTGGAACAAACCAAGAAGGAAAATTAGAGAGAAAAAGATTGTTTAAATCATAGATTAGGTGGTTAAGTCGCATCCTCAGGGTGAGGACATGAAGTCCGGTCAGATCGGAGCATGAGGGCAGAGTGGGCAAGAGGGGAAGCTTTAAAAAAATAAAATCGAGGAGAAACTTGGAAATGACCTTACAGGAAGGAACACAATGGTAGGACTTTAACCCTTCCGAAAACGAGGCAGGGGACAGTTTTGGGCTAGGAATATAGAAAAGTAAGCAAATTCAATTGAAACAAGGCATTTGTTTTAACGAGAGGAACATCAAAGTCTCACCCAAAGAAAATAGTATTCCAGTTTGCCGCAGGGTTCGATGAGAACACCTCCATGCACACAGTGACCGTGAAAACACGCATATTGATGGAAAGGAAGATACGCTGTCTAGCAGTGTCCCAAACGTGACACTGGATTTACCCTGTGACCTCGTAATTCCACGTCCAGGTATAGATTCAAGAGAAATGAGCACCAGGTTCCACACAAAGATGCGTACATGAATGTTCCTGGCAGCCTTATTCCTAATAATCAGGAAAGGAGAAACAGCTCAAACGCCCGTCCGCTGATAAGTGGGCGTAGAAGACGTGTTCTAGCCACACCATGAAATTTTTATTATTCAGCAATTTATTTTTATTTCTTTAAATGATTTTAAAAAAGATTATTTGAGAGAATGAGACAGGGGAGGGAGAGGCAGAGAGAGTCGTAAGCAGACTCAATGCTGAATGCAGAGCCCGACACGGGGCTCGATCTCGGGACCCTGAGATCATGACCTGAGCAGAAACCAAGAGCAGACGCTTAATGGACAGAGCCACCCAGGTGCCCCTATTAGTCAGCAATTTAAAAATAAAGTACGGAGCCATGTTATAGAGCACAGAGGAACCTCGAAGACGTGATGCTGAGTGGAAAGAGCCTTGCACGGAAGGTCACATATTATACGATTCCACTTAAATGACATGTCCGGAGTAGGCAGCATTGCAGAGACAAAATAGGTCAGCGGTGTGTGTGTGGGGGGGTGTGTGGGGCAGGCAGCGGGCTTGGCGATGAGAACTGACAGCTCAGGAGGGCAAGTCTTCTTTGGGGAGCAACAAAAATGTCCTAAAGTCGACCGTGGTGTTGGATACACAACTCTGTGAATATACTAAGGGCCACGGACAGGAACACTTTAAGCAAATTGTTGGCGTGTGAATAACATCTCAGTAAACTTGTCTTTTAAAGACAAGTAAGTCCTAAACACTGGGGGAGGATGGGAGAGCCATGGACGAGGACTCCTCTTCATTTTTCATCAGAGGACGTCAGTAGATGATAAGCAAAACTGAAAAAAAATTCAGGAAATAAATGTAGGGACACTTGGTTAGCTTAGTTGGTAGAGCACGTGACTCTTGATTTTTGGGATAATGAGTTCAAGTCCCACATCTGGCACAGAGATTACTTTCAAAAGAAGTAACAGCAAAAGCAAATATGAAGGGAAGTGTACCCAAACAAGCAGTTAAAACTGGCAAGCAGAAGCTTCCAGAGAGTAGAAACCTGGGTGGGAGCCCTGGCACAAGAAAAAAGTGTTTAGTTATAAGCATATGAGAATGCTGATTTTTAAATTGTGCACATGTAGCTTTGACCAAAGTTTTTAAAAAAAAAAAAAAAGTAAGTCACAGAAATCCTCCGGACCAACCCTCTCTCTTTTGTAGATGGCAAAGCAGAAGTTCCGGAAAGAAGGAACTTTCTTGCAGTGATAAAAATGGTTAGCTGTCCAGTGGAGGTGCCAGCCCAGCGTCTGATTCCTAGCCAACCCCCTCCTTGTATAACCCACTCTGAGGTGATTCCAGCTCCCTCTCACATGGACGGAAAACTCCTTGGGTGCGCTGGAGATGTTTCCTGACGGAGACACCTTCTCCGAGATGTGCTCCATGGTGATAGCAGTTGGCGTGATCCTCCTGGCAAGCTTGATCAGGGCGTGGCCCTGGGAACCCGGGAAGGCCCAGCACTTCCCAGGGTGGACATCCGGCTGGAGAGAAAACACCGAGTTCACCATTACCACAGATCTTGTTTATGCCTGTAATACGAAGGCATTGTGTGGGGTACATACCACACGGGAAAACTGCCAAGGTACCCAGGGGTTTGGTTGTTCTCCCAGAGCACATTACGCTTCTATCACTCAAAGCCCTTCCTAATAGGATTATCTATTATAGGATTATATGATTTATTTACTATGCATCTTCTTTTATTGTTCTACTTAGACTGTATGTAGCTACTTAGCTGGTTGGCATGACTGGTGATGGTGTGCTGGTGATAAAGACAGTGATGGAGGTGATGATAGTGATGATGGTGGTGGTGGAGGTGGTGATGGTGGTGGCGGTGGTGCTGGTAGAGGTGGTGATAGTGATGGTGGTGGTGGTGGTGATGATGGTGATGATGGTGGTGGTGATGAAGATGATGGTGATGGTGGTTGTGATTATGGTAGTGGAGGTGATGGTGGTTGTGATGCTGGTGGTGGAGGTGATGGTAGTGATGATGATGGTGATGGAGGTGATGGTGGTGGTGACGATGGTGGTGGAGGTGATGTTGGTGATGGTGGTGGTGATGATGATGGTGATGGTGGCTGTCATGATGGTGGTGGAGATGATGGTGGTTGCGATAGTGCTGGTGGAGGTGGCGACAGTGGTGGTGGTCAAAGTAGTGGTGGTGGTAAGGAAGAAAATGTACCATGTTCTAGATCTAGAGTCTGCAATGAGATCTGCATGATTGCTCCTGAAGGTATTCCTCCCTTGGAAAAGGACATCAGGTTTGTAGACGGTAGTCAAGAGCAGCCCTACCATCTGCTGGTGTCTACTTAGAGTCTTCTGAATTGCACTCACATGTTGGTGGAAATCTTATTTGGAAATCTCTCCTGTTACACTTGGACTTTGGAGGAATATGTTGGTCTGGAAAGAGGGGGGCACAGTGCTGACACTTAAGGGTGAGAACCTGGAGCTAACATTTGCTGAAAGACTGAAGTTTTCAACAGAAAAGGGGGGGGGCACAGGATCAACTTCAGGAAGAGATATGGAATGCAAATGTCCTATTTAAGAAATAAACTAGCTTACTGATTTTAAAATAATAAAAACAATCAATAATTAATCAATTGTAGTTTACTGCTCATAAAATAAGAGATAATTTATATAGTTTGATGACTATTAAAATGCAAGTACAGGGGAGCCTGGGTGGCTCAGCTGGTTAAGCATCTGACTCTTGATTTCAGCTCAGGTCAGGATCTCAGGGTCGTGAGATTGAGCCCCATGTCAGGCTCTGCCCTCAGCATGGAGTCTGCTTGGGATTCTCAATCTCTCTCTGTCTCTCCCTTCCCCTCCCCCCAAAATGAAATAATAAAATAAAATAAAATGCAAGGTGAGGGTTTCAGGTGCTGTGACAAATTCAAATGGCCTCGATTTTGAGTGTTAGTATCTTCATGATAAATAGGAACAGAATCCTCTGATACAAACGGATTCCTCTGAGTCTCGCTTTTACCTGGAGAATAATGTCTGGGGGCATTTCATAAGTTAAGAACCCGATCCCATGCCAGTAAAGTTTCGCTTTATTATTTTTGTAACTTTCCGACGTCCCAGCTTCAACGACAGAGGCCCCTGCAAAGACAAAAGTATTTGAAAAATAAAGAAGTACACGTCTCAAAACGCATCACTTCTGTTTTCCCAGCGCTGTTGGACAAGCATTCCCAGGCGAACTGCAAGTGAGGTGAGACTCACACTCGGGACTCGGCCGGGAGAGCACGGTTTCCCGCTCTCACTGCGGCGGAGAATTTGTCACTTTGGGACGACATTCTTGCTCCGTGTGGTTTCACAGCATTTCTGAAATGGGTATGGAGTGAATTCCAGAACTGATTCAGGGGTGCAAACAGTGGGCTGTTTACTACCTAAACAGAGGCACGGATGCCCACTTCTTAATAGCCCAACCTACTTAAAAGCAAAACAAAAAACATAAAAAACACTATCAAGGGTGCCTGAGTGTCTCGGGCAGTGAAGCAGCCGACTTGGTTTTGGCTCTGGTCCCAATCTCTGCTTTTTGTATTTTGTCCAAATCTTTCAGCTGCGTGTACGTGGTGGGGCTCTCTCCATCTTGGCCCAGCCAGAAGATGGCCCCATGTTTCATGCTCACATTTATTGAGAAACGTCCTTGTTCTACACAATCTCTGGATTTACCTTCGTCGTCATGGATTTTTCGAGATGGAAGCCGCATGTGCATTCAATACAGAAGAGGAAAGAAAGCACAAGAGGGGTGTGTCCGAATCCCAGTACTTAAAACGGAAAGAAAGAAAGAAAGAAAGAAAAGAAAGAAAGAAAGAAAGAAAGAAAGAAAGAAAGAAAGAAAGAAAGAAAGAAAAGAAGATTCTCTGGTTCACTTCCCGATGTCCTTTTTACTTAGATTTTGTTTATTTATTTGAGAGAGAGAGAGAGAGAGACAGCATGAGCGGGAGGGAAAGAGGAAGAGGGAGAAAGAGACTCCAGCAGGCTCCCCACTGAGCAGAGGGCCTGACACCAGACTCGATTTCAGGACCCCGGGATCATGATCTGAGCTGAAGGCAGACGCTTTACCAGCTGAGCCACCCAGGTGCCGCAATCAGTATGTTTTCTGAATTAAAAAAAAAATAAATAAATAGAAAGAGGGCCATCTGGCTGGCTCAGTCAGTCGAACATGCAACTCTTGATCTCTAGGTTGTGAGTTTAAGCCCCCCATTGGGTGTAGAGATGACTTAAACATCAAATCTTAAAAAAAAAAAAAAACAAACTTAAAAAAATAGAAAATAAAATAAAGAGGCAGGGCCGGTTTAGAAGCATTAACTCTTCAATGTTTACTCACCTGCTGATTTGAGGGCGTAGTCCGCCATCTGGACTTGGTCCTCTCTCAATTTTTTAAGGATGTAGTTGACCAAGTTTGACATTTCCTGTGCAAATATCAAAACCGGTTCTCTGTTAACAGTCTCCCCCAACTGCTCAAGTTCTGACCACTCACTTTGTTACGTGGACCTGAAGGCCGTCATCTGCGCATTACCGACGGTGAGCACTGAGGGAGCTGCGCTGAGCCAGTCGCCGAAGGAGGGTTTCTAGTGCCCACCACGGCGCTGGGGCATTGCCGCTCTCCCGGCCGCCGCGTTGCGTCCAGATGCGCCCCCCACCCCCCAAGTCCCAGCAAGGTTGGACCCAAGGCCCCTTCAGAAGCCCTAACGACCTCCCGTCATGCTCTGCAGTGAGGCGGTCACACAGCGTTGTGTGTGCCCCCTGCTGGGTCCCCCCCTTCATTGGCGTCTCTGCTTAGTAATTAGACTTGATCATTCTGTAGGTGTTCGGGCATCAGGCCGTTCTCGGATTTCACCACTGCTTGTTCCGGATGCCTGAGGGCCTCAGTCGGTGAAGCGTCTGCCTTCAGCTCCGGTCATGATCCCCGGATCCTGGGATCGAGTCCCATGCTGGTCTCCCTGCTCAGTGGGAGGCCTGCTTCTCCCTCTCCCACTACCCCTGCAAGTGCAGCCAAGCTGACTGGATTCCAGCATCACCTTCCCTAATCAGGAGCTGATGGGGTCAAGGGCACTAGCTTCCGCTCCGTGGATAAAACTATTCTGCTCCTTAAGTATTCAGAGGCTGCATTTCTGAATGACCTTCTGTTTCTTTTACTGGAAAGTAAGATGGAATCGGCTATTGACTTGGGGGAGAGGGGACGTCCGTCATACAGCAACGGTCATCTGTGTGACACAGCAGTGATAGAGAAGGGGTTCCCACGCAAGCCTTCACAAGGTAAGCTCCTGTCGGGGAGAATGGTCAGGAGGACACAGACACTCAGCCGCCCGTACCCGAGTTTTCTGCTCCCAGAGCCGTGCGGTGCAACCCTTCCAGGCGACCTTACCTCGTCCGTGGCCTCCGGGGGCTCCTGGTCCCCGTCTCCATCCACGTTCCAGCTGTGGCTGTGTAGACCATCCTGCGTATCTCTAAGCAATGCCTTCAGAACATCTATTTGTTCAATTAAAAATAGAATTTCACGGAAGTTGTTCTCCAAAGTCTGGCTTTCCTTCCTGTAAAGGGAGACCCCTGATGTGAAGGGAGGGGGAGTGGGCTTTCTGCCATGCACTGGGCTTCAGGAGCGGAGGAGGAAGAGGGGAGGAGCTTTATGTTGGAGCAGAGAGAGAGGGAGCCCAGAAAAGCCACGTTGTCCAAAGCACCACCTCTCACTCTCCCTGAGAAGCAAGGACATTTAGGGGAAGAGGATTTCAACATTTGGGGCACGCTCTAGGCAGGGAAGTAGGGATCTTCCAACCTTGCACGTCCCTCATCCTTCCCTGGGGCCTCTGCTACCCTGACCCGAGGCTGCATGACTTCACAGCATGAAGCCTAAATCTCTAAGGGCCCTCTTGTTCCCTTGTTTGGATGGGGGAATCCTACATTTCCAGTGGGGTATGGACCAGGAGGTTCATCCTGAGCCCTGAGATCCTATGGATGAGGCTCAGGAAGGAGGGTGGCTGCAGGCTGCGTGGCTGGAGATTACAGTTGGGGACAGCCACCTGTCACAGTGACAGCAGGAGGGTGACAGCTGACTGCAGAACAGGTTGAAAATTACTGTTGGACCCAATGAGAAGATGTCAAGCCAGCAGGTGTTTCTTTAGGTTGAAAAATGGACACACTATGCACCTGGTACTGCCCCCCTGCTGCCCAATTTGTAAAACAGTACATGTTCAAGGTTTGGCAAATACAAAAATCCTCAGGAGATAAACACTGTTGCATTTCAGTGTGTTTGTAACAGTTTTTATCCCATGTGAAAAATGAGTAACAAAATAGAGATCCTGTTTGTGATCTGGTGTCCTGCTCTGCTTCCCAGGCATTAGATACATGTTATTATATATTATAATCATTAAATACATGCATTAGTCATTATTATAGTTAATTTGAAGGCTCCCTAATTCCCCATTACAGGGATCTTTTCCAATGTATTTAGCCATTGGCTTGTTTTTCTTCTCTAGGCAGTTTTCATTTTTTTAATTGTAACTGACCTTGAAAGCAGTGTGTATTTTCTTAAGGAAATGGGAGTGGTTTTCATTTTATGGTTTTTAGAGAAGGATTCTGTTGCTGGAGTCCCAGCAGCAGCGCCCCACAGGTCAGAGCGCGTCACTCACTTTAGAAGTTCCAGCTGCTCCTTGGGTATCCGGAGTCTGGCCTGGAAGAAACCAAGGGACTCAAATCATCCCGCATCCTGCCTGTCAAGCAGAGTTAGCATTCTTATTCGTAAAGCGGAAAGAAATCCCGTTTGCTCCCTGACAGACATGCATGACAGGGGAAAGCCAAGCATCCTCTAAGACACCTGCACGTCTGTCCTGGTTAGTTTGTGGGGACCGAGCCACACCCGAAGCTGAAACTGACAGCTGGAGCATAAGAGGGGCTGCTTCTCAAGGTAGTGCAAGTGCTCAGTGCCCCTGAGACACAGAGAAGAGGTGGTGGGGGGCAGGTGGGAGAGAGGGAGGGAAGGGACGGACCGGGAGGAGAAGGGAGAGTGGGGGGGAGATGGTAGGGGGATTGTGGGGGAGGGGACAGAGGGGATGAGGAGCAGGGAGGGAGGGGCCAGAGGGCCTTGCTGAGGCCTTAGGCTGTCCTTGTAAATACGGAAGGCCATCCTCTTTCTGCTTAACTGATGCATCTATGGTGGGATTCCATTAGCAGAAGGGCAGACACTGACCTAGGCTGACAGGTGTCTGACCTTGACCATCTCCATGGGCAGGGGTGGTGCCCCGACCAGGCCCAGAATGAGCACGGGATGAGGCTGCTGCTGAGGGTGGAGGTGTCAGCGGAGAGGGGGGCATGGGGACCGGGACGGCAGGCCTGGATTCGAGCTGCAGCCCATGTGGCCTCTCTGCCTGGGCGCCAGCTCCTCTGCTTCCCCAGGTCCTCGGCCATGTGGCCTCCAGGCTCTCCCACAAATGGCTACAAACCCAGTAGCCTCCAATGGGAGAAAGGTACCCCCTTGGTCTCGGAGGCCGTGCTTTCCTCTGAAGCTGGGAGAGAGGGACCTTCTGCCTCCTGTTTCTTCTGGCATCTGGTGGCTCCTGGCTCCCCGCGAGGAGCTGCCTATGCCCGGCCTCCAGGCCTTTCCCTCTGGGCCCTTCGGGGGACCCCTGTCACTGGCTCTGGGGCCCACCTGGGAAATGCAGGACGATCTCCTCTCAGGACCCCTCATTGCATCTGATGAGACTCTCTTTCCACATCAAGGTGACGTGGGTTCTCAGGTGGGGACCTGGCTGGCTTTGGGGGGGTCCCCTTCCAAGCCAGTGATCATGCAAGTGCTGCCTGGGACATAGTTTGCTGTCCTCCTTCCCTCACCAGTCTGCCCTTCTGTTTCAAAGACCTGCTCTCCTCCCCGTTTGCCCTGCGGAAATTAGCTCTGTGCTCGTGTGAGGACCTTGGGCCTTAAGGAGCACAGTGTGGTGTGCAGTGAAGTGACACTGCTGGGCTTTTTTTTTTAAAAGAGAGACAGTGGGGGTGTGTGAGTTGCGGGGGTAGAGAGGAAGAGAATCTCAAGCAGGCTCCCCTCCGAGCAGGGAGCCCGACATGGGGCTCAATCCCAGGACCCTGAGATCATGACCTGAGCTGAAGGCAGATGCTTAAGGACTGAGCCCCCCCGGCATCCCTAAAAATCTCAGGATGTAAAAAAATTATATTTTGTTCTGGCTTCTCCCCAAAATGGGTTTCAGGGGGCTTCCACCATAGGAACAGAGACAGCATGAGAAGACCCAGGAAGATATACTGGTGAGGAAATAAAAGGGAGAAGAGAAAGGGGATTAGGAGGTGAGATCGCCCTGAGGTCGGGAGCCTTCCCTGCCCAGAAGCTGTCAGCTGTGGACCCCACGCTGGGTTCCAGCACCAGAGCCACGGAAGTGGGGGTTGACATGGGAAGCGGGGGTGACCAAAATTCACACCATGCAGTGCCAAAAAAGCCAAAAATCAAAGGTGTGGGAGAAGCTGCATCGCACCATGCCTGTTGACGCCACCAGCATGGGGTCCCCTGAGAACTTTCTAGAGTCCCTCCCTGCAGGCAGTGTCCTCCCCAAGAGCTCTCAGGGGCTAATCTTCTTGGGCTGGTTGCAAGTTTCAAGCACAGGCTTTGTGCCCAAGTGGGCGCACTGTGTTCTGCTTTTTCAGGCAACGTGGATGAGGTCCGGGGTTTCCTGTCCTGGAATGTGGCTCCAGGAAGGTGCGCTGGGACCAACCCAATGCCCATGTTCACATGCGCCATGCACGGTTGTGACTTCTTTTTTCCCTTAACGAAACTCCTGGGAGACGTCCTTGTCCTTGTGTCCTTGTCCTGTGTCTTGCCCTGTGTTCCTGTACACACCCGCGAGAGGATCGTTGAAGGTGTACTAGTTGCTGACTGTACTCCAGGTTAGTAATCAAGCTCGCTGCTTCCTAGAGGGGCTCGATGTCAACCAAATGAGTGCTTGGAGCAGCTACCTTGCAGTCACTGGCCCGATGCTCTTGGCAGTGACCATATGGGGGGTGCGGCCGGGCGGTGTGGGTCAGTAAACCCACGTCCCCAGCAGAAATGGCCAATAGTTCAGATGGGCAGGTCCAGTTTTGGCACAACCCAGGTTTGAACTCAAGCCCCAGGCACACAAGTAATCTCTCTAATTATTCTAAGCAGCTTCCTAACCTGTAAGTGGATTTACTAAGTAGGATTTAGTAATACTCTTGTGAAATCCTCATTTTGAGGAGAAACTGAAATATGTATTTAATGTGCTTCGGGTGTGGGGTGATTGCCCCGTCCTCCCTCCCCGTGAGGTGGAGGAGGCACAGCTAACTTCTTGAAAAGCAGGATTAAGTTATTAAGGTTCAATATACAAAGGTCACCTAAAATCTGGGGATTGTTTATACTTCTTGTAGGAGTTTATCCTAAATGAAAAATGTGGATTCTTCTAGAAGGGGACTCAACTCATCCCAAGCACGAGGTTCCATACCGTGACCTCATCACTTCCCAAAGCCCCTCCTCCACACCCCTGGGGACTGATTTCCACTGCGAGGACACCAACACTCAGTCTGTGGCATTCTGACCATAGCCCCCCAAATTAAGGTCCTCCGCAAAATGCATTCATTCTATCCCAATAGCCTCCGAAGTCTTGGCTCATTCCAGCACGAACTGAGAACTCTAAAGTCCAGAGCCTCGGCTAAATAGCACCGAAGTCCATACGGGTTAAGATCCCAGATAAAATTCATCCCGAAGCAAATTCGCCTCCAGCTGTGAGGCTAGGAAATCAAACACGTGATGTGCTAAGTACAAGCATGAGATGGGGAGAGGACAGACATCCTCACTGCAAAAGAAAGAAAGAAACAGAGAAGACAAAAGGTTCCCAAACGTTCACTCTATGGCAGGAGCCTGCCGGGATCAGAGGCTGGAGAGTTTGTAGGTCAAATTGTAGCTTCGTCATAAAACCACTGAACAGGACTCTGGTCCCTGAACTATTTCTATCAGATATTCACATGCAAAACGAAGGTAACACACTACAAGTTGGAGCATATTAAATCTTAAACGAGTGACATACAAAACGGTTTAACAAAACGTCACCTGGTAATTATAAAGCCTCGAACCGTATTCTGCAATTAGGGTGTAAAATTGTCTGGATTTGTGAGGAAACTCTGTTTCTTGAAGCCACATGTGATTGCCAAGTCCTATGAAAGAAAAGGCCAACTCTGATGAAAGATTCTGTCTGCAAACATTTGTGATATCCTACTTGTATTTCTTCTAAAGACTTTTAAGTCATCTGTACACCCAGCGTGGGCTCAAACTCACAACACCGAGAGCAAGAGTTGCGAGCTCCACCGACGAAGCCAGCCGCCTGCCCTGCCATGCTACCCGCACTGGTAAGAATTTCTCTAAGCACGAAGGATACAGATCCTCTTAAGGAGGATATCAGACCCTTGGGCGACAAGATGGAAAATGGCAATATTGGGTGCTTAACAAAATCAGTTCTCCGTTGAAATGTTCATATGCTGGCAAAGACCAGTAGGATCTACCTTCGTTGGACTCTGAAATCTAATCCCAACCTTACAGCAACCAGAGGACTGAGGACTGAAGGAAAGAGCAGATTATTGTTGTTAAGAGTGTGGGATTCCTGCTCCCTGTCTGCCATCCCTCCACGGTCCCTCCATAGTGGCAGGGATTGGGAGCATGGGGGGATGGGAGTGCACAGTGCTGGTGTAGCTTGCTGGCTCCAGGGGGCTAATGCAGACTTGTTCTTAATCTACAGGGCCTGGGGTTTTGACCTGCCCGGTGTTCCCACTCCTTTGAGCTAGAAGAGTTTTCTGGGAGGCTGTGATATCTATTGAAAGATTTAAGGACAGGGGTGCCTGGGCAGCTCCGTGGGTTAAGCAGCTGCCTTCAGCTCAGGTCATGATCTCAGGGTCCTGGGATAGAGCTCAGCAGAAGTCTGCTTCTCCTCTCCCTCTGCTCCCTGCTCGGCGATCTCTCTCTGTCAAATAAAGAAATAAAAGCCTTAAAAAAAAAAAAAAAGATTTAAGGACAAAAATTGGCCTTCCCCACCTGGGCAAGGAATAGTGAATGGGGCAAGTGGCAGACTGCCCCACGGCATGGGAAGGGGAAGTCAGAGGAACAAGTCTTTTGTGGGAACAGGGCTTGGAAGGGAAAAGGGGGTGCACCATGCATGGCGGGAGCTGGGTGCATGCTCAGAAGAGATCACAGAGAAGATCCCGGGCTTGGTCTCAGGTGGCTCTGCGGGGTCTGTGTGAGCCAGGGGTGAAGGTTAAGGCAGAATCAAGACTCTGGAAAGTCCTCATTCTCTCTCTCTCTCTCTCGATGACTCCAGGAAATCTCTCTGGTCCATAGCAGACCACTGAGAGAGCAAACAGTGATCATCAGTAAAAAATGACTACAGCCCTCAACAAGGAGGAACAGTGATCCCTGAGAAAGGGGAAAAAATCTGACTTCCTGAGTTACCATATTAAAATATTGAAATGCCCCATTTCCAACACAAAATTACAAGACACACAAAGAAACAAGCAAGTATGACCCATTTAAAGAAAAACAAATGGACCAAAACCATCCCTGGGGAAGTCCAAACAATGGACATAACAGACACAAACTTTTTTTTTGAAGTTTTATTTATTTATTGAGAGAGAGCACATGTGTATGCATGCAGGGAGAGGGAGAGGGAGAGGAGAAGCAGGCTCTCCACCGAACACAGAGCCCAATGTGGGGCACCATCCCATGACCCTGAGATCATGACCTGAGCCAAAGCCAAGAGTCGGATGCTTACCGGACTGAGCGCCCCAGGTTGGAGCCTTGATTTTGCTGGGTACTTTGTGCTTCAAGTCATTGATACATTAGAGCGATTTACCGTGTGCTAAGGGATGCGATGTGCGATGTTGGCAGTCAGAAGCCTGCAAATGGCACGTTCAGCCATTTCTCCAGCCCCCCGGGGACAGGTGAGTCTTTCTTGCCATCTCCCTGTGACATTTTTGACTTCTTGAGTTTGCTCAGGAATTTCGTTCCACGGAGATCCCCCTCCCCACACAGAAATGTCCTGCGACATGGCTTTGAGGACCTTACCTATAAGAAGAAGAGTCAGTATAGACACTGCACTTATGACAATCTTCCACGACTGGGTTAACCTACAGAGAAGAAAAACAAAAACAACGTAAGGGTCCAGCGCCAAGAACCTGTACTTTGGACGTGAAACTGACCACCACAACCAAGACCACAAACGTGCTCCTTCTGGGCTGAGTGTGAGAATAAATTCACTTCCCAAGGGAGCTTTGGAATTGAGAGAAAACAGTTTTGGGGGTGGTGTATTTACACACTCAAATGTCCTGTCCCTCACTGTCACACATATTACATGGTTATGCTGGTGTTTATGTCTTGTGTATGCACTGGTGTTTTCATGTGTGTATAGATGCTTACGAAGGATATAATGGAAAGGGTTATCTTTGGAGGCAGAAGGAGAAGGGGTTAGAGTCTGATTTTGTGGAAATTAGGTATTAAAGGGCGCCTGGGAGGCTCAGTTGGTTAAGTGTCCAACTCTTGGCTTTGGCTCAGGTCTTATTTTTTTTTTTTAAGATTTTATTTATTTCACACACACACACACACACACACACACACAGCACAAGCAGGGGGAGGGGCAGAGGGAGACGTAGAAGCAGGCTCCCCGCTGAGCAGGGAGCTGGATGTGGGGGCTCCATCCCAGACCCTGAGATCATGACCTGAGCTGAAGGCAGACACTTAATGGACTGAGCCATCCGGGAGCCCCACGGCTTAGGTCTTCATCTCAGGGTCGTGAGATTAAGTTCTGTGATGGGCTCCATGCTGGGTGAGGAGCCTACAAGAAAGAAAGAAAGAAAGAAAGAAAGAAAGAAAGAAAGAAAGAGGTATTCAGCCAAGGAACTAGGATGATTAACAACAATCTGATGAAGTTCTTTAAAAAATCCTAACGCTTCCCCTCACTTTTCCTTGCCGTCTACCATCTACACAGAGAAGGACACAAATCCTACCGCCAGACTCCGCGACCTTCGCAGGATGAACTTCGCAGGATGAACACACCCGCGTCAGCTCCGCAGGAATGAGCTAAAGCCCCGCGCAGCCACTCTCGTGCCCCCATCAGACCGTGTCCCTTCCACCCCAAAGGTCACCTCTGTCCTGACTCAAAAGTTTTTCTCAATTCTTAGCCCTCAGAGGGAGGTGTATCTTGAAGCCACATCCTCTGTAAATACTATTTAGGGTCATATGGGGGGGGGTCCACTGCCTAAAGAGAGTTGTTGGAGGCGGATCTACAGCGCGGGTGAGCCCTCACCACGGACTGCATGAACTGAAAATGACCACATGCCCGTGTCAGGCAAAGGTTACGTCTGTTTTTCCAGAAAACCCTGGCTGTCAGCCTCTGCTTTTCCAAGCCTCTTGGATGCCTTTGCCCCGCCTGTGGGCCCCTGTCTTCGGGGAGGACTGCCCTTTGCTACTTCTGCTTCAGAGGGTCCAAAACTGTCTTCCTGTATGGTGACAAATGACACAAAACGTTGTAGCCCTCACTCCTTTGGGCAGTTTTGTTTCTGTGCTAGGGCTGTGCTGTCACTCCCGAGGCTCTCTGGTGACTTTTTGTTTCTGCTTTCCCAGTAGGCTGTGGGGGTGGGGTGGGGGGGGTGCTGGGGTCTTTATCCAGCCCCCTCCCCGGGTGGGCGGGGCTTCCCTGCCACCTCCTTGAAGCCAGTGCACACCTGCTCTGACCACAGGACGCAGTAACTGGCTCCAACTGGGTGCCCGCAAACCGTGCATCATTTGTCCCCCAAGGATGCCCTCAGCACTCGGTGTCCAGGCTCCTAGACAAGGTAAGTAACAGAGAACCGACAGCTGGGTCACAACGGGAATGATCTGTAAATCCGGAGGGCACAGCAGTCACCTTGCCGCTGCTGCGCTTCTGGTTCACAGTCCTTGTGGCCCCTGGGCTGGAAGGAATCAAAGTCCCCCCCCCCCGCCCCCCCCCGCGTGGAAGGGAGACCCCGTGCCCTGTGGTCAAGAGACACCTGCCAGGAGACTGTTAGGAAATGACTTTCTCTCCAAAAGAAGAAAGCTTTCACTGGGTCCGTTCCCAAGTGAGCCTCGCACGTCTGGCCCGCGGCACTGCGAGGTGCACGGCCGTCCCTCCCCAGAGCCGCGTACCGGCTGGCCTCGGGGCTCCCGTCCTCCGCCAGCGGGATGTGAAGACTGGCGCTGCCGCCCGCTTCCTCCGGATGACCTCTCAAAGTCCTGGCGCCCCTCCTCGGCTTAGGCCTCCCGCTCATGTTCCCGCACAAGGTAGCACAGAGCTGGGAGGAGGAAGAAGGGCGTTCCCGCGCTCTCTGCTATTTTAGGAAAAGCATGACGCCCTCCGCAGAGGGCCTGGGTTGGCTTCTTGTCTTCTCGGGTGCTCCTCTTTCGAGGGGGGAACTGTCTGTGGGCGAGCAGATCTGGACCTGCTGAGGACCCTTCTGTTGCATCACCTGCTGTGACACATCACAATGGGACCCCCCACCCGCCCCTGGTCAGGCTGTGCACCTGCGGCCGCCTCTCCGCCCACACAACCTCGTCCGGAGCGCGCGTGTTCGTGCTTCACCGTAACCCCGTCTGAGGTCCCCTGTACCCAGCTCCCCGCTGTCACCAGCCGGGGGTTTGCTAAGACGCCACGGAGACCACGGGAGACCCCAAACCTTCGCTCCCCAATGTCACTCCTGTCCCTTCCTTCCCACAGGGAACTATGATTTGGAAACCGACATAGGGAATTCCCACGAATTTTTGAATGTTCGATCACGATACACGTGTCCTTACAGAACACAACAGTGTGTGTTTGCTTTCCACCGAGATGCCTTCCTCCGTTTTCCCGCGTTGTCTTGGGACGTCTTCATTTGGGCGCGATCGCTTTCCACGCCCGCGCAGTCTCCGATGATGGATTCCCTCACGTACACGTCGCGGTCGTCCACCTGCTCCCGCACCGATGAGCGCCCAGGCTGCTTTCAGGTCTCCAGCAACAGATGACAGCCGGCGCCCGTCCTTGTGCGTGTCTGGGGCCCACCCTTCGCCACCCCACACCTAGGAGCGACTTTATTCTGTATACGTCCCCGGCGACAGCTTGGGAGCCTGAGCTCAGGGTGCTTGGAGCAGGTGCCTGCGGGTGGGGTGATGCGATTTCAGCCTCGTTCGCTCCTCTTCATTCCTGTGTGTACGCGTGCACGTGTCTGCGTGTATGTGTGTGTCTGTGTGCGCACACGTGTCTGTGTGTGTCTGTGTGTATGCATATGTGTGTCTTCCTGTGTGTCCCTCTGTGTGCGTGTCTGTCTGCATGTGTGTCTGTGCACATGTGTGTGGCAGTTTGATCATTTTCCTCTTAGGGTTTTTAACATTTTCTCTCTCTCTTTGCCGTTCTTCAGTTTCTCTTCGATACACCGAAGTGGGACATTAGTTCCCATTGTTCCGATAGGCCCGGCTACTTTCAAGGTCCGTGTGGGTGCTCGTGCATTGCCTCATTTCTGGAATATTTCTCCCCCATCTGCTCTTCAAATGCTGCTTCTCTGCAGTCCCTCTGGTTTCTGGTGATGCCCACTTAGTGACACTATGAATTCCTTTGGCTCCACTCTCCCCACAGCTTACGGCCCCGTCATAGTTGGGATTTTCATGGTTTTTTTCCCTCTTTTTATCTACGCTGGTTTCAGGGTGGATTCATAAGTGCTACTTTACAGTTCGCTGATCTACTTTGACCCTGTGAGGTCTTGGGATTTCCTCCCAAGAAATCCCAGCATGTCTCCTTCTCTGCCTTGCTGTCCCAAGCTCAAAGGGGACAGAATGCAGCAGAGGGACAGGCTGTCTCTCTGCCATGTTCTGACCCCCGCTGTGGGCTGTCCTTCTTCCCACTTTCTTGTTTTTGTTCAAGGATACAAATGCACATATAATGACATATTTATGTAAAATGTAATTAGGAACAAATACCTGTGTATGTGTGTATCTATAAATACACTCATTTCTTCACACTGTGGAATTGGGAGCTGACTGTAACCCGTGTTCTGCATCTTGCATTTCTTCCTTTAAAATGTCTATATTTAAGTCCTCCCAACTCACTTGGAGGTGACCTTCCCCAGTCTTTCATGGCTGCAGGCTGTTTTCTGAGTGCGGAAATCCATCCAACCTGCCCCATACTGATGAGTGGTTTTTAAATTTTTTATTGTTTTTTATTTTTTAAAAGATGTTATTTATTATTTGTCAGAGAGAGAGAGAGAGAGAGAGCAAGAGCGTGCAAGTAGGGGGAGCAGCAGAGGAAGAGGGAGAAACAGGCTCCCCGCTGAGCAAGAAGCCAGATGTGGGACTGGATCCCAGGACCCTGACTGAGATCATGACCTGAGCCAAAGTCAGACACTTAATGGACTGAGCCACCCAGGCATCCCAGTGAGCATTTTTTTAAAAGATTTTTAAAATTTATTTATTTTAAAATTTATTTATTTATTTAGAGTGATCGGGGGAGGGGCGGAGGGAGAGAGAATCGGAGCCCACTCCACGCTGAGCACAGAGCTCCACGTGGGGCTGGATCTCACGACTGACCTGAGCTGAGATCAAGAGTATCACTTAACCAACTGAGCCACCCAGGCATCCCTGAAATGCCGTCCTTATCAGACCATCTTTTTAGCAGCAATATTGTGAAAAGGACCACTCGGCCTCCTACCTGCAATTGTGTTTCATATCTTCTAATTCCTGTCTTCTAATTCTAATTCTGATCGGCACCATCTTTACTAATGATTCCCTTCCCTGCTGTGCCCCCCCCCCCCTCGTGCTCTGAGATCCTTCCTCTGCAGGACCTTCCCAGCCCTGTGATCAGCTCTTCCCGGCAGAGCCAGGAACAAGATAAGTATGTCGTGGGCTGGGTAACTGCAAGTCTCCATCCAGTGCAACCTGCCTCTCTTCTCGCATTTTCCGGCAAGCAGTCAGGAGGAGCCAAGCTGCGTCTTCAACACTTTGTTTGGAAATAGTTGCAGCTGTGTATTCAATGTCATGACTCTCAAGCCCACCTTTCCTAAAACACCGGGTCACAAACACAATGCAGCCAGGATCTTTGCCACTTTTTCGCTGGGGTGGACTTTGCCCATGTCCTGTAAGGTGCTCCCCATTTCCATCCAGGACCTTGTCACCATAGCCTATGCCGGTGTATGCTACTGATATTCTGTCCGTGAGCATGCTGGCCTTCCCCAGGGGGGACAAGGCTTTCTCTGGAATCCCTCTTTGCTCCCTGAGCTGTTGCCGGAATCTTCCTGGGTTGTCTGTGCACAGCAATGTGGACATTTCTAGTTACTCAGAACTGCTCCAGCCTCTACCTGCTACCCACATCCAATGCCGCTTCCACATTTTCATATATTTGTTATAGCAACACCCCACTTCCGGTACCCGGTCCTGTTGTAATCTGTTCAGGGGGATGCTTTACCAAGAACTACAGATGGGGCGGGCTTGTGAGCAAGAGAAATTAATTTCTCGCAGTTCTGGGGCTGGGAGTCGGAGATCCGGGTGCTGGCGGAATCGGTGTCTGGCGAGGGCTCACTCCTGGTTCACAGATGGCCTTCCGGCTGTGTCCTCACACGGAGAAAGGGACAAGGGCTTCCGTGGGGCCTCTTTCATAAGGGCACTAATCCCATCATGACCTGATCTCCTCCCACGGGCCCCACCTCCAAATAACATCACACTGAGGGTTAGACTTCAACCTAGGGATTGGGGAGAGGGGTGTGGGGGGACACGCCCATCCCATCTATAGCCGTCTTCACTATCACCCTCATGGATGATATTATCCTTCTCATCCTCAGTTATGACCCGTCCCAACTGGGAACTATCTACCAGGCAGGTCCCTTGGAAAGCTTGCATGCAAAGCAGGCAGACTGATGTATTTTTTAAAAATGACCAGGACCCATTCTACCCCTTGGAATGAAGAAAGGCAGCAGAATACTACATTAATATAAAAAAAAATTCATCTCAGGGCGCCTAGGTGGCTCAGTTGGTTAGGCGTCTGCCTTCAGCTCAGGTCATGATCTCGGGGTCCTGGGATCGACTCCCGCATTGGACTCCCTGCTCAGTGGGCTGCCTCTGCTCCTCCCCCTGCTCTCTCTCTCTTTCTCTGTCAGATAAATAAATAAAATCTTTAAAAACAACTCATCTCGTTTTGGTATATAAAACAAAAATCCTACAACTCTGTTCTAAACTGGTTTCTGATAGACTGTATAACAATAAACTTAAAATAATAAATCATGGATTATTATTTCTCAAATATAAGTTTTGACTTTGTATTTCTCCCAAACAATACAATTACTTTGGCCTTGTATAGAAATTGTTGCATTACAGGGATTTAATTGAACTGATCTAAACCCTTCTGTCCTTTAAGTATATTTTGTGTTCACTCTGTTACTTTTCCAAAATTTTTCCTGTTCCACCTGAATCTTGAGCAAGGGTCTTGCTTAAATCCATTTTAAAATGTGAAATTTGTCTACCAAAAAAAGAAAGAAAGAAAAGGCCATTATCACTTTAACACATACTACAAGGCACAGTAGAAGGTGTTGATGGGGACACAAGGAAATCCTGTGTCCCTCTGTGGCGGCAGAGAGGATGGTCTTGTTTACACAACTTGGCTGAAAACCCAAACTGCTATGTAATATTGAGATACCGAAATCTTTGTCACAAGGGAAGAGCTTGTCTTTAAATCATTTTATATTATTTTTAAAAAATATTTATTTATTTATCTTGTAGGGAGGGGGGATGCAGAAGGAGAGGGGGAGAGAGATTTCCAAGGAGACTCCAAGCTGGGCATGGAGCCTGACATAGGGCTCGATCCCAGGACCCTGAGATCATGACCTGAGCATGACCCCTGATGGAGAGGGGACAGATGGAGTCCTGGGGCAGGATGTCTTGGGAAGTGAATTGTCCAACATTTTAGCTGCTCTGGGTTGATTACATAACAAGGATGGGCAAAAGCAGAAATGAACCTGTGTCCTGGGAGTTGAAATAAACAGCTTCAGTCAATAACAGAGGTAAACTAGGAGAGAGGAAAAATAGGACAGGTTCCAGGGCTTTGAGAAATCAGAGTTTGTACTCAAATGCATTTTTTTCCTTTTCTCAAAATGCTGCTGAGCAGGAGCTCTCTATGTAAGATGTATCTAGAATAAGATGTCTGTATACATGATATAGAGTATATAAAATCTTATATATAATGGGATGTATGTAATAAATAAGGATATCGATATGTAGATAGGCAGATAAGATATATGTAGGAAGGGCACCTGGGTGGCTCAGTCAGTGAAGCGTCTGCCTTCGACTCAGGTCACTGATCTCAGGGTCCGTGGGTCGAGCCCCACGTGGGGGCTCCCTGCTCACTGGGGAGCCTGCTTCTCCCTCTCTCTGCCCCTCCCCCTGCTCATACACTCGCTTGCTTTGTCTCTCTCAAATGAATAAATTAAAGAAATATATATTTTGAAAAAAGATGTAGGTACGATCTACATTTCATCCAAACATCTGCAAATAAAATCACATAACATGCGCAGGTGAGATTGGGTGTGAGGACATCTGGATCCCTCTAAGCGCTGGGGACTGTTAGGGCACCCAGAGTCCTCCGTGCGGAAGGGTGAGAAACGAGATCTGCTCGTCCTTCTCTCCTTCACGGGCCCTACCCAGATTCTTACTCGACCCGACACTGCGATCTCTGCTTTCGAGCTCCAGAAGCGGCCCCTGTCTCCTGGGGGACCGAGCGGTCCTCATGGCTGGGATCTGAGCCAGAGGCACCCAGTTTCCGAGCGAGGGGTCGTGCACGGGGAGGGGGGGACGTCTGAGCGCCCGCACCCGCGCCGCTCGCGTGCAGGCCGGGTCCGCCCGGAGTCAGGGGCTCCCCGGAAACCCTCGCAGCAGCGTCTGTCCGTTCGCGAACCCGGAAACACCCCGAGAGCACCGGGTCTGAGGAGGCCCTTTGCGGGACCGTTCCACGGCCGACACACCGTTGGCAGACCCGCTCTTGTTACCTCCTCTATTTCTTTTCTTTCTTTCTTTTTTTTTTTTTTTACCTCCTCTATTTCTTTTCTTTTCTTTTCTTTTTTTTTTAAGATTTTATTTATTTATTTATTTGACAGAGAGATCACAAGTAGACAGAGAGGCAGGCAGAGAGAGGGGGAAGCAGGCTCCCCGCTGAGCAGAGAGCCCGATGCGGGGCTCGATCCCAGGACCCTGAGATCATGACCTGAGCCGAAGGCAGAGGCTTAACCCACTGAGCCACCCAGGCGCCCTCCTCTATTTATTTTCGAAGTTGATTTATTCTCAAGTTTTTTTTCTTTTTTTTAGTAACCTCGACACCCGGCGCGGGGCTCAAGCTCGCCACCCCACACCGAGCCTCAGGCTCTTCCCAGTGAGTCAGGAGCCCCCATTCGTCCTCTTTAAAAAATGCATGAATTAAATGGGAGATGGACAGGCCAATCCGTCTAATTTGTTGTCCTTTGTGGAAACTCCCCGGGGTGGAGCGCCCGAGGGAGCCCGAGGGAGCCCGAGGCCCGCCCCGCCCAGCCGATCGCTGGCCAGGCCCGCCCCCGCCCCACCCGCCCACCGCCCGTTGACGGGCGCTATCGCTCCGCCCCTGGCCCTGATTGGTCGGCCGCTTCCCCGCAAGCTTTCCCGATTGGCTGGGGGCGCTCCCGCCCCGCCCGCCGGTTGGCCGCCCGGCCGTTGCCCGGGCGACGCAGGCTGCTGCGCTTCCGCATCCGCTGGGAGTGCGGGGTGGGCTTGGGCCCCCGCCGCGGCGAGTGGCGTCTTCTCGGGCCTTGCGGGTCGCGCTCAACGGAGACCCTCGGCGGGCCGGTGAGCTGGGCAGGGGGCGGCAGGGCGCGACAGCGGGCGGCAGGGGGCGGGGCCGAGGGGGAGGGCGGGGCCATCTGTCACCGCGGACCCGGAGGGCCCCCCGCGCCCAGCCGTGATCCCGCGTGCCCCTGCGGTGGACCTGGCGTGGACGGGCGCCTGCGGTATACCCGTGTGCAGGCGCCCCCGCTGTGTCCCCGCGGGCGTCCGCTGCCCCGCCGCGTGCGCGCGTGTCGAGCCCCGTCTGTGTACTGGCGAGCGTGCGCCCCCCGTGCCCCGCCGCACACCAGCTCGCACGCGCCCGGCTGCGGTCCCGCGCGGTCGGGGTCGCCCTTGCTGAACGACGGGACGCCTGCGCGCCTGCAGGTGGAGGGGGCCTGGACAGGAGGTCCCGGCACGTGTCCTCGGCAACGCAGCCCCGCGGCGTCCCCGGCCCACCCGACGGCACCCGGTCCGCGTGGCGCCCGGCATGAGGAACACGAGCAAGGAGCTGCAGGGCGCGGCCGGCCGCTACGCCCCCTGCGGTGAGTGACTCGCAGCCGCCGCCCCGCTGAGCCCCGCTGGGGCAGTGCTGCTCCTGGGCCTCAGGGTCAAAGCAGCTTAAAGGGAAAGTAAAAGGGGGGGGGGCACCAAGAAACCAGCTAGTCTTCAAGTTCCCCGCAAGAACGCCGGACTCCCACTGTTGCCTCCGCTGGTGGAGGGTAGAGGGTCTCTGTCCTGTGATGGTCTGACCCGCGGTGAGCCTCACTGTCTCCGGCAATGTAAGCATTTCCATTGCCATCCCATTTTCTGGATGCTCTGCATCCCAGATCATTTCGTGACCTCTCTTCTGCTGGTGATTTATGGCCCCGCCCAGTTAACCGCGTCTTGGGATTTTCTTGGTTGGGCGCAGAGAAGGATTGGGTGGAGGGTTCTGGGGGCCAGCTGGGCAGAAGGGAGGGAAGGAGAGCTGGGTGCTGTGGTCTGTCTGTGCCTCTTGTCTTGATTCCTCCCCTTCTTGGAAAGGTGGAAAGAAAGGCTGGAGAAGGGGGGCTCGGGTGCCCTCCTGGGAGCCTCGGGGTGGGAGCCGGTGGGCACCTGCAGTGCTCACATCTGCTCAGAAGTGGCCTTCTCATTCCTAAAGGAGCTGGTGACCTAGTCCAGAGCTCTGTCATTGCCATTGTGACACCGTGGGTGTGTTGGGGGCTGGGTGTGTGGTGGGTGGGGGTGGGGCAGCTGACCGGGTCCCCTTCTCCACTGTGGGCTCTCAGCCTCTTTGTGACTTCCCCCAGCCTTAGTGGACTCCCCTGTATACAGGACATCAGTGGACACTGATAAGGGCCAGGCACTTCTGTACACTAACATTTAACCTCAAAACAACTCGACAACGTATCATTAACCCCGGTTTTTAGACGTGGGCACTAAAGCACAGAGAGTTTTAGGAAACTGCCCAAGGTCACACATCTCATGGGGGCTCCTCTGTCCAGGCCTTGCAAGGCTGCAGCTGCCCAAAGGCAGGAGCATGGCCATCAGCCACAGGAGCCCCGGGGTAAGTGGGCATTAAACACTGCCTTGGACTAGAGTTCCAGGTGGCTCAGTTGGTTAAGCCTCCAGCTGCTGGTTTCTGTTTGGGGCATGATCTCAGAGTCCTGGGATCGAGTCCTACACCTGCTTCCGTGCTCAGCGGGGAGTCTGCTTGACATTCTCTCTCACTCTCCCTGCCCCTCTCCTCCACCCAACACCCTGCTCTCTCTTTCTCTGTCATATAAATACACAGATCTTTAAAAGGAAATCTACAGGATACCCAGCACTGCTGGTAAAAATAAAACAAACAAAAAGAAATCTACTCAGGTAGTAATTGATCACAGTACTACTGGTACTAATTGCTGTACAAGTACCAGTAATTTCTAAGTGATAGAAGCTACCAGACAGTTCTCATTCCTATCACCATGTGTGTGTATGTGTGTGCAAGCATGCCTGTGTGTGAGCTCCTTTGCACGCAGTTATGAATGCCTGGAGAAGAGCTCAGTGCCTGCCCAAAGCTTCCAGTAATGAGAACTGCAAGATACACCATTCTCTGTGGATTAATTAGTAATGAAAACACAGAGGACAAATAAAGCAAGAAGTGCATGCCTTCTCTCTAAAAGGGAAAATATTTGAGCTGAGTGTGATGAGAGTAGGAAGCTGCTTAGTTCTTTCTCCTAAGTCTTAAATTACCTATGAGCTTCTGTTCCATTCTTAAACCTTTCTTAATGCTTTTTTTCATTCTCAATAGTAAGATGTTGATACAGCTAATTGCTGTCCTTTGATATTCAAATATTTTGTTATGTTAAATATATTCCTTTTCTTGCAGCGAACCCAGCTTTAGTTAGAGGTAGAAACTGGATGTTTAAGCTTTACCTTTAGAGAACAGATTTTCATGAGATACCTGTGTGTTACATAAATTAATTTTTTAAAAGATTTTGTTTATTTATTTGAGAGAGAGAGTGAGCAAAGGGAGAGGCAAAGAGAGAGAATCTCAAGCAAACTCTGAATTGAGTGCAGAGCCAGATGCGGGGCTCGATCCCAGGACCCCGAGGTCAGGACCTGAGCAGAAACCAAGAGTCAGACACTTAACCAACTGAGCCAGCCAGGGGCCCTCTACATAATTTAATTTATTCAGCACAGTTTTCCTGTGATCCTACCGTATTAGAGTTCTCCAGAGCAATGAATCCAACAGTGCATCTCTCTGTCATTAGTCAGCTATCTATCATCTGTCTATGGACCATCTATCTATCTAAAGGCTTATTCTAAGGACCCAGCTCACACAGTCGTGTGGCTGGAGGCCGAGCCCAGAGAAGAGCTGATGTTGCGTTTGGAGTCTGAAGGCTGCCTAGAGGCAGAACTGCACCCCCACCCCGGGGACCTCAGTCTTTTTCTCTGAAGACCTTTGACTGATTTGACGAGGCCCACCCACATGATGGAGGGTGATCTGCTTTAATCAGAGTCCACTGCTATAAATGTTAATCTCACCTAAAAATGCCTTCAGAGAAGTCTGCGTGTCCCCGATCTCTTCCTTCTGTGGGATCACAGTGGGCACCCATAACTGCAGGTCTGGGGTTCTGTTTTCACCTCTCCCTCCCAGCAGGAGCAGGTGTTCCCAAAGCGGCCTGCAGGGCTGTTCCTGGATGCCCCTAGCTCCTTTGCCCACTTAGGGGCTCCATGGCTCTGCTGATGCCATGTTCACTGCATTGCCCGTGGCCCCTCTGTCCGTGGGGCACAGAGCATGAGGGGGAAGAAGGACAGACAGCAGGCTGCCTTCCTCTCCCCTCCTTCTTCCTTCCTGTGTTGCCCCTCCTCCTGCTCACGGCCCCCACCCATGGGAGTGGCACCCCCTCTGTCTGTGCTCATCATGCTGCTGCTCTGTGGGACTCACTTGACGTTCCTGGGGAGCCAGACTCAGCCTTGTCCCCCGCCTGGGATCTGCGGTGACTTTCCGTCACACCTGGCTGCCAGGCCGAGGTCCTAGCCTCCTTCCGTCTCCTTGCTCTTGGGACCTCTCACTCGGTCCCACTGTGGCCTCAGGCACAGGCCTTGGGAGCAGCGGGGTGGGCCAGTGGAGGTGTGGGGGTATCACGTAGGGAGGTCCCCAGATGAGGCTTCTCTGAGGGCCAGCCTGCCTCTTCCTGCCCCGGTCAGATGTGGGCAGTGCCACTTCTGGGCTGGGCTAGGTGTCTCAGTGTTGTTCATATGCTGAGCTCAGCCGATCTGGCCCAGCCTCGGTCCCGTGCCCCCCACGCTAGCCTGTGGTGTAGTGAGTGTCTTGGGATTCTTTGGGAATGTGCACTCTCCAATATAGCCAGAAATGCCGGTTACTCCCAGTTCCCCGGAGGAGAGAGACCCAGGACGCACAGGGGGATCGGGACACCTTGGAGGAGGCCCTCATGCCACTATTTGGGAGCAGAGGTGCAGCCTGGGACAGAGGAGCACAGGGCCTCATAGAAGGAATTCTTCCTTCTGGCGGGACCAGCAGCTGGCATGCCGGTGGGCTCAGGAGACTGGTGCCTACAAGCTCACTGCAGGAGTTCCAAAGGGTGTGGTGATGTCTCACATGCTGATGTGCCATGCCGTGGGAGTTTCTCCTGTGCTAATGTCTTGTGGTGATGTCTCCTGTATAAATCTTGTGTTAGATTTTCTTGTGCTAATGTCCTGTGGTGATGTCTCCTGTGCTGATGTCCTGTGGAGGCTGAGATGCTCTCCGTGGCATGGCTGTGTTGTAGGCCGTGCAGCAAGCCAACCTGAACTCGGTGTAATTAATTGGCCCTCGGCCACCTCTTTTCTAGACTGGTATTACCACCTTCCTGTGAAGCAGTCTGACAAGCCCGTGGATGTCCCTCCGGCCTCCCAGATCCCAGGCCTCAGTGATCTGAGGGAGCCTCCCAACGGGCACCTGCCTGGGTCCCGGAGGTACTGGGTAAAAGAAACAGACTCTGAGTACGTAAAGCTTGCAAAGCAAGGCGGCCGGCCCGGTAAGCAGCCCGCACAGTGGACATCGAGGGTCAGGCCACAGCCTGGGGTGGGTGTGGCCCGTAGGATGTCTCCTCTTTAAAGGCAAAGACTAAAAAGACTGAAATCACGGAATTGGCTTGCGAGTGACCCTGTGTTAGAGTCCCCGCCCCATCCTGGTGGTCCAGGTGCAGAGGGTCCCCAGAAACTGTCCCATCTCCCCAGAGAGTCCCTGCCTGCAGTTCTGTAGCCTTGCTGGGGAAAGCAGTTCTTGAGCTGCTGGAGCATGGGCTCCTGTGGTTTATGACCACAGCCCTCGCCCGGCGTGTTGGTGCGTCTCAACACAAGGTCACAGATGAGTTTCAGCGGTGGCGCTGGTGAGCGTCCACCTCAGCCCACGGTTTAGCCGAGAACATGCTGCCTGGTTGAGCTCATACAGATTGCTGGTGAGGGGCAGGGCTCAGGCCCCGTGGTAAGGGACGCTGAGAGCCACCGCCTTTCCTGTCCTGTTTCCTGGCCACCATACTTCCCCAGGAGGCTGTCACGGGTGGTGGGAAACAGCCCTGCAACACCCAGGCTTGGATGTCCAGGAACCCAAAACTCACCATCCCGCACCTGTCTGAATCAGGCCAGGACAGGACCTGCAGTGCTCCTCTACCCTCCTCCCCTGCTCCGCGGCCTCGGGTTAAGAGAAAGTTCCTGGGATAGCCAGCAAAATCTAGATGGGACCTCCGAGTTAGATGACAGGATGGCATCAGCACTGACTTCCCAGTGCAGATCTGGGCGCTGTCATTATGTAACACCAGTCTTCCAGAACCTTCCACCCAAGTTCATGGGGGCAGAGGAGGCCACAGGTCTGCGAGGGGCTTCCAAACTGCTCCCCAAACAGCAGTGATGGTGATGACACTAATGAAGGGGGGGGAATGCAGCAGATGTGAGCCTCTGGGGAGGCTGGGGAAGGGGGATGGGGGTTCCTGCTGTTCTGGCAACTTTATGGGAAGCTGCCTGCTACTCGTGCCACATGCTCACCCCGGTGTCTTTTTGGCTTTGAGATCTGTTGAAGCACTTCGTCCCCGGGACCAGGAAAGGCTCCCCGGTGGCCTACTCCTTGCCGGACTGGTACGTCCACCACAGCAAGCCGCCCACGGCAGAGCAGAGACAGTGAGTATCACAGGCTGCCTCCCTCGTCATTACAGGGGAAAGTAGCCCGCTCTGCATTTTAGAGATTCTATTTATTTATTTGTCAAAGAGAAAGTGAGCGCATAAGCAGTGGGGGTGGCAGGCAGAAGGAGAAGCAGGTTCCCCGCTGAGCAAGGAGCCAGCAGCGGCACTCGATCCCAGAACCCTGGGATCATGACCCAAGCTGAAGGCAGATGCTGAACTGAGCCCCCCAGGTGCCCTATTAAGCCAACAGGTCTTGAGTAGGGGCACTGAGAGTGTGACATGACAGCCCCAAGTGGTACAGCAGCCAGGAGGGAACGGGTCGGGGTGCTGCAAGATGGATGACCGCGCAGGGGTCCCAAGGCTGGACCTCTGGGGCTGCTTAGGGGACATGGCTTCAGGCCTTGCCCTGTTCCCAGGGCTGGTGACAGTGGCTGGTGAAGTGTTCTTCGCCCTGAAGGACGCAGGTGCCCTGCGAAGACAGAAATGCAGATAATCCCAACCCGTGGTGGTCACAGAGCTGTGGGGAGCCCTGTACCCAGAGTGTCTACGGAATTCCTGTGTCTGGGCGTGCACACTGTGGCCTCCATGCCCCCTCTCTTGGACTGGGAGGCACTGGGAGAAACCACTTCCCTTGGCTTCCCTGTGGGGCTTGGGACACAGGAGTACAGATGGCCTGAGCTGTCACCCTGTGTCCCTGGAAGGCTCTGCCTGTGGTCACATGCACTTTCATCCTGGGGGCTCCTGAACCCCATAATTTAAAGCTCACCCTTGGCCAACGCAGCTGAGTTCTGATTGGAGCAAAGTAGAGAGGAGAGAGAAGGAGGCAGGAGAGGGCCTGACCCCACTGCCACGGAGTGACCGGTGGGGCTGGGTTTCTGCACTCTCCATCCATGCTGTGACCTGTCCCTTGCTTGGACGTGTGGCCAGGGGGGTGCCCAGCTGTCCCGTGGCTGTGAGGACTCTGAGCATCCTTGAGGCCTTCTGCAGCCCAGGGGGCAGCTGCTCTAGCTGGGGCCCGAGTCCAGGGACGGGGTGTTCTGGGAGAGTCAGCAGGCAGGTCCTCCTCCCTTCCCCTGGGCCACGTGCACTGCCCCTCCCACTGTGTTCCTGGCTGTCCTCGTCCCGGTGGGGAAGCAGGGAGCATGGCTGTCCCTCCCATCCTGTGTGCCCTTGCCAATCTTCCAAGCTTCCTAGTGGCATTCCCAGCATGTGGGGGTGGGAGGTAGAGAGGAGAAAGTTTGGGAGCCCAGGAACTGCAGTGGCAATTGTCCCTTTTTCAGACATTCCAGCCCTCCCTTCTGGGCCCTGGGGCTTCTCCCTGTCTGCAGAGCCCTAAACATGGGAGGGCTCGCTCTGCCGTCCCTGCAGTGAAGCAGGGGGTGCCGCACCTGTGGGCTTCTCTTCCTGGGGAAGAGTTGGGGTCCCGTCTGTAGCCTGCATTCCCAGCCTCTGACCTCTGCTCCCTGGCCTCTGCACCAGCTTTCCCGGGGGCCTCCAGCCCGCCTCCTTCCTCCCTCTGTGTCAGGGGCAGCGGGAACCCCTTTTTCTCTGTACTTCCTAGTGCTCTGCTGACTTCATCTGTGTCCCTCCATTCCCCAGCTCGGAGCAGCCCGGGCTCAGCCAGGCGATGCATCCTGGAGGACCGGCCCGCCCCTCCATTCTCCCCCAGCTGCAGTCCCTGTCCTCTCCATGCCCCTCACTGCTGCCAGGATCAAGTCCCAGCCCTTAGCCCTTAGCCCCCAGCAGTGTGTGGGGGTGATGACAGAGGACAGTGCTGGCAGGTGCACGTCCCACCCCCTAGCCCCCAGCCAGGCCCGAGTGCTCGCCAGTGGAGACAGCACGCCCGGCTGGGAGTTTAAGTACTACATTACAAATGACCATGGGGGTGCCTGGGGGGCTCAGTCAGTTGAGCTTCCGACTCTTGGATTCGGCTCAGGTCAGGGTCCTCAGATCGAGCCCCGTGTCGGGCTCTGCAATCAGTGCAGAGTCTGCTTGGGATTCTCTCTCTCCCTCTGCCCCTCCCCCTGCTGGCGTGCTCCCCCCACCCCATCTCTGTCTCTCAATATAAATAATTAAAGTCTTTAAAAAAAATGACCGTCAAACAGAAAAAGGGTATTATTGTTATGAAATGACCGCGTGAAATGGCAAATACTGAAGGGGGTCTAGATGGTTCGAGCAGACAAAGTAGTAGATGATACCATAACAGAAATAATTAGTTTCTAATTCATCTACTTCAAGAATTCGTAATGTAAGATGCTCTCATTTTACTGATTATGTCACCTTGTGACCTCTGACTTGGCCTCCGATTCTGGGAAGCGGCCCCAGAAACATTAGTCATTCATTCAGTGGAATGGGGAGGGATGGTCTGCGAGAGCTGGTGTGGGAGGAGGGGAAGGGATGGTGTTTGCTGTGTGACCGCAGGGAGAGGGAGGAGGGAGGGGAGGAGGGAGAGAAATAGGAAGGATGGAGGACGGGGGGAGTGCGCAAGGGGAAGGACGGAGGACGGAGGAATAGGAAGGATGGAGGAGGGAAGGGAAGGAGGGGAGGGAAGGGAAAAGAAGAGGGAGGGGAGGAAGAAGGATGAAGGATGGGGAAGGGGAGGTGAGGAGGGGGCCTCAGGTCGGAGCTCTTGTCGCTGCAGGATCCCCGCTGTTTCCATGCCTGATTACATGGTTTACGAAGAGTTTAACCCCCAGCAGAGCAACGGAAGCTATGAGTCCAGGAGGGGGCCTTTCGACTTTGACGTGAAAACGGTTTGGCAGAGGGAAGCCGAGGACCGTGAGAAGGAGAAGAAAAAGGTGAGGGCCAGGCGCCTGCGGGGCTGTGTCGCCGCACTTGCCGCTCCCCAAAGAAGCTGACACTGGGTCTCTTGTTGCCCCAACACTGCCACGACTCTGTGTTTCCTTGTTTAAAAGACTTACTTATTTTAGAGAGGGAGTGCGTGTGGGAGGGGAGGGGCAGAGACAGAGTCTCAGGCAGACTCTCCGCTGAGCAGGACCCTGACACGGGCTGGATCCCAGGACCCCGAGATCAGGACCTGAGCCGAAAGCAGGAGTTGGCGCTCAAACCACTGAGCCACCCCCGCCCCCGCCCCCTGTTCTGTATTTTAAATTTGAATCAACTAAAAGGCAAGAGGCCATAGTAATATTACTTTTTTTTTCTTTTTATGAATATTGACTCTATGGGGTAAGATTACCTTGTACCAGGTGAGTTTTAACTAGTGAATGCTCGTCTGGGGCGGCCTTAACATGCCTCTTCCCATTCAGCGTGTATAAAAACGACATTTTGTATTTATTCGTATCCAGTCTCTAAAGGTGTCTATTGTGTTCAAGTCGTTAAGTGAATATTTTTCTGAAATACTTTTTTTTTTAAATTAACAGTTCTTTTTTATTTTTATTTTTTAAAGATTGTATTTATTTATACATTAAAAGAGCAGCTACGAAGTCGAGGGCCATCTCTGGTTGGTAGCCTTATGGTTGGGGTGTCTCAATTCAGGGGCCTTCTGACCCCCAGGCTGGAGCCCCACTGTCCAGGGCCGAGCATTGGCCACCGACGCTCCAGCACCAAGGTCTTGGTTCTCGGCACACGGGGTGGGAGAGTGGGTTTCCTGGCCTGGACCATCTGTGTCTGACTACCGGGCTTGGCTTCTCAGTGTCCTGGTTTGAGGAGAACTGCTGACTTTGGGGACTCAAGCAGTTGAACCCCGCATAGAATGTCAGGTGTCTGCCATGGGCTGTCTGGCCTTCCTCAGAACACCCCCACCCTCCGGCCATGGTTCCGGCTTCTGCTCCGCTGCATGATCAATGAAACGGACTGTTTTTAGGACCAGGTCCATGTCTTGGTGATACGCAAGCAGCTACACCGTCGATCGGTAAAGGGAATCTTTGGGAGTTAACCACAGCCACCGTGCGCATCTAGAGGACCTTGAAATTCTAAATGCTGTACCAGCCCCAAATCCCGTAGGGTTTCTGAGCCATGGACCGTAGCCATGTGGGGCTGAACCCAGGGCAGGAAGCAAGCCCGTGTGGACTGCCATGCTTAAGGAGGCGGGGTGCCCATGGGCTGTGGTTGAAGACACCAACATGGTGGACCAACATGGCAGACAGTTGGGTTCCAGAAAGGAGGTGTGGGGTGCCAGCTGGGCGTGTGGGCGCCCTGTCAGGAGGCTTAGAGAGCCCAGACGTATCTTCATCACCTGCTTCTGTGCATAGCAAACTGCACGGAACCGGGAGAGTTCTTGTGTTTTTTTCTCCCTGTGTCCCACTGGACCTTTGGCACAGCTAGAGTGTGACCTTGAACGTAGATGAAAGTGTGCACCATATTAAGCTAGGATTTGATGGGTGTCCGTCCCCAGCCTCTCTTGAGGGCCTGGCTGTCCTGCCCCTTGTCCCCCAGACCCCCCATGACTGGGCCTCAGGGGGCGAGCTGGGACATGGAGCTTTCCCAGCTATGGCCCCTAACTTGCTATGTGGCAGACCCAGGACCATATTTAGGGCAAAATGCTCCCCATGGGCGACCAGCATTGTGGGGTCTCATTTGCCTCTGGGGTAGTTGGGCTGGAGCAGGTCTCCCTTTCTGAAAGGCCCCCTTCTCCCCCATAAATGCTGGCGGTACCTTTGTAGGCTCTGTTTTTTGCTTTTTGTTGTTTTTCTTTTGTTTTCCTATAGCGTTTCCCCCTATTTTGTGATGCTGTAATTTAGACGCAGGAAATCCGCACTCTTCCCGGGGACTGTTCTATGGGTTCAATAAGCATGTAGCCACCACAGCTAGGAAGGCACTGAGCTCTTCCGTCACCCCCAAAGGTCTCAGCACCTTCACAGCCAGGCTGAGCTGCTTCCGTGGAATCGTGGGTCCTGGCTGAGGCGTGACTGTCGCATGGGACACTTGCTGAGCTGTGTTTTCCTGGGGTTTTGGCCTGAAGAGTCATGACCTCGCCCCAGGATCGTACTGTCCTGTGTGCCCTCTTGCCTTTCTGGGACTGTCCTCCTTCAGCGTCTGAGTGTCTGTCCCGCAACCATGGTTCTGTGTGTTTCTTCGCACAGGTGAGGCTCCCAGCCATTAACTCAAAGTACCTGAGCAAAGTGGGCACCCCGCTCGGCCCCAAAGACCCTGCAGGAGGCAAACTCTCCTTTCCTCCCATGTAAGTACACGGGCAGTGCCCACGCGTCTGGAGTGGGCTTGGGTTTGGGCTTTTTGGTCCTCCATCTAGGGGACAAAGGGACAATAATGACAACAAGGCACTGGGCAGTCGGTGGCCTGACGGTGTCCAATTCCTGGGAACACCTTTTGGTGATACGGTTTTGATGTCACATCCCCATGGACTGGCCTCATCCCCTGGCGTCTGTCGGGCCCTCGTGGAGCGCAGCTGCCCCCCTCCATGTCTGGACCGTGTGGGCGCCCAGCTTCTCCAACCAGCTGCTTTGCCTCCGTAAGCCCGTGTCCTACCCAAGACACCCGCCCCCCGGGACCCCGTCCTCACCAAGGCTCGCCATTTATTTATTTATTTTTATTTTTATTTTTAAATTTTTTAAAAAAGATTTTATCCATTTATTTTTTGAGAGGGGGTTGGAGAGGGAGCACAAGCAGGGGGAGGAGCAGAGGCAGAGGGAGAAGCAGACTCCGCACTGAGCAGGGAGCCCAATGTGGGACTCGATCCTCGGACCCAGGATCATGACCTGCGCCAAAGGCAGACGCTTAATGACTGAGCCACCCAGGCGCCCCAGATAACCTTCTTTCAAAAATTTACTTATTGAAGTCATCTCTACACCCGGCGTGGGGCTCGAACTCGACCCTGAGATCAAGAGTCAGGTGCTCCACTGACTGAGTCCACCGGGCGCCCCCATAGCGCATCATCTTTAATGTCAAGGAAGAGCTGATCCAGAAAGTGACAGTTTGGTAAAGAAACGGTAGAGTCCAAGCATCGATTAGCCCCTGGGGGAGGCCGGTGTTTGTGAGGGTGGTGTCCCCGAGAAACGCGGCATCATCCTCTAATTGGCTGTCATGGGCACAGGTTTTAGAAACGACTAAGCAAGCTCCCACCCTGTGCAAGGGTCGGCTGGAAGTGTGTTTCCTTGTGCTGAGGAAGCGGGACAGAGGGCTGTGCCAGATGGCTCTGTCTGTGACTCTTGATCTTGGGGTCGTGAGTTCAAGCCCCACCTTGGGTGCAGGGATGATTTCAAAACATAAATGAATAAAATAGACTTGTAAAGATGGAGAGAGGGAAATCAAGATTGAGAGAGAGAGGAGTATCTGTGTTATGGTTTAAGGGACAATAACTCATCTCATTATCCGCACGCCCGCTGGGACCTGACCGTGACCATCATGACCCTTTGTGTGGAGGTTTGACATCCATTTCTCTCTTTTTGAGGCCTGGTCAAAAAGCCAGTTCACCCACAAACTTTTCCAAACTTATCAGCAACGGCTATAAGGATGAGTGGCTACAGCGAGCTGACTCAGAGAAGAGGAGCCCGCAGACCCCCGGGGCGGCCACCCCGTCTCCGTCCACGCAAGATCCTGAAGGGAGCCAGGATGCAGGGTCGGAGCCAGACCCGGAGGTGCCCGGGGGCGCCGAGGACGTCCAAGGTGAGTGCGCCCTGCAGCCCGTGTTTGCTGAGGCCTCTGTTCCTTGAGATTTCTTCTCATTGGGTCTTTCACACGGAGTGATCTAAAGACCATGGAAGATCTTCCAGAAGGGTGGTGCTCACAGACACACAGGAGGGTCGCATATGTTTCACGCTTCTCTTTATTCCCAGGAACAGCAAAAGTCACGATATCTGTGCCCTTCCATTTTCTTTCAATTGTCGAAACCTACAGGATCCTCGCCCCACCACGCGTGCGCTTCTGGAAACAGAACTCACGCTTCACCCTTGAAATTCCTCTGTCTCCCACGTCCCTTACGTTTTGTTATTAAACTCTGAATAGTTTGGAGTAGGTGTCCCTGTCATTAGGTGGTCCAAATCCTGTATTCATTCTGATTTTTCCTGGTCCTGGTGACAGGCAGACTTAGTCTTATTTTTGGCCACGTCCAACATAAAGCCCATCAAACCTGGTGTTGACTTTCCGTGGCTCAGTGATCATTGACCTTTTGTCTGTTGGCAACTAGATTTTTCTCTCGAGGCTTCATGTCCTTGGTTAAGGAGGAAGGAGGTGTCCAGAGTGCTGCACGTTGACGTTTGTCAGCAAGGTCTCTGCCCGCCGTCCCCGCCCAGTCCCCAAATGACCCCAGCGAGGGCGACGGTGCCCGTGCACCTGCTCAGCACCCACTCCACGCTCAGCGGCCCAGCCGCCCTGCCAGTGACATGTCCTGTCTCCACTGTCCTGACGGTTGCGTGACAAGGTCACGCTCAGTGTCGCTAGGAAGTGCACTTGTGAACATTTCCGTGCTAGCTGTGTTCTGTGGCTTCTTGTTTTAAGTGATACAGCCTTTTAGTCATTGTAAGTAATTATTAAAAGTATGATTCTTTTAGGACCAACTCTGTTTTACTAAATTGAACAACTCGCGTGCTTGTTCCATATTATAGATGCTCCTTCTCCGAGTGAGTGTTTGTGGAGAAACTGGCTGCATCCAAGTATGAAAAGTGTCTCACACGCACCAGTGTCGATGAACATGGTGAAATATGAAGCTGAAGGCACTGGGGGGCCCTAGATGTCCTTCCCCAGCTGCATGTGCTCCAGCCGCAGGCCGAGCTGGCTGTGGCTGGGCTCAGTCGGTTGAGCATCTGAGTCTTGGTTTCGACTCTGGTCGTGATCTCAGGGTCGGGGGATCAAGTCCTAAATTGAGCTCCATGCTCAGCGCGGAGTCTGCCTGACATTCTCTCTCTCCTTCTCCCTCTGCCCCTTCCCCTGCTCTCTCTCTCTCTAAAATAAAGAAATCTTTGAAAATAAATAAATGAGCGAAACCGGCATGACCTGAGAGCGCCAGGAAGGCTGGGGAAGCAGCAGTGCCCCGTAACCCGGCAGGATCAGCACGGGGCTGGGGGCACCTGCTTCCACGCTTTGGGTACCTGAGGGTCCCCATGGAAGCTCCCGGCTTCCGCCCTCCCCGGAATTTCCCAGAGGCCACATGTTCTTCCCTTCTGTTTCCTGTTCCTTCTCCTGCCTGTCTTGGCTTTTAACTTGATGCACAACGACAGCCAACCCAGAGCTTGCCTTCCCCTTCTGGCTGTCCCTTTCTCAGCCAGGCTTATGGGTCGGTGTTTCCCTCCTTGAGACACAGGACTGTGCTTTTCTTTCTTCCCCTCACTGCAAGTTTTGCTGTCCGTCTCCATGTTTCTGGCGTGCGGGGAAGCTGGCCTATGGCCACTGGCCCAGATTTCTAGTTTGCAAGAGCCAACATGGAGGACAGCGCCCAGGACCGGGTGCAGAGCCAGCAGCCATGCCCTGTCCTCTGGGGCTGGGGAAAGCGCCCCTGCCCACTCCTGCTCAGTGCATCCTTACGGGGTAGGGAAGCTTGCCAGCAGGTGTAGGCACAGTGCAGAATGTGGTCAGGGCCCCCGCCTTGTCTAGCCACGCTCAGGGTAGAGATGGAGGTTTCCCAGGTAAGCACTGGGCGGGCAGGTAGGACCGTGTGTTTCATTTTCATGTAGACTTCAGGAGTAGTCCTGAAAAATAAGGACTGACACCGGCGCTTTCCCGTTCCTTAAAATTAATAGGTTAAAATTCTTAATTCGTAAAAAAATGTCATCTTCACGTCTCTTTCCCCATCAACCATCTCTTCCGTTTGTGTTACAGGAGGAGCCCCACCTCCATCGGCGTCCACGCCCGGAGAGCTCAAGTAAACCCCACCTGCTCCGCTCGGATCTCCTTCTGACGGCGGATGGGTCTGACTGGACGCCGGCTCTGTTTCTGAGGCGCCGGCTCTTTTCCGTGAACGTAGGTTCTTAGATCGGCTCTCTTAGAGCCGACTTGACACCACTGTCGAGACGCTGCAAGTGTTGGGCGCTGCTTCCTGCACCTCTCCAGGATGCGAAGCAGCGCACCTCGCTGGCCCGGGATGTCGCAGTGTCTTGGAATCAGCCACTTCCTCCCCGGCCCACCGTCATCTGACCTCACCCGCTCCCGTGCGAGTCTCTGCAGGCGACATTTCGATTCAAATCAACCATTTAGACTCTACCTAGAAGAAACCCAAAGTCTTTTCCTTTCTTTGGTCCTGCAATATTTGTAGAAATATTTTTTTTCCATTTCAGAAAAATTTAACTCCAGAATATTATGACATAGTTTATACTAAGAAAAAGATTGATTTATTATGCCTTAAGGGTGTAAGCATTTAATGTAGAAGCATGGTAGCATTTGCTGGTTTAAAATGTTTGCTAATATTTTTTGCATAAACTGAAATTCGTAACATTTCACGTTTACTATTTTGTATCATTTAGGTAAAACTATGTTTAACTTTAACATTTAATTTAGTAGTCTTAACAAAAATTTTTAAATAATCAGACTGAATTTTCTTATTTTGTAAATTTTGCTACTGTTTATATGTAGGTAATTAGCACGACAGTGTAGCTTTATATTTTGTACATTTAATTCAGAATAAAATAATTTTTCTGGAAGATTTTCAGAAAGCCAAATAATGTCTCAAGTATTTCTTTTTTTTAATTATTTGAGAGAGAGGGAGAGAAAGAGACAGAGTGAGCATGAACAGGGGGAGGGACAGAGAGAGAGTCTCCAGCAGACTCCCCACTGAGTGCGAGCCCAGCGCGGGGCTCGATCCCGCGACCCGAGATCCTGACTGGAGTGGAAACCAGGAGTCAATACTTAACAGACTGAGCCACCCAGGCACCCCAAGTTCTCGGGTACTTTAACATCTCTCCCAGAATAAACTTAGGATGCACTTACCAAAACTTGAAGGAGGGGGAACCCTGCTTCCTCCTACTGGGGCAGCAAACCAGTAGCTGAAGTAGCATCGGTGCCGGTGCCGGTGCCGGTGCCGGTGCCGGTGCCAGCGCCTCTCCTCCCACTGGGTGGGTGACGGTAACCAGCGTGGGGTGTGAGAGCTCCCCCTGCTGGGCGTCCGACTCCACGCAGAATGACGTTTCCCTTCACCCGTCTTCGCAGAACCGACTCCGGACTCTCTCTCTCTCTCTCTCTACTTATATCTACGATCAAAACTATATCTATGTGGGCAAATGTCCAGGGAATTCTGCTGAATAGAAAAAGCCAGTTTGGAAAGGTAAGAGACTATTCGTGTGTGTATATATACATATATGTATATATACACCTTTTTTTTTAATGACACATATTAGAAATTGAGGACCAATGAGTGGATGCTAGGGTTTAGGGGATGAGAGGTAGGCGCGTGGATAGGGCACCATGGGGGTTCTTTTGGTAAAGGAGGGCTCCTCTCCCAGGCCCCCTCCAACTTCCGCTACTCTAGTTCTGCAAAATGTTTGCGTTGGGGGAAACGGGGGAAAGGGCACAAGACATCCTTCTGTGTTGCTCCTTACAACTTTATCTTTGTCATTCGCGCTGCTGTAGCAAAAACATCACAGCCTAGGTGACTCATACACAACAGAAATTTGTTGGGGGTATCATTCCCATCTGATAGACCTAGATGGAGCTCAGGTGGGCTCCAGTGACTTACAGAAAGCCAGGGGCTGGCAGGCGTCATGGCCCCAACAGTGGAGTGATTTTCCTTCCCAGGTCCCTTCCCAGCGTGAGACTGCAGTGCTTTTCCTTCTCCATTCCTCCTCCTCGACAACCTAAGCGCCGGCTGTGACCCGCAACACAGTTTCACGGCCTGCTGGCTGTCTGGAAACCACCATTCTCAGATCTTTGAAGTTTCTGCCTGCTGTCTGAATGCAGGAGAGCAGCTGAGATGGAAAGGGAGAAGTGGCTGGTCCCTAGCCTTGGCGTGTGGGGCCAAGCAGGGAAAAGCCTCAGTTAACAGCTCCACACTACTCTCAGCTCCTTCTGGGAGGGTTTGAATAGAGCACACTTAGTCCTCCGAGCCGGTAAGCCAGACAGGAGTGGTCATTATTCTCCAGTGGCTCTCGTGGCGTGACTTGCTTGTGTGTGAGGCCACTCAGAGCACTTGTCCGCAGATGTCCCAGGCCCTTGGGGCTGGCCCGGAGGGGCTGAGGGCCTGTGTGTCTTTGGCATCTCCGCCCGGAGCGGCGCCTGGAGGTGGCCGGCTGGTGGGCGGGGCTTTCAGGTGTGGTTTAGAAATGGCCACAGTGACCTTTCCAGTCTGTCCCATTCCTGAGGGGTCAGCTTGACAAACATGTCTTTGGTATTCGATTTGCCAGTTCATGGGCCGCCTCTTAGAAATGGAAGACAAAGTTCTGAGTGCACGAGGTCATGGGGCCCCGGGTGGGCACATCTCCGGAGGTGCTCAGGTGCCGAGCTCCTGGGTGCTGGGTGCCTGTCCCAGGCACCTGCCCGGTGGCGCGGGTTGGCCGGCAGTATTGGCCTGCTGCCAGGCCCTGCAGTCTCAGCCGGCGACTGACTGAATGAGTCATTGCCCTCCCTGCGCCAGCATCTCCTGGCTTTACTAGCGAGCTCCCGGTATCCAAGAGGGTCCCAGAAAAAAGTCCCAGAGAAGGGGCTGGAGAGATCAAGGGACCGCAGCAGACATGGCCCAGCCCCCTTTCCCTGACACCCCCGCTCCCACCCCGCCCAGGGCTGGTTCCACCTGTTTTTTCTTTCCAGTGGCTCTGGAGCTGGGGGTGCGGCCACCGCAGTCTGTCAAAACCACCGGCTGCATCCCCCTCTACTCCAGTGGGCGGCCGGGCGGGTGGGGGGGGGGGGGATTTCCTTCCTACCCGGCAACAGCCTGCCGCTCGTGCCTGCATCCAATGGGAGGCCACCTCCGCCTCCGGCTCCCTCACCTGCGGCCAATGAGAGGCCACCTCCGCCATCACCTGCGGCCAATGAGAAACCACCTCCGGCTCATTTTTCTTCCAAAGAACGTTCGTTCAAAGCTCCTCCCAACTCCCCCCTTCCTCCGGGAGAGGGTACCCTCTCCTCCGTTAGCGCCGTTTGCCTATGGTGCGCAGACTTGGCTTGCCACGATGGCAGTTTGCGCTTTCCAGAATAAGCCCATCCGCCGCTGGATAACCTCGGCCGTTTACTGTTTTAAGGCTGACAAGAGGTTTTCTGCGCGGTGGAGCGGCTTAATGAGTAACAGGGATGTCCCCGGTGACGCACCACCCCACCCGGTACATGAGGAAGGAACTTTGGGCGGAGTTGGGGTCAGCCTTCCCGGAACGGGGCAGGGAGGGGACAGCGGCGGGCGGGTGATCCGGACTCAGAGCGCAGACCCAGATCCGAAATTGACCTTGCGGGTACCTCGCGCAGGTGAGTGCTCCACGCCGGGCTTGGGGTTCCGCTTTCGGGAACCATGCTTTCGTGTCACCTGCTGGGGAGGTGACTCAGCCTTTGGCTGGGAAGGACATGCGGGTAGCAGGGTGCGCGGGGAGGTCGAGCAGGTTGCGGGGAGGATGAACAGGGTGCGGGGAGAGGTAGGGAGGAGATGCGACGAGGGGGAATATACCGTGAAGGCGTGCGCAGAGGGTGCCCCGGGAGCACCGCGCGCGGGGAGGAGGAGCAGGGCGCGCAAGGAGGATGAGCGGAGCGCAGGGAGGACGAGCAGGGAGCGGGGAGGGTGGGGGGAAAGTTCAGGGAGGGGAGTATACGGCGAGGCCGTTCGGGGAAGGTGCGCCGGGAGCAGCGCGCGCGGGGAAAGGAGTGCAGAGAGAGGGTGCGCAGGACGTAGGAGCTGGGCGCTTGTGGAGCTGGGTGCGGGGTTGGTGGAGAGCAGATTCAGGGAGCGGCGTACTCTGAGAGGGCTGGGGGTAGGGTTCTCCGGGAGCAGGGCGCGCAGGGAGAGCTCCCAGAGGGTGCGTGGGGAGAATGATCTGGGAGAGGGATGGGGGTGCATTTGGGAGCAGGGCGCGCAGGGAGAGCGCTCACGGTGTGCTGCGCGGAGCCGAGAAAGATGCGCTTCCTGACCCCACCACAGCCGCCGGGCTCCCGGACCCCCAGCCCGCGCAGAGCGCAGCGGGTGTGGCCTCTGGTGGTGGTGGACAGAGTGGGGACTGGCTTCTCCGCAGCCCAAACCAGAGAATACCTAGAACTACCCTCTTTTCTTTGGGGGGTGGTAAGTAAAGTTACTATTTGGAGGATGATTTTTGCTCTTTAAATTTTTAAAAAAAATTTTGGGGTAGGCTTGAGGAGCCCATTTGCTTTATTTTGTCACTCACCGGTGCGGCCATGTCCCGTCCAGCAAGCAGAAAGGAGCTGCGGGGAGCTGGGAAGGGAAGACTTTTACAGGCACAAAGGGGAGGATTTGGGGGGCCTGAGGGTGGGGGCAGAGGGACCTGACCCGACCAGATGAAAGTTCCTGTGAAAGGAAAGTGTTGTTACGGCGAGGTCATCTTCCTCTGGGGGAGGGGCGGGGGTCTGTCACTGCTGTGACCAGGTGATCGCGGGTGGACTGGTTAAAGGTCACATTTCTGAGAGGCGGATGGGTTAAAACTGTCAAAAGTTCGGAAAGAACAGCAGTAAAGCCGCTGATTCACCAGAGTAGCAATTAGTAAGTTTATCCTGCGCGCCAGGAGGAGACAGTTTGCAAATGGGGGCGCTCAAAGGAGCAGGGACCCCGGGGTTTTAAAGGTAGGTCGGGCTCCAGCGCAGCGGGGAGTCAGCCGCTGTTCTTCACGGGGCATCGCTGCAAAGTTAGCATCTTCTTAACCCGTAGGGGATTGGTCCCGGTTACATCACCGGGGACCAGTCATCATCAGCCATCTCTGGGGGAAACTGTTTCCTTCTCTATTTCCAGAGGCTTAAGGAAGAAGTGGTTGGGGTCAAGTTAGTCTTGCAAAAGAAAACTTTGTATGACTAACCCTTTCTTCTGCTTGGATTTTTTTCTTTTCTTTTCTTTTCTTTTCTTTTCTTTCCTTTTTTTTTTTTTTTTTTTGAGGCTGGTCTCCCATTTGGTTTCAATTTAACCAATATTAGGTCTTGGTTTGCTGTCCTGAGGCAAGTGAGTTCATTTTGGACTCCTTTTCTTTTACTTTTCTTCCTTCTCCTCTCCTCTCCTCTCACCCCCCCTCCCCTCTTCCCTTACTTTTCCCTTTCTCTTTCCCTCTTTGTCTCTCCTTCCTCTTCCCTCCCTCTCTCCCTCCCTTCCTTTCCTCTTTCTTTTCTTTCTTTCCTAAACCTGGGGAGCACCAGTGGATGGGAGCACGCATTGGGCCAGCGCTGAACAAGAGTTACAGTATAAACACTGTCATCCGTCTGTCTGGCAGGTGTGAAGAGAAACCACAGTTAAAAATGACAGGGTAGAGATAGAACTGGCACGGGGCGTGTGTCCTTTCACAGTTTGTATCTCTGATAACCTGTCCAGTGGCCTGGAAGCGCCCACTGGGGAGACATTGCACAGCCTTACAGGCTGTCCATAGATCTGTCTCCCTTCCAGGGCAGGGCTTGGCCTGGTGACCCGCCTGATGACTCAGGTCTCTGGCAGCAGTCTCCCTGGCTGGCTTGGAACTGGCCATGAGGCCAGAGCTCAGCCTGGCACCCGCACCCTGCACCCCTCACCCGGCTGCCCCTTCAATGGGGAGTGACCTAGAAATGCAAAAATCTGGAGAGCTGGGCTGCTTTGAAGGCCACTGGGTCAAGCAGTCTTCAGGCTGCCAGATCCTCCCCCTCCCAGCACTCCTGCTCCTCCTCCACCCTGCCCAGCCCTGCTCAGCTAGCCTCAGCCAATCTGCCCTTTTCCTCTCCTTTTTGGAGGCCAGGCTTCTAGCTCTTTCCACATTAACTTCATGATCCCACAGATCACATTCTTAGCTCCAGGGCTTTCCACACCTGTAGGCACTGCATAATGTTTTAGTTATAAATAATAATAAATTAGCTTTTTACCTGGGCTTTTGTCCAAGAGGACTTTGTTTTCTTTGGTGATCATAAAATTAATACAAACTCATTGTTAAGAAAATGAAACTAGGGGTGTCTGGCTGGTTCTGTCCATGGACAGTGTGACTTTTTTTTTTTTTTTTTAAGATTTTATTTATTTATTTGCCAGAGAGAGACACAGCGAGAGAGGGAACACAAGCAGGGGCAGGGGCAGAGGGAGAAGGAGAAGCAGGCTCCTCGCCAAGCAGGGAGCCTGATGTGGGTCTCGATTCCACTGGGGTCATGACCTGAGCTGAAGGCAGACGCTTAATGACTGAGTCACCCAGATGCCCTGAGAGTGTGATTCTTTTTTTTTTTTTTAATATTTTATTTATTTATTTGACAGACAGAGATCACAGGTAGGCAGAGAGGCAGGCAGAGAGGCAGGCAGAGAGAGGAGGAAGCAGGCTCCCTGCTGAGCAGAGAGCCCGATGCGGGGCTCGGTCCCAGGACCCTGGGATTGTGACCTGAGTCAAAGGCAGAGGCTTTAACCCACTGAGCCACCCAGGCGCCCCGAGAGTGTGACTCTTGATCGGCCCTGTGTTTGAGCCCTGAGCTGGGTATAGAGATTACTTAAATAAATAAAACTTAATAAAAAGATATAACAGATTTATGTATAAGAATATATATATATAAGATATATATATTTTATATATGTGATATGTATAAATCTTATATATAAGATATATAAGAATATATATAAGAAATATATATCTATATATATATAAGCACAAATATAAAACAGGAAGTGAAACTTTCAGCTTTTCCTACTCTATAAACATTGACCATTTTCCTCCCTCTCTCTCTCCTATACATACAGACAGACATGCTCATTTGCTTTCGAACTGTGTTCATTCAAAAACGTTTTATAGGGGCGCCTGGGTGGCTTAGTGGGTTAAGCATCTGCCTTGGGCTCAGGTCAGGGTCCCAGCATGCTGGGATCAAGCCCATGTCGAGGTCCCCAGCTCCCTGATCAAGGGGGAGTGTGCTTCTCCCCCTGCTCCTTGCTCTCTTTCTCTCTCAAATAAATAAAATCTTTTAAAAAAATGCTTTATAAACATTTATATACACTGAGTGTTTTTTACACTGAGTGTAAACTATCTGATTTTTAGTTTTCTGGGTTACAACTAAGAACAACCCCAAGGAAACCAACATCAGCTATGGGGTTTGTATTTTTACGAGTTGGATGGGGAGCAGTTGCACTGGGAGCCCCGATGCTCACAGCGGAGGCTCTTCCCCAGGGAGCCTGAGAGCCAGACCCAAGCCTGGATTTCTCTGAGCGGCTGAAACTCCGTGGCAGGTTGTAGGGACACCTTCCCGTTGTGTATATAAGCACATAGGGTCCTGGGGAGGTAGGAGGAGACTGTCTTGGGGAAGTGGATGCGTCCTTCCCTGGGGGAGAAGGTGGAGGACCCCTGGGCAGTGTTGGAAGCAGTGCTGCCTCTACTGGCCTCCGGGCTGGTACCCTCCTGGGGTGCTGGTCCCGCATCACTCAGCTGTGGAGCCCTTGGCTGGGCTGTGGAAGAGCTCTCTGATCTCCATGGAAGCTCCCTCCCTCAGGACAGAGGGACACCAGGGACAGCCCTCATCCAGGGCGATGATGCTCAAAGATTAGACTTTTGAAACACAGCTTTGGGTCAGTGTGTCCTTCTGCACTGACAGGATATTGCCCTGGTCACCATCTTGCTCCCTTGCTGGCCCTCTCATGTCCTTGGCTCCCCTCAATTGTTGGTTCCAGCAATTTGCCTTCGACCCTGAATTCCCACCCACCCTGTTTCCCCCCAGCAAGCTTTATCTCTCACTTTTCAAACCCGCTTCTTGAAGACACGTCAAGCTTTATTTCCCCCATGGGGTGACTCCCACAACTGCCTTGTGCTAAACCATGGTGTCACAAGTGAAACAGCCTGCCTTAGCCCCATGCCTAGTGGGTGACAGTGTCATCTTGGCTAGACCCAGGCATCCCCACCAGCCTCATCCCAGTACCACCTTCCAGTCAGTCCTTCAGATTTCATCTTTGAGATCCAGAATGTACCCCACTTTTCTGTTCTTAGCACATCTCTGCTCAGGCTTGTGTCCCTCCAGCTGTCCTGGAATCATGTGTTGAGGAGAAAATCTTCTATCCTTTTAGGTGAAGTTCTTGGGGGCTGCAAATTAAAATGACAAAAGACATAATAGCAAGAGAAAAGATGGATTTTTATTTATGTCTACAAAGGGAGTTAACAAAAATGTGGCTTGGGGAGGTGGTTAGAATGTGGGGGCTTCTTTACCATCTGAATAGGGCGTGGGGGGTGCAGAAGGACACTTCTGGGAGAACAAATGGCTTCTGGGGGAGCACAGAAAAGCAACTTAGGGAAACAAAGCACTTTGGAAAGATTAATTTTTTTCTCAGGAAAATAGATAAGATAGTGACAGTGTCTGCTCAGGTTTTTCTCAGAGAAGAGATTATGGTTGCTCTCTGGGAGCTAATTCTTAATGATTGCGTTCTTTCAGGAGGCTTCACCTGTAGGCAGACAAGGGATTTCAGGAGCTCAAATCTCTGTCATTCCCCACCTCTACCTTTCAGAGCCACCCTCCTGCCCCCATCTTGGGACACACTGCCTGAGCACATGGCCTTTGACCTTTCCCCAAGGTCAGTCACTGACGCAGGCCAAGCTTAACCCTTTCTGGCATCTTAGGGAGAGTTAATGCCTTTTCTAGTGATGTTGGTAAATGCATGAAGCTTCCCTCCAGGGAGCTAACAGCACCGTGTAGTGTAAGCACGTCTGTCCATGCACCTTGCTTTGCACTAGCAGCCTTGTTGGTGGGGGATGAGGAGGGAGCTAGTCACCCCGAGCCTTTCACGGATGGACAGTACGGCAGCGGACTAACTCAGGGACCGCCTTTTGCCAAGTTGGCATCTCTGGGCTGCACGGGAAATAGGAAGTGGAATGGGCACTAGGGTTTGTTCTGAGATGCCCAGACTGGAAGTCCCGTTTTCTACCAACAAGCATGTATTGTTAGGGAAGGTGTTATTTGTATCATCTGTGCAAGGGGAAATGTCTGGGGTGTGTGATAATTTTAAATCAGCTGAACCATTGAAACAGCCTTCCTCAGAAATCTGCCCTAAATCCTACCCATGACCTCTCTTGGCTAGATTGCCCTGGAGGGGTGTTTGGAAACCCTCATCACCCATTTCCTCACTGAGCACCCAGCCCTCCCACAGAAGCTCCCTCCTCTGGCCCAACACCTTTTGTCTGTGATCTAAGTTGTGAGGCGGAGATAAGTGGGCACTGGCGGATGCTGGGGGCAGTGGACCCTGCAAACGGGGGCTCCTCCTCCTTTCCTACACTAAACCCCAGTGGGGCAAACAGGACTGCAGTGCTGACAAGCCGAGTTCCTGAATCCTCTGAAGGTTGGAAGAACACAATATAACTTTGCTCATTTTTTGCCAAGTGGGAAACTTGTTTGGAAATACATTATTACCTCTTTGCTTCTCATCACCAGGGGCTGCTTTTCCAAGAGCCAACACCTGCTTCTCACCATTGCCGGTTCACCCGTGGCCGCTGGAAGAAGCTAGGTGAGTGGGCAGCTACCCACAAGGGCAGATGGGCTCCAGGTTTCCACCCCTGCTTGTCCCGAAAAGTGAGGTACCTCCTTTACCTCCTCCTGGCTTCGACTTTTGTGTGGGCGGGGGTGGGAGGGGTACTGGTAGAATGTGCCCCTTGGAGAGGGAGATGCATCTTTGATCCTTAAGCCCGCACTGGCCATGCAGGCCTTGTCTGTGCGTTAGCAGGGATCTTTCTGTTCAGAACATTGCTGAAGTCTGGGGTTTTCTCAGCCCCAAGCTGGTTCAATCTTTTACCGAGTGCAGGACGGGGTCCGTTTTGGGGAGGCTCACAGCCTAGAAGGGATGCCAAGGGAAGCGGGCCAGGCGGACTCAGGAAGTGCTGAGCTCGGAGGCTGTGCAGGGCAGGGACTGGGCAGGGAGATGTTTCCTCTGCTTCAGAGACAAGAAGAGCAAGCAAGTGTGGGCGGCGGCACTTTCTCTCCATGCCAGACAGGATGCTTTCTCTGAAGCTTCGTTTCCTTTTTTTGGATTCTGTCTGCTGCCCCTTGGGAGGGCACAGTCTAATAGGTCTAACTCTTCCTCTTTTGCTCCTGGTGCCCTGCAGAAGAAAAATTAGCCTCCTGGAGGGTGCTGGCTTTAGGAGGAAGGGGCTTCTGTGAGCAGTACTGCTCTCACTGGGGAGTGCTGTCGGCCTGCGGGCCAGCTGTGGCCCTACTGATGCAGCTGTGACACCCCAAGGCCCCTCTCGGATCTCTGTGGAGACATGAGAGCCCGTGGAGAGGGAGGGCAGGAGGGGGGGCCCCAGCGGGCAGCCCGGGGCCAGTCCCTGCAGGGCGCTGCTGATGGTTGCACTTCCTGGAAGCCAGACTCGGACGAAGCCTGGCTGTCTGCGTGAATTTGTGTGATCAGTGCTGTGCTTGCTTGCCTGGAATCAGGGCCAAAGATTCTGATCACCCATGACAATTCGGACACACGTCTGGGTTTCCTACCGCTGATTCTGCAACGTCCAGTGCAGCTCACTTTGGACACCATCTGCCCGGAGGCACAGTCCGACCCACAGGTCCCGGGTCGGTCCCCCAGCACTGCCCTCCCTGATGCCAGCCCCACGTCCAGGCTGTCACCTGGGTCCTGAGTGACCAGCCACAGACCAGACGTTCCCACGGCTCCTCCCTGTCTTGATGAAGTCACTGGAGCGGCTCACAGAACTCGGAGATAGGGTTTACTCCCTGCATCATCGGTTTGTTATCAAAGGAACAGAAGAGCTGCCCTGACGGGGTCTGGGGAGGGGGCGCGGGGCTCCCATGCCCCCCCAGGGCCCACGGTCCCCTCATCTCCAGCTGCTCACCAATCCGGGAGCTCTCCAGATCCTGTCCTTTTGGGTTTTCTGGGGGTTTTGTTACATGGGCGTGATTGATGAGTCATTGGTCATTAGTGATTGATTCAATCTGCAGCCCACCCCAGAGGTGGGGGGGGGGTGGGGCTGAAACTGCCAAAGACCTCTAACCAGGTGATCGGTTTCCCTGGCAACCAGCCCCCATCCTTAGGCAGTTTCCCACTATCAGGTCATTAACAAGAGACATCTTCCTGCTCTCCACTCCTAGGAAATGCCAAAGGTGTTAAGAGCTCCAGGCCGGAGAGGGGATGAGGACCCGGAGCTGTTGACCCTGGAATAGCCATGATCTGAGCTAGGCAGATCTGCTCATGTGTGGATTTCTTTTGATAAATACACAAAGTGCTATCAATGTATTTTCTCTTGCTTATGATACTTTAAATAACATTTTCTTTTCTCCAGCTGCGTCATAAGAGTGTGGTATAAAATACATATAACATACAAAATAACGTGCTCACCACGCGCTACTGTTTCCTGGAAGGCTTTCGGTCAGCGACATGCTGTTAGTAGTCGTCACGTTGTTGAGGAGTCAAACGTCAGAAGCACCAGGTGGATTCCCACTGGAGGGGAGTGTCCGTTCTCCTAACCCTCTGACTCTTGGCTTCAGCTTGGTCATGATCTTAGGGTCCTGAGATGGAGCCCCGTGGGACTCCACGCTCAGCGGGGAGTCTGCTTGACTCCTCCTCTGCCCCTCGTTCCCCTCAGATAAATTAATGAATAAATCTAAAAAAAAAAAAAAAAGAAGAAGGTAAAACTGACAGTTACTTTGCCAGTAACAGGTGGGGGGTGTATTAGGGAGCAAAAGAGAATTAGTACCCTGGGCAAGCGAGCTGTTGTGAAACCAAGGGCCAGCCCCCGAGGACAGAGGACAAGCATGCATTTCAGGGAGAACAGGGTCAGGGGATGAGGAAAGCTTCTCTTTCTCAGGCTGGGGCAGTAGAGCAGCGTCACGGGCAAGGTCATGTCCACGTCAGCTGTCGTCTGCCTTGTCCTGCCAGGTCTTTGGTTGACCTCGAGCGTTGGGCTTCCCGGGACCATCTCAGAGAGAGAGTCCGGGGGTTCCCAAGCAGGCAGATCTGAGATGCAGAATGAGTAAGGACTGTGCCTTTGACCGACGTGTTTGCAGGGTCTCCGTGCAAGTTGCCACTTGAGTCTCCGTAAGGCCCTTAGTGCGTTTGAGCACCTCTGAGGTTTGAGGGTGGTGTGCACAGCGGAAGTGTCGTAAAACCAGCCAGACTTGCTGAAGCACCTGACTGGTAAGATGGTCTTCCCCCGGCACAGTGTAGGCTCATCTGTCCTCAGGGCATCGTAGCCACAGAAGAGGTGTTGGCCTGTCCACAAGGCAAGGCTTCGATCCAGTAGGGAAACGTACAAACCATGACTGAAACAGATTTGTATCCGTGACATGGAGGGATCTGGGTGTAGCCCATTGGCCAAACCTCATGTGGTCCATTAGGCAGGACGGGTATGTTTCCCGGGACTGTATTTTGGACAAATGGGATAAACAGGGTCCCCGTCAATATTGGTTCATGAACACTGTCCTTTTCACAGTAAATCAATGGTTTAATGTGTGTACGGTTGTAAGTACTGGGAATTTAAAATTTCTGGTAGGTCCAGCTTGTTACTTGGTCTAAACCCCAATTCTCTGTTTTATCAAACCAACAGTTATTAGATTTCCAATACTGATTTAACTTTTCTGGGGCCAATTGTTGGGGATCTCTGGTCCATTTTTCGTAATTGTCATTTGGAAAAGCATTTCTTTGGAATATGACAGAGGTCTGGCTGTTGGACTCCTTTGGGGCAGCATTTGGGTGGAAATATCAATGGGGTGGTGTCCTTGGGGCTTCAGGGAGTTGATTCTAGAAGGCCCCAAAACCTTAGCAATAGCTCAAGCCATCAGCAACAACATGGCGCCCAATAAATGTTGGACCTAGGAGTCATTTTTAATCTTCTCCATGAAGGTAAGAAAACCTGTTGCCCCATTCCCAAGTCCAGAGCTTCCTTCCCAAAATCATAGCGACTGTCAGCATGAATGTTTGTGGTTTTGCCCATGACTGAAACACAGCTCAGGTAAGGGCGTATGAGTCACCATTTGGGCGGAAGTAGCCAGAGTTAAAGGTCCTGCCTCAGCGACTCCCAGGGATTTGCAACAGCAAACCCAGTATGATATCTCATCCTTTAAATAAGAAACCATCAGGAAACCGTGAAAAGTCTGCACTGGTTAGAGCAGGTCCCTGGAAATGGTTACCAGGAGTCACCAGGTGATCTGTCCAGGTGAAGCTGTCCTGGGCGGGGAGGGGTTTATCCTGGAAGGAGGGGAGAAAGATGAGGCTCCTGGGACCAGAAAGAGTTATTGTTGTAAGAGGAGTGGTTACCAGGAGGGTGTCATAGGAGGTGAGGAGACTGGCTGAAAAGTCCTTTAAAAAAATAGATAAAAGATTTTATTTATTTGAGAGAGAGAGAGAGAGATGAGATAGTAACAGCATGAGTGAGGAGGAGAGGGAGAGGGAGAAGCAGACTCCCCAATGAGCAGGGAGCCTCACATGGGGCTCCATCCCAGGGCCTTAGATCATGACCTGAGCCAAAGGCAGACGCTTAACCTACTGAGCCCCCCAGGAGTCCCCTAACTAAAAAGGCTTGAATGTCAGGAGAATTTGGCAGGGCTTCTGTGTGGGGCACAGGTAGGGTGACAATTTCTGCAGTGACCTTAACTAACAGGGCAGTAGCAGGAATGGCCCTGAGGCCAGGGGTATGGCCCCCAGCCACAGGGCCTAATTTTTGGCTTTGATGCCATGGTGGTCCCTGTGTTTTTGGAGGTGAGCACTCCAAGGGTATCCCCTTCCCGGAGGGAAAAAGGCTGTTGATATTTAGGATGTCTGAGGGCAGTGCATTTGGTTAGACTTTCTTTAAAGTCTCAAAGACCATGTCGTCTGCCTCTTTCCAAATAATAGGGTCAAGTCTGTCCTTTTTTAGTAAAGATTATACAGCCTGAGCCATGAGGGGCAAGTGTGGAATCCAGTGTGGAAAATAGCCAGCCAGCCCTGGGAAGCCTCCTGATTGGCGCTTGGTTTTCAGTTTTGGGAAATTCAGGAAGCCTTCGAGTCTGCCTGGGTCCCCATCAAGTCATCTTTTGGAGACCAGGTACCATAAACACTGAGCCTGGCTTGGTGGAAACCGCAACTTTTCTTTGGAGACTGTAGGTCCGTTTCAAGTCAGAAGTTTGACGGGGGACACCGCCTCCCTGTGAAGACGTCTGGGAAGGGAGCGGAAGAGCAAATGCTCTACACGTTGTAACCAAGACCAGCCTGTTGAAAACTTTGTGTCATCCAAGTCAGCCTTTGAAGGACTCTCGGGGTCACCCTGGGGCGTGACTGCCAGGGTGTCCTGTTGATCTCCCCAAGCGAAGGCAGAAAGACGCCGGCTATCCTTACCTACCGGAGTTCTAACCAAGCACCCCGCAGGCCAGTTACCGTGGAAACTTCGCTTGCAGTGGGAGTGGGTGCCAGCAGCACGTAGGGGTTAGGAACAGCAGGGGCCTGAGGGGTCCCTGCTCAGGGGCCCAGACAAAGGTCCGTCCCTGGCTGCTGGGTTTCCTCCCAGGTAAAGCGGGGGTGTGACAGGGACTGGTACAGGGGATCGTGAAGCCCTGAGCCTCGAAATTCTCTGTCATGGGCTTGAGGCCCTGAAGGGCTTCTGTATTTTTAGGGCATTGGTTAATTCTAGGGAGAGGTTTTGAGCGCTCTAGCTGAATCTTGGGAGCTGCGCTGTGGATTTTACCAATATCAGCTGAGGATTTTGCCCAGAAAGAGGGTGTTAGCTGATCCAGTAGAAATAAATGATGGGTGTTCCCAGACTCCGTGATGGTCCCGCCAGAGGCAGAGCAGATAAGACATCAGAGCGTCATCTAATCCCCTGGTTGGCTAATTTGATCGCTGCCGTCAGATTCTAGAATTATCTTCCCCTTCAGGGAGAAAGGAATTCTGGCACGATACTTTTGTAAGGAATCCCAGCCCAGGGAGTAGGGGCGGAGGGGCTGAGGAGAAAAGAGCGGGTGCCCCTCCGAGGGAGTGGGTTCAGAGGCGGGAACCTGCTGAGGTCGGTGGGAGACCCCCAATGTTTGAAGTGTGTGCCCCTCCGAGGGGCTGCTCTGCCGCCGTGGGGCTGGGCACTGAGCATGTAGGTCCGGAGTCACTAAGGAGGGAGATGCATTCCGAATCTGGAGAGTGGCTTCCCTGAGTTCATTAAAGAGCCCCAGCCCTGGGAACGAATCGGAGGTCAAAGAGCTTAAATCTCGAAGAGTCCTTCCTCTGTTGTCCCGGTCCCAGGCAGTGACAGCAGAAACTAGGCTTTTTGCTCAGGGGCCTTCACCGGATGGATGTGAACATTGGGCATTTAGTGGCCTTTCCTGTAGGTGACTCAGCTAGGGTGTGAGCAAGCTGGTTTGCCAGGGTCATTGAATCTGGGGGCAGACCTTGTTTCCCACTCTATCCTGCGCCTTTTAATGAAAAGTAAAAGATCCCACATCAGCCCACTCATGAACACAGAGTTAAAAGGAAGACCGGAATTTTCGTTAAAGTCAGTTTGGAGTTGGTCGTAACATTCGGGAACGGGTCCATCGGGCGTCTGTGTGCAAGCCTGAGGTCTGCGCCACGCCATTGTGAGTGCTCGGTGACGACGTCCTGCGAATGTTCTAGCATCTTGCCAAGATTCGGGTTCTGTTTGTCTAAAATCCCACTCAGGGTGTTCCCATTGGGCTGGTTTCATCCAGTGCTTGGGCTGGCCCTCAGCCAGAAGCTGGTGGACCACGTGCTACCAAGCCCAGAAACCTGGTGGGTCAGGCTGAGTCGCTGTTAAATTTTTCAGCCAACCCATGGGGGGCCTCGGGCACTTCAGGGAACTTCTTTACCTCAAAGTTCAGCCTTAGTCCAGGGAACTTAGAAAGGGGGGGGGTATGTGTACATCCCCAGAAGACCTAGCTTCGAAGGAACGGGGGTTTTGATAGGTTCGGGAGAGGAGGGAGTAGAGGGAGCGTCAGAGGAAAAGAGGGTTTGACAGAAGGATGACAAGGCTAGGGGTGAAGATAGGGCAGAAGGCTCCAGGGCCTGAGGGCAAGATGGCAGCCTTGCCTCTGTGGACAGAGAAATGGGGGAGGGAAGAGGTCTCAGAAGACCCCTCTTTCTCCTTTTTATTTTTATTTTTTTTATATTTTAAGATTTATTTGAGAGAGAGAGAGAGGGAGGGAGAGGGACCGGGGGCAGGAGCAGAGGGACAAGCAGATTCCAGGCTGAGTGCAGAGCCCGACCTCGGGGCTCGATCTCACGACCCTGAGATCATGACCTGAGCCGAAATCAAGAGTCAGTCCCTCAACTAACCCAGCTACCCAAGCGTCCCCCTTTCCCCCTTTTTAATTGTTTGCCTCATTTAGTTTACAAACTGTATTTCAGAGAGAGGCAATTCTGGATTCTGATAGCGCTTGGAAGCTTCAAAGTACCAATTGTAGAAGGAATCTCGTTTCATTTTGTCAATTTTAGGACCGAGGTCGTCCAATTCAGCTTTGAGAAAATTAACATTGGGGAGATAGGAAGTTCCCCATGATGGCCATTGGGAGTCTGAATTACTACTGCTTAAGTCAGTCTGTTTTTTTATAAACCTGTGTGCTGAGGGACCATCATTTCTAAACCTAATGCTGGCCGCAGTTCCAGTGGTGGGGGGAAGGGGGGACCCCCTCAAAGCATTTTGATGACTGGGATCCCATTTCTTTGAGGCTTTTCAGGAACAGCCTGGTTCCAGAAGCAACAGCCGCGCCGTTTCTGGAAGGGCGGCCCAATCCCAAACAGAACTCAGACCCAAGGTCAATGTGCTTCCATCAGACACCGTCCGAATCAGACTGTAGGCCAAATGAATGTTCTCAGACCTGCTTAAAAAAACAAAACAAAACAAAACAAAAAACAAAAGAAAGAAAAATGCCAAGGCCTTGGTAAATCTGGAACAGAGCCTGAAGGGCTTGAGCACAAAGCATGGGGCTCCAAATGCAGGAGAACACTTGTCCCCAACCCCAGCGTCGGTGAGAAAGCAGTGGGCCCAGCAGCCCCGTGGCTCAAGGACCTGTCTGCTCACCAGCCCCCGAGTCTCCTCCAGCTCCCACCTCTGATCACCAAGTCACATTAACCCTAGAAAGAGCTGCAGCCACATACTTTACCAGCAGCTAATGGCTTTATTCGGGAATGAAAGCGAATTCTAATACAGGACACAGCAGCCGTGGAAACCAAGGAGAGGCACGATTTGTAAGGAGGGAAGGGGTCCGTTGGGAGGCTGTTAGGGACTGAAGCCCATCAGAGTAAGCTGGGGGTTGGAAGTGTTGTGGCTTCTCATTTTCTCTGGGTTTCAGAATTTGCTAAAAATGGTCAGTGACCACCTGTGGGGCACCTGGGGGGGCTCAGTCTGCTCAGTGAAGCATCTGCCTTGGGCTCAGGTCACCATCCCGGGGTCCTGGGATCGAGTCCCGCCTCGGGCTCCCTGCTCAGTGGGGAGCCTGCTTGTCCCTCTGCCTCTCCCCACTGCTCACGCTCTCTCTCTTACATATATAAATAAAATCTTTAACAAATAAAAGGAAAAGTCTCTCCCAGATCCTGAAGATGCATTCCTACTTTCAGTTTGATGCTGCCCCATTCCAGTAGAGTTTTGCCAAAGAAAGTGGTGAGATTTTGTATGTGCCTGGGTGTATTCTGAAATAGTACTCCGTGTTGTTTTCTCCTAGGCTCCTGCCTCCGTTGAGACAATGGCTTCCTCGGGGTCCCAGACAAAGAAAGGTGACAATCACAGGTGAGGCTCTAGCCGGCAGTGGGCCAGGTCGCATTTTTGGGGTTATTGTGATTACTTGGTGACAAACGTCTTCCCGGGGGGAACCATACAGGAACATGTTTGATTCTCCAGATGGAGACTGGGACCCAGCAGGAGAGGTCCGGAGGCCCCGACGCCGCGAGGTCTCAGCCGGACAGGCCTCTCTTGTGCAGCACGGCCCTGCTGTCCCCCAGCTCTGTCGGGGTTCTGAATCTTAAATTCTTTCTTCGTGGTTTTCCAGAACTCCGTTCCGGGATGCTGCCGCCCCGCTCACAGGTGTATCTGTGGTATTTGTGCGAGGTGGGCCACGGGAGAATTCCTGCCTTCATCATGATTCCTACATGGGCTTTGAATCCAGTGGGATTTTGGTTTCCTCGATCCCCACCCCCTGTGTCCCCCACCTGTGCCGCAGGGGATCGGCCAGTCCTGTTGGCTTCCTCTTCGACAACGCTGGGGTTGTGTGTGGCCCTTGGGGAACCCTGGAGCTGGGCTCCTGGGCCGTCTCTTGGGGAAGGATGTTCAGGCATTCCCCATGTCCTCCTTGGGCCTCCCTGGACTCTCACGTGGTGGAGATCCCGCACGGACCCCATCCTTCTCCATCCCTCCCTGGAGGCTGGGATGGCCATTCTCATGGACCAGACCGCAGAGATAAAGTTTTAACCGTTCCAAGTCACTGCAACCCAAACTTCCCTGTCCCCTTTCCGGGCCCCTCGGATGCTGGTGGAGGGGTGGGGTTGAAATGAGGCTGAGAAGGGAGCGTGAGGCATCAAGGGCATAGACGGGACTCAGCTGCACTCCCCCTGCCCTGCCCTGTGCTTGGTCACCGCCCTGCCCTCCCTTACCACTGCCATCACCAACCTCTGGCCTCTTGCCATGGTGTTGGGAGCTCAAAGGCCAGCTCAGGGGTGCAGCCTCTTGTGAAAAAGTCTAAGTTTTTCAAGATTTTATTTAATTTTAGAGAGAGAAAGAGTGGGGGGAGGGGCAGAGAGAGAGAGAATCTTGGGCTGACTCCCTGCTGAACGTGGAGCCTAACACAGGGCTTGACCGCCCAACCCTGAGATCATGACCAGAGCAGAAACCAAGAGTCAGACGCTCAACCGACTGAGCCCTCAGGCACCCCTCCTTTTTTCTTTTTGGAAAGATACTAATCTTGAAAGTGAGCCTCTAGGGTGGGGATAGTGCCAGCTCCCAGCTTCTGGCTGCTTGTGACCTTTCAGTGCAGAAGTACTTGCTGGCCTGGAATTAGTAACATTGTGTCTGCAGCGAGGTCAGCACCTCCTGCCCCCCCCCCCCCCCCCCCCGGCCCCGGTATGGCTCTGTCCTCCTTGTGCCCAGCCCAGGGCCCCGTGTGGGTCCCTGCCTCCGTCCCTGCCCCAGACTCCCGCCCTCCTCTCTTCCAGTCCCGGAGCTCCTGTCCCCATCCTGCGCCAATTGTCACTCATTTCTCATTTCCTTTCCGAAGTAGGTGTTCCAGGAGTATTTGTGAAATGAATACAGTGACTGGAAACTGTATCTAGAATAGAGAACCAGGTTTCCAAGTAAGGTCTTTGATGTGTTACTTTAGAACCTTTCCAGAAGTCCACTGAAAGCTGTTCTGGTTCCTTGGGCTACGTGCCCAGTTGCTGTGCTTGAAAACCATTGCCGTCCATCAGTTAGAGCCTGTTTCCTTCCCCTTCTCTACCTGGAATCAGAGAGCGAAAAGAAGTTGAAATATGTTGAAATACGTGGCAGAGTTGTCGCAATCACGTCCTGTTTTGTTAGCTCTGACTCTTCCCGTCAGCCTGCACTCAGTCCCCGCTGTGCTCACGACAACCGGAAAGGGTGTAGGAGCCACCCATGTCAGCGATACTGTCACTAGAGGATCTTACAACATAAGGTGTGAGGTCAGAGCTTTCCTTGCAGCTGCGGGGAGTATGGGAGTGGATGAAGAGGCTGGGAGCCACCCAGGCCCCAAACCCCAAACCCCAAACCCCAGACTGACTCCGGGCTGCTGGTGAGCAAGCCAGATCCTGTCCTTCCCTGGCCCCCTAGCTCCCAGAAGCCACCGGTGCTCACTCGGGTGGCATGTATACCGCTGCTCTGACTACAGCTTACCGCTGTTTTCCCTGCCACATCTCCAGCGCCTGGGAGCAGACCCGGTCTTGAGGGGCTGGGACAGGGCTGGTGCTCTGAGTGGGTGGGGACTCGTGACTGACTTGCCAGCAGTTTACAGATGACTTGCTTTCCAGGGAAATCCCCCTGTTGTCGCCCCTGTGGCAAAAATAAGGAAGAAAGAAAGAAAGGGAAAGAAATTGGCATTATGGCTATCCAGAGCACTTGTTTGGTTGGGGAATATGTGTTTCCAGTTAGATTTTGAAATATTAGACACACCTTCTGAACACCCCCCAATTTCCCCCTGCCAAGGAAGTGGTTGCCGCCCTGGAGGCCTGAGTCACAGGAACGTCGTGCTGAGGAGACCTGCCATGTCCTTGCTTCCAAGTCACAGACAGCTGCAAGCTGCTTCTCTTGTATCTTTTCTTTCTTTTTGTTCAGAGTTAGATCGAGGAGGGAACAGATCCGTGGGTTCTGGACAGAAAGTCAGGCTCAGAAAGAAGAACGAGAAGGTCCGGAGTACACTGACTCAAGGATCCATGCATGTCCCAGCACCCCTGGGGCCCGGCAGACCAGGGTTTGGGGGAGCACTGCTGCCCATGGGAGTCAGGCAGGTGTAGACGTCAAAGGAGGTGTGTGTAAGGTTGGCAAGCTGGGTATGCAGTGTAGACCAGTACACTGCTTGTGCAAATAAAGTTTTATTGGAACACAACCCCACACATATTGCTCTCATGTGACAACAGCTGGGTTGAATCATGACAAGACCCCTGTGACCTACAAAACTAAAAATATTTACTATCTGTTATTTTATGAAAAATGTTTGCTGACCCCTGTTCTAGGCCAGCGGTGTGCTGTCTGGTAGAAATAATAACAGGAGTTGCACACCTTTTCAAGTGGAAAGTGAAAACCACTGAAAAGAAAACCAAAATGGAAAGATGTCTTATCTCATTTCGCATTTCCTTTCCGAAGTAGGTGCTCCACTAGAAATCACTCAGAAGCCCTGGCTAATGCAATAAGGCAAGAAAAATTAAATGCAAGGTGTACAGATAGGAAAGGTTATCTCTGGAAGGGACAACTAGAGGCACTTCTTTTTCCATCCGTATTTCCATCCATATTTCCTATGTGAATGTATTATTTTCAAAATAAAGCCAGGGTCATGTGTTGAATGAACTGGGGTTGGGTAGCAACTGGTTGAACTCTTTCTCTGGGGTGATTTAGCGTCTTGATCTTTGTACTTTCCTGTGCTCTTTTGAGCTCTTTCTGATGAGCCTCCAAGCAGGGGCCTGGGGTGTGAGGGAAGGGATATGGGGAAGGAGGAGGGGCAGAATGGAGACAGGGAAGGGAGAGCATTTGTGGTTCACAGCGGCCCAGCTCACCCCACTACATGCTACATGCGTCTCGCCGACACGGGGCACTTCTGTTATGGCAGCTGCTGGGCGCTTGTGCTCTGTCAACCTTTCACCTTCCTGTTTTGTATAGTGACCACCTCGTACAACCCACCAACCCAAATGTAGCAGCAATGAAAGAAGATGTCCTCTACCATTTCAGTCTCAGCACCAGCACACACGACTTCCCCATGATGTTCGGAGATGTGAAGGTAAAAAGCAAGGCTTTGAGCTTGGGGTTTGCCTTAAGGTCAGCCTCCTCGTGGATGGCATGGGTGGACTTGGCGACAGAGGACTGGATCATCAAGTGATACCTTCACCAGGGGGTCCCTTGGCTGGCTTGCCAACTCTTGATCATGGGGTCGTGAGTTCGAGTTCGAGCCCCAGGTTGGATGTGGAGATAACATTAAAATAAAATCTTAAAAAAAAAAAAGTTTTATCTTCACTAGATTTTTGCAAATTGTTACTTTTAAAATATATAAACTAATGGGTGAAAGAAGACTTAGAAGTTGGTCCCTAAGTAATCTCTTACAAGCTCAGTGTATAATGGAAACCACACACAATACATTTCCTAATGCTCCACTGAGAGAAGAGGGAAAAGGGGACACAGAACATTCTGTATAGGAGCAAGGGATAATGAGTGAGTAATTACTTGTGTCTGCTTGTGATTTGCTGTGCACACTTATCCTTCTAGTCCTTTCCCCTGCGCCTTCCGCAGAGTCCTGAGTTCCTCGGGGCTGGTTTATCCTGGCCGAGGAGTTTTGAAATGTCTGATCCCTGCGGGTACAGATGGACTCGTGTTTAGATTCAAAATCAAAACGACCGGTGGCTCAGAAATCCCTTGCTGCTCCTTGGGGTCTGTCCCAGCAGCGGCTGTGTTCATTTCAAACCATGAGCCAACTCCCCATGTGTTCTTCTTTTATAAGAGGGATTTGATCTGCTGACTTATGCTAGTAGTACTCTGCGAATTGAAGTATTAATATACTTAGTTTCAGGCCTACAATATAGCGATTCAGCAGTTGTGTGCTCAGTGCTTACCAGGATAATGTGATCATCTGTGACCAAACAATGTTATCACCGTCCTGTTGAGTACCTTCCCTACACTGTACTTTTCATCTTCTTTTGCAACTGAAAGTTTATGTCTCTTAATCCCCTTATCTCTTTCACTTTTCCACCTACCCTTTCCCCTTGGGCAACCACCAGTTTGGTGGGGGGAGGGAGAGAGAGAGGGCATGAGCAGGGAGGGGCAGAGGGCAGAGGGAGAAGCAGGCTTCCCACTGAGGCAGGACTCAATCCCAGGAGCCTGAGATCAGGCGTGGAAGGCAGATGCTTAACGACTGAGCCACCCAGGCACCCCTGCATATAACTTCTTGATTAGTGTTTTCATTTTCCTTGGGTAAATGCCCAGTAGCAGAATTACTAGATCATATGGTATTTCTATTTTTAATTTTTTCAGGATCCTCCATAGTGTTTTCCAGAGCGGCTGCATGAGGTTGCATTTCCAGCAACAGTACGCGGGTTCCCCTTTCTCCCCATCCTCGCCAACACCTGCTGTTTCATCTGTTGTTGATTTTGGCCATTCTGACAGGTGTGAGGTGGCATCTCACTGTGATTTGATTTGTAGTTCCCCAATTCCAAGTCATGTGGAGCGCCTTTTCATGTGTCTGTTCCCATTGGAATGTTTCTTTGGAGAAATGTCTCTTCAGGTCATTTTTAAAAATCAGATTATTTGGTTTATTTTGCTGTTGAGTTGTGTAGGTCTGTTGTACGTTTTGGATAGTGACTCGCACATGTCATATGCAGACATCGTCTCCCACTCAGTAGCTTTGTCATCATGTTGATGGTTTCCTTGGCTGTGATTGTGGTCTTAATTTATTTGCTTTCCATGTATTAGAATTTAACCTATATTTTTTTCCAGGCTATGGAAGCATTGTTTGTCATGTTTAGAGATGAATCATTCTTTCATCATCAAACTCCTTGAAACTGGTTTATATACATTTTCCCCGTGGGCAAAACACAATGAAAAATAAGTTTTTGTGTGTAGTGCTTTGCATAAGAAAGGTTTTCTGTCTCTGAGAGCCGACCACCCATGTGAGAGCTCCCCATTCCCCAGCCCCCACCGGGCTCCTGGCTGTTTCTATGCCATGGCCGTCTGGCTATTGGACGGCTGGGGAGGTGTTGGTTAGAAGCCCATTTTGCAGAGGGGCTGTGGGGTCCTGATCGCACAGTGAGGAGCCCGCATCATTTTATTCCAGACCTAGGCTCCCTCCAGGATGCCGACCAAGCTGTGCACAGGATGGACAGGGACTGGGCAGGCATGGAACCCAGAATTACCTCCCCAGAGAGAGCAAGGGTCTCTGGTTTTTCTGGATTGTGTGGGACGGATTCCACAGGGGGTCATGCATGGAGCCGTGATCCCATGAGCCGGTCAGTACCTCTCAAACTGGGTGAACATCGAAATCAGCAGCGTCTGAGTCACTCACAGAAGCACCCACCACAGGGCTCCCCAGACACGGTAGCTCTGGGCTGGGGCCAGGGACCTTCCTTTCCAGCAACATCTAGGTGACATTGACGTTAGTCGGGGGCCCCCATTGGAGGGAGCCCTGCTTCGAAGATGTGCACCGTGCCCGGACTAACGGGCTCTGTTTTCTGGCCGCAGTTTGTGTGTATTGGGGGAAGCCCTACCCGGATGGAGGCCTTCGCCAAATACATGGCCAAGGAGCTGGGCCTCGACCACCCAGGTGCAGAGTATCCCAACATCTGCAAGGGGACGGACCGCTACGCCATGTTCAAAGTGGGCCCCGTGCTGTCTGTCAGCGTGAGTACCTGACCTGGCGCGGGGCTCAGGCCTCAGGCTCGGCCAGCCCCCGCACCTGCCCTCTGCACCCATGGGCCGGGTCCCCTCAACCTCTGTGTCCTCTGTCAGAGTGGGCACGGCGAGCAGCCATTCAGAGCACTCCGGGGTGCGGAGACGGTGTTCGGTTCCGGGTGACGGGAGCAGGCTGTTGCTTCCCCACTGAGCCTTACGGGGCGGCGACCTGCGTCACCACCGTGTGACCTGTGTGCAGGCTTTGGCATGTCCCAAAGTCACATTTGGAAGTCCGTCTTCTCTGACTGCCAGTTTGACGGGCCGAGAGGCACCCCTACCCCGACGTAATGTGGCGTATCTCCCCGGTTCCAGCACGGCATCGGCATCCCGTCCACCTCCATCATGCTGCACGAGCTCATCAAGCTGCTGTACCACTCCCGCTGCTCCGACGTCACCGTCATCCGCATCGGCACGTCCGGCGGCATCGGTAAGTGTGCCGAGGGCCTCCGCCCGGGGCCAGCATCCCGCACACGAGGACCTGAAACCCTCCTGCGGGAGGCCCCGTGCAGGGCGGGCTTGGGGACTCGGCGCATAATCAGGAAGCAGGAAAAGAAGCTCATTCTGTTATTTTCGCCCAGCCGCTTCTCCCAACCCTCCCCCCAGAAACAGGCCGTGGAAAGTTGCTGGGCCTGCCTTGCAGGGCCTCGTCCTCCTGGGGTGATGTGCTCGGAGCCTCCTTGTCTGCCTGCCTCGCTCCCTTCTAACCGCTTCTCTGCCTTTCTCCTGTCCTCTGCGCTTCCCTATTCCTGCAAGGATTCGAACCACCGTAGGAGAAAACCAACAGGAAAATCACAGAGAGAGATGGAACACAAAGTTAAGTGTCCTTCAGTTGCCTAAAGGGTCCCCAGGCTGATCTCTGAGCATGCTTTGTTTTGTCTCTGAAAGCCACAGAGAGAGGTACAGAGGACGGGATGTGGGGCATGTTTGCTTTAAGTAAGCTACGGGCTCTCTGACTTCGACATTCCCTCCCTGGGGTTGGAGCTGCCCGAGAGAGGAGCCTGCAGTAGCCTCCCTGTCACCCGTTCCCTCTGGGAGGGGCTCGCACGCCCCAGCTTGAGGGCGATGCAGACAGCAGAAGGGGCGAGAACTCCCTGGGCTTATGAGGGAAAGATGGCCAGCAGCCGAGCACTTTGCAGGGTCAGCCCCAGGGTGGGAGCAGAACACTGAGCAGAACAGGGATCAGAATAGCACAGGAGAGAAAGTCCAGATAAATACTCAGGGAGCACGACATGCTTTGTAACGTTTCGTGGAAACAGCCGACATGGGGGCTCCAGAACGATCCCCCGGCTTTCTCCTCCCTCCTTCCTCCGTATTGAAGAAGCCCAACTTCCCATTCAGGTAAGTATCCAGAAAGCCTCACGGTCACATCCCACACAACGGTATCACAGGATCAAAGACTAGGAGTAGAGCCATGTCCCTACAAACACGAAAATGCCCCGGGAAGGTATGCCCGGCAAACTTGGGAAGCGGAACCCTAGCATGGCCGGTATCAGAGAGAGGGGATGGGCTGGGAGTCAAAAGGTGCTGGAGCTGGGTTTGGGGTGCACAGGGGTTCCTTTTTTAAAAAAATATTTTATTTATTTACTTGGCAGAGAGAAAGAACAGGAGCAGGAGGGTGAGGGACAGAGAAAGGGGGAGAAGCAGACTTCCCGCTGAGCAGGGAGCCTGACACGGGGTTCAATCCCAGGACCCTGGGATCAGGACCTGAACCCAAGGCAGACACTTAACCACGGAGCCACACATGCACCCCTGGACAGGGGTTTCCTTGGACTATTCTACCTCTGTAGTTATTTGAAATCTTAAATAATGAAAAAGCACTAAGCAGGGACCAGGTGAGGGCACTGGTCAGCTGAGTGGTGGCGTGCCAGTTACAATCAGCACGGACTGGAGGACTAGGAATATGTAACGGAATTCTTCCGTATTCTCCACGGCTCTCACGTGTGACTTCCATCATCAGAAAACAAGAATTTGATGTAGAAAATACATCCCGAGCGGTTTCCTTTTACAACCTGACCGGGTGTCCCGCGTTGTGGGGTATAGATGGGTCATTTTCCTTTCTGCGCGCACTCTGCCGTGCCCTCCCCATCTGCCCTGTGTGCCCACCACACCTGCTTCTCTCTTCAGGTCTGAAGCCTGGCTCCGTGGTCATCACCCAGCAGGCGGTGGACGCCTCTTTCAAGCCGGTGTTCGAGCAGATGGTGCTGGGGAAGCCAGTGGTTCAGAGGACGCGTCTGGACGAGAAGGTGGCGCAGGAGCTCATGCAGTGCGCTTTGGAACTGCTCACGTTCCCCACGGTCCTGGGGAACACCATGTGCACCTCAGATTTCTATGAAGGTGACGGAGGGGGTCTCCGTCCTGCTCGCGGGTCCCATCTCTTCGGTGTTTCCGCGGTGCCTAGAGGGCGCTGCTTAGGAGTGTGCAGGGCCGGGAGGGGTCCGAAGTGGGTAGCACCATCTTGGCATGCAGGTGCATACTGCGTGCCAGTGGTGAGCACACCAGGGTCAGCGTTGGTGCATTTCCACGTGTCTTCAGGGCAAGGCCGTCTGGACGGCGCTCTCTGCTCCTACACGGAGAAGGACAAGCAGAAGTACTTGAAGGAGGCCCAGGCGGCGGGCGTCTGCAACATCGAGATGGAGTCCTCGGTTGTGGCCGCCATATGTGGCGCGTGTAACATCCCAGGTAGGCCAGCGTGCGGTCACCGGGGTCCCTCATGCACAGCGCAGCCCCCAGGCCCGCGTCCAGGTCCTCCTCCCATCCCCCTCACCCGCCACCCCCCCCGGCCCACTGGCAGCACCGGCTTTCCAGCCACCCTGCCCCAACGCAAGGTTCCTTGAGGCAAGAGAAAGACCAACCTGGGCTCCGGTCAGGAGGCTGCGCACGCGGCCGTGAACCTGCTCTCAGAGCGCCTGAGGTTTCTGACTTGGGGTTAGTCCGCCCCCACGTTCCCAGGCTCCCCTGCAGCGTCCAGCGCAGCCTTCCAGAATTCCCAGACGCCGGGCTTTCGAGGGCCTTGCTCGCGAGCTGCTTTAGGAGGTGGCGGCTGGGAGGGATCGAGGGGGACAGCAGGGCACACCTGCGGGGCGGCAGAGCGGACGCCTCGTCTGCCCTGGGGAACGAGGTGAGGAAGCGGGTGCTTGGCCATGACGCGGGGTTTGCTTCTGCAGCGGCCGTGGTGTGTGTCACTCTGCTCGACCGCCTGGAGGGCGACCAGATCAGCAGCCCCCACGAGGTGCTGGTCGAGTACCAGGAGCGGCCACAGCGCCTGGTGAGCCACTTCATCAAGAAGCGCCTGGCCGCCGCCCAGAGCCCCTGAGGCTGGAAGGTGCAGGTCGTCGTGGCCGCAGACGGTCACCGTCGGGCACTGGACTGGCTCAGTCCTGAGAGCCGGGGACATGCGAGAGCTGCGGGTCCCGAGTTTGAGCCCCGCACTGGGCATAGATGTTACTTAAATAAATAAACTTGAAAAGAAATCACTGTTGAAATCTCCTTTTGTGGGGCGCTTGGGTGGCTCAGTGGGTTAAAGCCTCTGCCTTCGGCTCAGATCATGATCCCAGGGTCCTGGGATCGAGCCCCACATCGGGCTCTCTGCTCCGCGGGGAGCCTGCTTCCTCCTCTCTCTCTGTCTGCCTCTCTGCCTGCTTGTGATCTCTCTCTGTCAAATACATAAATAAAATCTTAAAAAAAAAATCTCCTTTTGCATATCTTCATGCACACTTTACACAAGGATGTGGGAACTGGGTTGCATTTCAGAGGCGAAGAATCCTGCATTAGCAGCACAGATTTTTCTAAAAGCTTCCTTGGGCTGTTTTTGACCGCATCAGCTCCGGGCGGGTTTTGTTTAAGGACGTTCCTCTGAATATTTAAAATAGTTCTGGAGAAAATTTTCAGAGTTTTGAAACCTCGTGGTTGTCAGATGCCCTTATGCATATGACTTTCTGGAATATCCTGTGCCTGCGTCATCACACGGTGATGATGCCCTGTCTGTTTCCACACTGCTGGCAAGATGGGTCTGGGTCCAGGTCCCTGTGGATGGGAAGGACACGTCCTGCTCTAAGACCCCTTGCTCTGCATGTCCTCGCCGGTGCGTTGGGCTCAAACTTTCCTGCAAGGTCGGCGACAGCCTCCGCATTCCTTAGCATCCTTCTGGAGTCGGTCACAGAGTGGTCCTGACTGGAAGGCTGAGGGTACCAGGTGGGAGAACCCAGGGTGTCCTCTCCTGTCCCAGGTGAGTGGCAGCACCACTTCTGGGGTATCCCAGCCCCACCCCCATCCCAGGGATGGTTGCTTGGGTCTTGGGACATCCCTGGCTTCTGCTGTCCAAGGTGACTTCTCCACACTTTTGAATCAATGTGGCTAATCTTTTTTTTTTTTTAAGAGAGATTTATTTATTTGAGAGAGAGGCAGAGGGAGAGGGAAAAGCAGGCTCCCCACTGAGCAGGGAGCCCGACACCACACGGGACTCGATCCCAGGACCCCGAGATCATGACCTGAGCCGAAGGCAGAGGCTTAACCCACTGAGCCACCCAGGAGCCCCTCAATGTTGCGAATTTCTGGTTTTCGGTTCTGTTGTAAATACTCAAGGTTCGGAGTGCACAGACTCCCATGGGCAGCACAGGTCCCTGCAGTCCACAGCTGGTGTGGCCTTGTCCAGGTGCCACGGGACATCGGTTCAACAAATCCGCCAGACCCTCCACGGAAGCTACTGCCATTCCAGCCCACGGATGCCCCAAGCACTCCGCCTTGGAGGAGCGAACATTTCACTGGTAAACTGAGGACAACCAGAAACCCAGGCTTTGGAGGCGTGGAAGACATTTCCCAAACTCAGCTCCCTGAACCGGCATCTCTCCGTGCCAGGATTACACAGCACCCACCCCCCCAGGAAAACTCCCTCTCATCAGGTTCCTGCCAAATCCCCTTCGGCATGTAACAAGGACAAGAAGTTGCAAACCCCAGGGGCCCTGGGGGGCCCGGTCAGTGAAGCCAGAAATCTCAGGCTTTTGCCCAGGAAGCCCCGCCCACGCCCCCCTCCCCGACCCTGCCCAGTCTCTCAGCGGCACCCTCTTGGTACGCTGGACGGTGACGAAGAGAATTTTCAGGAGAACAGAAAATCTTGACTCTCCTACAAGCATAAAAATAAGCCTGTGGTACAGACGGCATTTCACTCGTGTGAGGGAATGGGGCAGATACTCTCAAGGGTTCAGAGAACGTGGGCGTCCAGCTGGCTCTGTTGGTGGAGCTCGCGACTCTGGATCTTGGGGTCATGAGTTCGAGCCCCACGTTGGGTGTAGAGATCACTTAAAATAAATAAATTTAAAAAAATAAATAGAGGGTTCAGAGAATGGGAAAAGCACTCCCCCCTCCAGGAGAGCCCAGGGAGTGTTGAAACAGGTGCACTGCAGGGTGGGGAGTGGCGGTCCTGCAGGAGCCCCGGGGAGAATTTGCTCAGATCTCTCCCAGGGGGGAGGCTGTGGATCCCGGCTGGGTCGCAGAGCAGATGGTCGGGGAGGGTGTCTGCAGACAACACACAGTTTTCTACGGAAACACAATTTATTTATTTATTTTTTTTCCTGAAGAAGGAAATCTGTTTACTGCTCATCAAGTAAGAAACGTGGCAGAGAGAGAAGGTGGCTCTGGGCTGGGACAAGGGCTCGGGTGTTTGCTCTTCTCGTCTCTTCCTTGTGGTGGGATCTCGGCTGCCGGGTCCCTCTGTCTGACCCCGTCACCGTGGGCGGGACATGGGGGTTCAGAGGGCCAGTGCACGTCCGTGCTCTGGACTGGCTTTTTTTCTTTTCCTTTCTTTCTTATTGCGCTGAAATACCCCTCAGGTAGTAGCTGCCATTGCAGTCATCCGTACGCGTATTTCAGTGCCTTCATTTCGAAACGTTGAGCATCATCCGTGCCCAGAAATCTTCCGTCGTCCCCGGCATAGCTCTGAACCCCACACAGGAATTCCTTCCCCCTGCGCCCAGCCCCTGTGCCTGCGAGCCTCTCTCTGTTTCTATGAATTTGCCTGTTCTAGATCCTTCATGAAGGTGGAATCATACAGTGTTTGACTTTTTTTTTTTTTTTTGCTTGTTTGGATTATTTCCCTGTTTTCAAGGTCCATGCATGGAACAGCATAGATCAAAATCTCAAGATGAAATCATGTTCCATCATGTGTCTAAGCATCTGTTTATCCATTTATCCGTTGATGGACACGTGGGTTATACCCACCTTCTGTCTACTGTGGATAGAGCTGCTGTGAACGTGGCACTGTCCCAGTCCTTGCTTTTAATTCTTTTGGGTGTGTGTCAGGAGTGGAGTTGCTGGGTCAGATGGAATTTCTATGTCGACCTCTTTGAAAAATCATTTGGGGGGCGCCTGGGTGGTTCAGTGGGTTAAGCCTCTGCCTTCGGCTCAGGTCATGATCTCAGAGTCCTGGGATGCGGGCTCTCTGCTCAGCGGGGAGCCTGCTTCCCCCTCTCCCTCTGCCTGCCTCTCTGCCTGCTTGTGATCTCTCTCTCTGTGTCAAATGAGCAAAACAAAACAAAACAAACAAACAAACAAAAAAACATTTGGGCCTAATTTTATCTCCATGCAGGAAGCTGAGGGACAATTGTCATTAGGTTGACCCTCCTTTGCAACTCACCTGCTCACACCTTGTCCCTTCTGGAAACCCAGTTTTTAAAAAATATTTTCTTTAATTTTTATTTGAAGTAGGTTCTGTACCAAGGTGGAGCTTGAGCCCACGACCTGGAGATTAAGAGTCGTATCCTCTACTGATGAGCCCACCAGGCATCCTCTGTATTAGTAAAGCCCTAACATGGGGGGCCATGGAGGGCTCAGTCATTAAGTGACTGCCTTGAGCTCGAGTCATGATACCCGGGTCCTGTGATCGAGCCCCGCATCAGGCTCTCTGCTCATCGGGGAGTCTGCTTCTCCCTCTGACCCTTCCCCTGCTTGTGCTCCCTCTCTCGATGTGTCTCTCTCTGTCAAATAAGTAAATAAAAAAAAAAAAAAAAAAAAAAAAAAAAAAGCCCTACCTTGGTCCCTAAGAGAGGGAGTTCAAAAGATCTGACCCTGGCCTGTGACAGTCCGAGGCTGGGCTCCTTGTGCTTGCAGGGCGGTCCGTAAATGCCCCTCACCCCGCAAACAGACTGTACTCATCATCTCCCAGAGGTTATGGGCTTGAGCAAGGAAGGGGTGACATTTACGGGCCGTGGTGTGGACATTCTGCCACGAAACAGCCTTGCTCGGAGGTCTTGAGCTGCCCTCCTGTGGAGCATTTAGCAAGTGCTGCAAGGTTGTCCCTACGTGGTGCCTGTTGGACCTGACGTGACGTCCGGAGAGACACCATCTGTCTCGTTCCCAGAGAGACCTGAATGGGCGACGGCCTGTCTGCGAAGGTGGCATGAGGGGACCATCCCAAAACGTGCCCCTTTGGCCTAAGGATGGAGAAAGGATGGAGACAGGGAAGCTCTGAAAACAGAGTAGAACTTGGCCTTTTGTGAGGGAAAGCCCCGTGTGTATGGGTGTCTCCCTCCTGGTCCGGGGAAGAGAATCTGGAACGGGAGAGCATTTGCAGGAATGGAGAGGGGCCGCCCTGGCAGTCTGGTTTTGCATCAGGCAGATCCTAGGTTTCATGGAGGAGGAGGAAACTAGGGAGCCCTGGGACTGCTGCCCTACCCTCTGTCTGCTGCCCTGGGACCCTCCATCTGCTGCCCTGGGACCCTCTGTCTGCTGCTCTGGAACCCCCCACGCTGTAGTGGGGCCAGGGACCAGGGAAGCCCCACAGGCCATGTGGGTTTCCCATGCAGGGCTCCCTGCACAGCGGGAAGCTGATTCTCCCTTTCCTTCTGCAGGCTGCTCCCCTTGCTTGTGTTCTCTCTGTCTCTGTCTCTGACAAATAAATATAATATTTAAAAAAAAGTCTGTGTTTATCATGCATTATACTGATGTGGGAAACAAAGGCGGAAGAGAAATTATTTTATTTCCCGACTACCTACAGCCCACTGCCAAGTCCTTGAAATACGACATTCCTCTGGGGACTCAGCTGCCTTGATGCTAATACTAAGCTAAGGGCAAAAACCAATCCTGGCCTGACTCCCAGGACCCTGTAAGTCTAATTTAATATATCAAAATTCCTTTGGAAACTTACATTATTTCCAAACACCCCCAGATACGTATTAGCAATCATCCCCAAGCATGTGGCCCACTGATATACATCTGAAGGGTCTCACGGCTTGGGTTTTATTACACGGTAGTAAATGACCTTTTCCCAACAATAATTAGCTCCAGGTCCTGGAAACCTTGTTTCCAAAATTCCTCAGAGACTCAAGCTCTCTCTAACCCCCTCCCACCTTGAAAGTATATTCTG